AAGTGATAGGAAAGGGTTTCTGGAATTATCGGGCAGCGAGGGAAAAGAAAGTCAATGTAGCATTGTTACAATATGTGTGAAGGGTTGGGGAGGAATTTATATATTTCACGATAGATTTCATTCTGTATCTTAACAACAACAAAACTCAGTTAAATGTACTACGTCCCATTTGCAGGCCAAAACAAATGAAAAAGTTAAATTCCACTGGCATTTGAAAGATAATACTAATTTAGAACTTCCTTCGAAACGAAAAGGCTTGAAAATTCTTTTTTGTGGGAAAATAACGACCTTAGTTGTCGAATCGACGTTTAGAAATTGCGTTAGGGACTTTTTGTGCTGCATGCGCAAATATTCAATCAGTCTTGGTTGTGTTTCTGCATTTATTGATCTATTTTCATGTCCCCTTGCACCATTACCTCGTCATTTTCTCTTGTTAAAGGGAGTGGATCGCCAGTTTCCATGTGCAGAAGGCCATAATTCGCTGACACCAGACTTGGTGGAAATACCATTAATGGGGGTACAAATTTGCACACAGCAAACCCATAGTCCAGTCAAGAATTACCCCCTAATCTCTCGGAGAGCTCGAGAGTCTTCGGGCAAATCAAGGCATTACATAAGGTCCAATGGTCATAAAACTCAAGGCTAACCCTGGTGATTGACAACACCTGTTATTGGGTAAACACCCGAACGGTGTCGAATTCCCCATGAGAGCCGACTACTCAGTGACTTTAAACAATTAAAAAACTGACACAGCTTCATACTTTGTTGATGATTATAAACAATTACTTAACCAATTGATTTCAATAAGTACTTAAGTTTTAAGAGGGGTTTCCATTACAAGCCACGCTTTTCAATAAGCCCCTCATTTTCATATGTCATGTTTGTTTTGCTTTGTATGTTTTTATACTATAGAGATAACATGAGTAACAAAACGAGGACACTTTTAGGTATCATAATTATTACCCACTCGTAAAAACGTAAAGGACGTGTCCCTCGCCTTTCCTCTGCATTGAAGGCTAAATAAGGGTACTGTTTACCCAATACCTTTCATCCCTACTGGACAAGACAATGCATGAACACAGTTTCATTGTGCTCATTAATTAGCTACATAGATCACATCAATTAATCACACTGAAATTATATCGGGTAATTTAACATTGGAAATCGTTCAGGTATTAAAGGTAAAGACCAGTAATGGTCATGCGATTGCATTGTGAAAGAAACGTTGTGGAATCGATCAGAAAAGGTTGATCATCTAGCATCTAGCATCTGCAAGGTTCTGGAATCATCAAAATGATAAGAAATTTGGCCCATTCTTCGTAAAGTTACAAGCACTATACACAGAAAGATGTATATGGGACTACCCTATCTCTCTCACCAGACCATGAGAGAAATAAATTTACCAAATATATGAATTAGTAGGCGGTTTCCCGGCAAATTTTTTATCATCATGTATTAGTCAAAACATATTCTTTCACATGATTGGTAATGAGAGCTTCCATTTCATTTTTTGAAATTGGGGCGTTGCCAATACTGGTCTTTACCTTTAAACAAATACAAGATCGTATCTTTCACTCCCACATGATATGATCGAAATTCAGTTCATTATCTGTCAATATTTGGGAGGAGGAGGATGTACCTGCCATGATGATGATAATGTTGCCCATGGTGATGATGATGTGGATGCTCATTCTGGCCGAAGGTATGTGAAATCGTTTTTATTTTAATATAATGTGCATGTTCATCAAAAGTTTCTTTTGTGTGTGGATTAACAAAGGTAAAAATACAGACAAACTATGCTCATATTGCCTCTTGATCACTATCGATGCAATGATCTAAAACGATTTTAAAATCTTTTAAAACTTCTCTCAACACTTTTGTTAGGGTATGTTATACAGATTGTAGTGCTTTTAAGCTGTTATATTCAAAATAGCGTTGGTGATTATAGACATGATAAATCAACAATTACATTAATAGTATACCGTTGAGGGTCAAACAGAGATAACAATCAGAAGCAGAGTGAGAATGAATTCGGGAGACACAATTATAAGAAGGGAGTAAGACTGTCAGAAAATGAGAGAGAAAAAAAATATATATAGAAATTTTAACACGGGCTTGTTAGTTTTGTTTTTATTTTTCTACATTTACCATGAGCGCAAAACCCTTCAAGAAATCAATTTCAGATCAATTTTTTATATATTTCAAATATATTTAAAAATATGTGAATTGTTTTCGATGTCAGGTAAAGCCACCACTCTGAATTCCTGTCAGTTAGAAGGACGGGCTAGTTAGTTTGTTTTTGCTTGCTTTGTTTGTTTTTCTACATTAATCATGAGCGCCGAATAATTAAATAAATACATTTCAGGGCAATTTCAATATGTCTATTGTATCGCCCATATATATATTACTAATAATATTAGTATATTACGTATATTATACGTAATGAGTTTATAGTGCCTTCTGTTTTTTTGTTAAAGTCTTTGTGGTCGTGATATATCTAAAAATATGTAAATTGTTCTCCGTGTCAGGTGAAGCCACCAATCCAAATTCCTGCCAGTTAACCTGTAAGACCATAACCACTTCATCAGGAGAGCTAATTCAACTTATTCCCAAACGGGTTTCCAAGATAAATAGCAGTAGCCATGGCAACCTCGAAAGGTTCGGGTCGTCAACGTTGATGATGATTTGCAAACTACCAAGTAAGTTCAATGTAAATGGCACCATTTTTATAGATTTATTCATTTTTAATAGTTTTGCCAAAGTTGTATGCACACTGGAAAACATTTGACGATACGTCAGTTGAAAACAGTCAAGAAATGCCTCTTGCTACTCAGGTTATCTAATTAAACAAGGGTAAGAAAGAAAGAAAAATGTAGAGGGGTGTTGCGGCGCAAATTTGTGCCGATATTTGCAAAACCTGACGGCACAAATTGTACAAACCGGTACAAATTGTCGACGACGACAATTTGTCGCCAGTAGCTGAATATGCAGCGGAGAAAATAACAACGATGAGAAACATGAGTCGTGACCAAAGAAATTAGGTGGGGTGGGGAGAGGATAGTAATACCACTGCTATCGTCACCGTCGAACTAAGTTCTCAAGTGGACTATAAGAGATGGGTGTGTGTATGTGTGTTTCGGAGTGGGCATGTGTATATACGTGTGTATATGTTTTGGATGGGCGCATGTACGTGTGTGGGTGTGGGAGACGACGTTTGTGTCTTGGTATGTGTGTCTTCATGTTATATAATTAAACTTTGAGTACATTTAATTACACAACCAATCCGGGGTCTGACCAGTAGTCTTGACCAAAGGTTCACAAGGCCGGGTTTTCTCCTCAGATGTTAAATAAAATGTCCCCTCAGATTTGTTCTCTTTCTCTGCATGCCTCCATGTAAATTTACGTAACCCCCCCCCCCCCCCCACTGCAAAACGTTCTCATTTACATAAGAATTATTCTTTTTCGCTCTTTTGTTATTTCTTAGAAATGTATATCTTTTTCGACTCCCCTGCACCAAATCCATGACCGTGGATGTACTTTTATTTGATGAGTGCGGCGTACGTGTTTTGGGAATTAGGAGGTAGTGTATGGAGGGGGTGGGGGGAGCTCGGAAATCCTTATATTTATCATTGTGCTGTAGTTCATAAGCAGGGGCGTCTCCAAAGGGGGGGGGGGTGGGGTGCGACACCCCCCCCCCCACCTGTCAGGATATTGTCGGTAAAATTGCGCTGCCGTCGGGAAAAAAGAGAAAAGGGGGAGAGAACAAAAAAGAGGGAAAGGGAAAGAAAAGAAAAAAAGAAAAGGACAAGAAAAGAAAGAAAGAAAAAGAAAGGAAAGCGAGGAAAGAAAGGAAAAGAAAGGGAAAAAAGAGAAGGAAGAAGGAGGAGAAAAATAGAGGGAGGAGAGGAAAGAAAGGAAAAGAAAGAAAAGGAAAAAAGAAGAAAAAATAGAAAAGGGAAACAAAAGAAACGGGGGATGTAAGAGAGGAGAGAGAGTGGAGATAAGAGCCTGAGAGAGGAGGAGTGGGAGTAAAAGAGAGAAGGGGTTGTTGGGTGGAGTCGTCTCGTCGAGGGAGCAAGAAAAACATGGGTAAATATGTTGCTGTGTCGGTATTCTTGCTCGATCCTCTAATAATAGGAAACGTCAAAGCTTCCGCGCTTCGCGCGAGAGGGGGAGACTGAATTCAGATAAAGAGTCGAAAACGGTACAACGAATCGTCTGCTTTCTCTTATATTTTAAGGAAACGTCAAAGCTTCCGCCCTTCGCGCGAGAGGGGGAAACCTGAATTCAGATAAGGATTAAGAGTCGAGAACAGTACACCGAATCGTCTGCTTTTTCTCATAATTTAATGAAACGTCAAAGCTTCCGTGCTTTGCGCGGGAGGGGGAGAAACTTCATTCAGACAAGGATTAACAGTCGAAAACGGTACAATAAATCGTCTTCTTTTCTTAATAATTTAAGGAAACGTCTGAGCTTCCGCGCTTTGCGCGGGAGGCCTATCACCCACACCCCCTAATGAGCGCGCAAGCGCTCTTTAAGTGGTTCGCTTGCTCACTACCGCCCCTCCCTTAAAAAAGATCCCAGCTCCACGCCTGCATTAAAATATATAGGTATGATGCTGACTAAGTTGACGAAATAATTCCTATATTTATGTCGTCGAGGAAAGTGACCATTTGCGCATACGCAAGTACTATAGATAGTCCACAGGAAAAACAATTTAGCCTTCGGCCCGGGTTTATAGGGTTAGATTTGTAGATATTGGGACATATAATTTTGTCGGTATTTGCAGGTGGCTAGTTTTGTCGGTAATCGTTGGCATGTACATCACCCCTCCCCCAACTGAAAAAGGTCTAGCGACGCCCCTGTTCATAAGATGAGAGATGTGAAACAGTAAAGTTAGTTGATTCGCTCTTTTCCCGTTTCAGTTCCCTTAATTTGCTCTGGACAATTATGATCTGCCGTCCTTGCAATATATTCATGTAGCCCATGAATGTTAAATAATGCAAACCAACACGAGGAAACACAAGCAGCAGAGAACGAAAGGGTGAAACTGGGAGAGAGAGAGAGAGAGGGAGAGAGAAAGAAAGAAAATAAGAGAGAGAGAGAGAAAGACAGACAGACAGAGAGGGAGAGGATGATACTTTTTTTTAATCATGGTAATTGTTCTTAGTTGACAACAAGAGAAAGTACAGTAATTGACTCTGCAATATCATTAGGCCAATTTCCTTCCTCAAAAATAATCAATTAATTATGGAAAGAGAAGACAAAAGGATGAAATGTAAAAAAATGGAGTGAAAGGTGACGTAATAGAGAGAGAGAGAGAGAGAGAGAGAGAGAGAGAGAGGAAAGAGGAGGAGAATGGGGAGAGGGAGAGAGGATGAAGTGGAGGGGGAATAGGATAAAGAGAAAAGAAGAAAGGTCGGGGCAGAGAGAAGAAAAGAGAGAGGAGGGGGGGGGGGGGGATGAAACGTATTTTCTCTGAGTTTCTTATTTTATCTTTGCCGTCGTAGGTTGCCTATCATCGCCGTGTAAGAATCAAGGTGTTTGTTCGGAGACGGACTATAGCTATGAGTGTATGTGCCCTAATGGTGTTTTCGGCCATAGTTGTGAACGTAAGTAGATCTATTACCACTATTAGTGTTTGTAACCACTATTGTTATCTATTTAGTTTATTGGGTAAATCGATTTGCTTTTATCACGGTTATCAGGGATTGTTATTTCAATTTAAAAAGTCTAAATATTTCTAATGGGATATATGGCTACTATTATTCTGTGCTTTTATCTGTCCATGAAATAGATACATATTTTTAATATTCAAGAACATTATTCTAAATATTTTGCATGATGATAACATAATATAATTAAAAATGTACATGAATAAACATATTTTGTTTTAAATGTCAACAATTATAAATAAGAAGATGACAAAACGAATTTATTCTCTAGTATATTTTATTTTTCCATCCGTCTGAAATAATGACACTTTATTATTTTTAACAAGGATGTATATGTTTTTTAAAGAAACAAGTATTGATTGATAGTAAGTTGTCTTCTGCACCCACTGGAAAGTATCTATTATTATCGTAAAAGGGTGGGATATATTTGAAGGCGATGACCAGTGTTGCTCCACGCCTTGTTCATAAATATTATCATTGTAGAAACAATGCGGTTAAAATCTTCAGATTAACAAGGACTGTACTATTTTTTCTAGTTTTAGATGTTGTTTGGAAATCTGTTTTCCTTATGTACTATATTATGCATCTTTGCTGTACGATGATCTAAATTTAGGCCTACCGAGAACATGCGCAGAACTGAAGGCACATAACTCTACAGGGACCTATCTCATTGATCCAGATGGCCCGAATGGAAACCTTTCTGATCCAGTGGAAGTTGAATGTCGAAATGGTAACTTTTACACAGATTGTCATTCAAAATATTATTAGTATCTATATAAGTGGGCATAAAGACGATTTGTTTAACAAGATTGGGTCTGTCGTCTCTTACTCCGAATCTTTCCACTTTGTACAGAGCGGAAAATAAATATATTACAGCCACCCATTGGTTGCTGTAGTGTGTTCAATTATCACATACAATCCTGCTGCCAAGAATTCGTTTCTGGTTGCTGGAATATTGTCAGTGTTTATAATGAACGAGGTGGGCTGAACGACTCAAATGATAAAAAAATTGATAAAAAATGAATATATTTTTGAGAGGATTTTGAGCGTTTAATAGTCATATTTAATTGAATCCCTACATTATTTTCAGTCACGAATTTTTTATTTGTTTTTGTTGTTGTCGTTTTTTGTTGTTGTTGGGGGGGGGGGTAATTTTTTTAATTTTAAATATTTGTTATTATCATGTTCTGTATGTATAGCATTATCATTATCATATTATTATAATTTATTTTCAATAAAATGGCCTGTCGGAGGGTCCAACAGAATAAAAAAAAAAATGAAGGGGTTTAAATTGATTTTAATTGGACTAATATGGGATATGAACCGAAAATGATTCACTAGAGTATGGGCGTTTCTGTGGACTTACACTCCCATTGACCCTTACGCCTCAGTAGACGTTGATTCTTACCCCCATTGAGTACTCTCATACACAAGTGCTACCCACCCTTGTCCACCAACCTCTGAAATGGACCCTGATGGCGTATCGCACCTTTTCTGAAATAGACCCTATTTTTTGTGTGTGTGATCAGTGCTTGAAAACACCCCTTTATAAGGTAAATATCGACGACGCCGTATACTGAAAGAGACACCCTTTCGACGCTTTTTCTGGACGCGGGTACGTAGCCAGTCATGTTGGGAGTGACCCCCCCCCCCCCCCCCCCCCCCGCGGAGAAATAGCCCCAACACTGACCATTATTTACCATAACAATTTTGGTCAAGAAGGAGGGGCTCACACATAAAAGTCATAACCCCTTTTCGTCTTTTAATGCTGTCTTTACCTGGCCCCAAGGCGTAACCGTCGTTTCTCACAACATTCCTGGTGAACAGCAAGTTCCTCAAGGCTTTGAGGATGAAGGTTCTTACAGACAAGAGGTGGAATACACCCTACCCATGGATACCATCATTGCAATACTGATAAACTCCAAGAGCTGCAGGCAGTATATCAAAGCGTCCTGTTACGGTACCTACATGATAAGTGACACCAGAACCAATAACATTTACTGGGTCTCAAGACAAGGGATCAAGATGACAAACTGGGGAGATGCACCAAGTGATGTTACAGGGTGCCTTTGCGGTGTCGACAACAGTATGTATTGTTATTTCATTTTCTAGATAACTCATACAAACAATTTTGGTCCGATCTGAACAAGAATGCTTTTTACTAATTATATTGAATAACATTTTGTGTTAAAAATTTATTGTCTAAAATCGGGGTTAAAGGAGGAATTTAGTATGTGGTCTAAGAATTCTTTTAGACCCGGGGTCTGGTTTAACTGAAGCAGTAGAATATGGACCTTGGAAGTTAGATTTCTTATTTTCATCAACCAAAAACAAGACTTTCAAGAAGCCTACGTACACTAGGCCCAATCATGTAAATCTCAATATCACCGGGTTGCCTAAACAGGGATACTGTAGTTACACTTAATGACGTAGTTAATTGTTATGAGGCAACATCCACTAAAACATCTATTGGTGAAAACACTACTGCTAAATTATAGATTAATACTCCTTCTTCATATTTAGCTTGCCACGGTTCACTTAGGTATTGCAATTGTGATAATTCCTACCAATGGATGACGGACGAAGGCTTCTTGAGGGACCTAACTCGACTTCCGGTCACCAGACTACATTTTGGAGATACAGGGAGTGAACGTGAAAAGACAAACTACGAACTTGGATTTCTCGAGTGTGAATGAGGGCTTTATTCAAGAGGAAGATTTTACTTTGTCTTTTCAAAGTATTCGAACACTGGAGGGGGGGGGGTCCTTTAAAGCATACCCATAAAGTCCGTCGATCCGTCTTCATGATGATAATACATGTTTTAATCAGGCTAGGTGGGGGGGGGGGGGGTGTAGCGTTTGGCTATTATGTCTCTTTGAGATAGTTCCTAAAATAATCTATAACGTAAGTGCCCCGTTTATGCTAGTACGCTATAAAAACGTACGGGTGGTATACATAGGCCTTTATTTAATTGAAAGATTTTCGACAAAATTGTTGGGCAGATATTAGGAGCAGGATATTTGCCCTTTAATTTGAATGAATACGTAAGTGCCCCGTTTATGCTAGTACGCTATAAAAACGTACGGGTGGTATACATAGGCCTTTATTTAATTGAAAGATTTTCGACAAAATTGTTGGGCAGATATTAGGAGCAGGATATTTGCCCTTTAATTTGAATGAACAACGCTGTGTCTCCTTTATGCAACATTTACTTTCAATTTAAAGACGTTTACCAATGCATGACAACTCAGTGTGGCACTATAATGAGAACGACCGCGGGTACCTACCAGGCGCGGATCCAGGATTTCTTAGGGGAGGGGGCCCAACTTTTTTTTTTTTGCTCCCGAAAATTTGAAAATCGCGCCGGCCGAAAAGTCGCCCAGTGGGGGGGGGGGGGGGTTAGGAAGTACAGAGCACAATTTTTTTTTTTTTTTTTTTTTTTTTTTTTTTTTTTTTTTGCTCCCGAAAATTTGAAAAACGCGCCGGCCAAAAAGTCGCTCAGTGGGGGGGGGGGGGGGGGGGGGGGGGGGTGGGGGGGGGGTAGAATTCACATTTTTTTTTTGATCCTCAAAAAAATTTCAATTTGCACCCCCCCCCTTGAGCGCCAGGGGGGGGGGCCCAACCCCCAAAAAAGGTAAAAATCACGTGATTTTACATGATTTTTTTCTCAAGGGGGGGGGGGCCCGGGCCCCCCGGGCCCCCCCCCCCCCCTGGATCCGCCACTGGTACCTACTGTATACCCCCATAGCGAGTGGCATGCGCGGATCCAGGATTTCTTAGGGTAGTGAGCACATTTTTTTTTTGTGGTCCTCGAAAAAATCACGTGTTTTTACATGATTTTTTTCTCAAGGGGGCCCGGGCCCCCGGCCCCCCCTGGATCCGCCACTAGCGAGTGGTACAAATATAAAAAGAAAGCGGGAAAAGGAAGAGAGAAATGAAAAACCACCTCCCGTTCTCCCTATTAGTTGTAGCCTTGCAAATTCGCATTTCAGTTGCCAAACAATGAATAAACTCACGATCTGCCACAGCCAGGGAAATTATTAAACTAATGACCTCAATGGTTTCTTAAAGATGGAAATAACAGATCGGGGAATGAGGGGAACTATCTCTTCTTCTAGTCTCCAGCTGTCTCTCAGAACTTTGGTTTTTGTGTTACAAATTCTACATAACTTGTAATCATTTTTGTATTTTTTCTTCGGATAATTGTCATTAAGGTTATTTTGATTGATTGATTGATTGATTGATTTTTAGATTGATTTTTATTCGACAAGCTTCCAATATACAACAATATACAATAATAACAGATCAAAAATAAGTCAGCTTGAACAGGATAACCCACGAAAGCTCGAGAGCTTATTTCCAGTGGGGTCCCTTACAGACATGTATACAATTAATAAATTAAAATAGTAATATTTACAGACAGATAAGAAAATTAAAAGAACTACTTATTAAAGATAATAATAACAACATTAAACTGATGATAGAAATGATATTAAGTACAAGAAGAAAAAGAAGAAGGAGAAGAAGAAAAAGAGGAGAAGGAAGAAGAGGAAAATAATGATGAATTTGTAGAATTTCTATAACGTACGAAAACATAAGTATATACAACATGAAAAAGTATGAACCGACAGAAGAATAACAATTTCAATCATATAACATGTCATTCACTTCTCTTCTCTGACTGTCAAGTATTAGGTATTCCTTTAATTTCCTCTTAAAATGATCATAGTTTCCTATTTCTTTTACACCATTGGGAAGGGAATTCCAATGTTTTATGGCATTGTAATAAAACGAATTTCCAATACTACCTACTCTTTCTGGTAAGTTAAAGTTGAATCGTCTATTTCTTGTATTATAATCATGTACGTCAGTAACAAGATCGAAGTTGGATCGAATATAATGATTCGCCCTAGTATGATATATTTTATGCACGTGATGCAATGCGAGTTGTTTTGATCTTTGGTCGACTTCAAGAAAACCAGCTTTAGAAAGTTCGCTATAGCCAACATGAGTTCTTGGACCAGAACAGTTGATAAATCTCACCATTTTGTTCTGTATAATCTTCAACTTCTTTTGATCTGACTTGTTTATGTTACTGTACCATGCAGGGTTAGCATAGTCAAATAAACATTGAATAAGAGCAAAACAGAGTGTACGTCTTGCTTTTAAATCCATACAACTTTGATATCTGTACAAAAATTTCAGACGAGAATTTGCTTTTTTTACAACTGATTCTACTAAAGATGAAAATGAAATTGCGCTAGCCAACTCAATGCCTAAATACTTCACAGACTCTTTTCTCTTGATTGCTTGATTATTGTGTGTCACTTTGAATTCAAATGACTTTTTAGAACTACTTTTAGAACAAAATAAAATGCTTTCTGTTTTTCCCAAGTGTAAAGAAAGCTTATTATCAGTCATCCAATCGACACACGTAGACAGCTGTTCACTGAGCTTTTCCTCAATATATTTAGGATCAGGATTTGAATAGAGTAGTACGCTGTCATCTGCGTACAATAATAGTTTGAAGTCTTTTATACAAATACACATATCATTTATATAACTTGAAAATAGAATTGGGCCTAAAATACTTCCCTGAGGAACACCGCATGTTATAGGCATTAGTTTGGAACGAATATCATGAATGGCCACTACTTGGTGCCGATTAGATAAGTAGGATCTGAACCAATCTAAACTTGCCTTATCAAAACCCATTAGTTGTAACTTCTTCAATAAGACGCAATGATTAACTGTATCAAAAGCTTTTTGCAGATCAAGGAGCACCATACCAACAAAGCGTCCTTGGGAAGTTTCTCTCCTCAAATAATCAGTCAAATGAATTAGACATGTTTCAGTCGAATAATCATGTCGAAAACCAGATTGAAATTCATAAATTATATCATTTTCTTTGAAGTATCTTTCAATTTGAACACAGACCGATTTTCTAGAATCTTTGATGCTACGCTTAAAACACTAATAGGTCTATAGTTGCTAACATCAGTTTTATCTTTCTTTTATAAAGTGGAGTCACTTTTGCTATTTTCATATCTTCTGGAAAAGTACTCGTCAAGATAGATAGGTTCATTAAGTAACTTAGAGGCTTAAATAAAACCTTCGCACCATCTTTTAGAAATTTAGCTGGAATCAAGTCTAACCCAGTACTTTTTGATACATTCAACTTACGTAACTCTTTGAAAACAAATTGTTCACTGATTGGTAATAACTCGAAGCTGTTTTCACGTACACCTTTTCTTTCGTAAAAGTCACGAATACAATCATTGTCTGCGCTGAAAAAGTCTTTGGAAGGGGGGAGTTTGTCTACTAATTTGGCAGCCACATTTGTGAAATGAGAATTGAATTCATCAGCGATGGCCATCTTATCATGACATAATTCCCCATCAATTTTAATGACAGATTCTTGTTCTTTTCGCTTCTTATTTTTCAATCCTAAGCTTTTTAGATTCTGCCAAAGTTTTTTCGAATCTTGTTTATTTTCTTCTATCTTGTTTTGTAAGTAATCGAGTTTAGCCTTTTTCACCTCTCTTTGGACCATATTTCTTAATACTCTGTATCTTTATAGAGCTTCTCATCTTTTGCTCTTTTCCTCCATTTTTGTATACTATATTTCTCTCTTGAATTAGGGAAAGAATATCTTTAGTCACCCAAGTTTCTGATCTTTGTTTTATTCTTATCCGTTTCAGTGGCGCTATCATATTCAAATTTGAGATAAAAACATGTTGAAATATTGACCATGCCTCATTTACATCTGTACAGTCAGTTATTCGTGACCAATCAACAACAGATAGTTGAAGATTGAAAGACTCTTCTGTATATTTTTTCATGGATCTGATATCATTAGTCCTGTGATGACCTATAGCCAGTCTAACATTTTTCCGTGTACAGAAAGTAAAATAATGGTCGCTAATACCTAGATCAATGACACCACTTTGACTTATTTATTTTCTTTGGTACAACCAACATGATCCAATAGAGAAGAACATGTAGGTGTAACGCGTGTTGCCTCTTTAATGAGTTGACTAAACCCATGAAGACTCAACAAGTCAATATATTTTTTAGCCAGTGGCGATTTGCGAAGAAGACAAATATTCATGTCTCCTAAAAGAATTATTTCGTCATCCTTCTTTAATGTATCAAGAATATTGGACAATTTCTCGATAAACAAATTGTTTTTCGGAGGTCGATACAGAACACCAACAACAATTGGTTTTGATCTTGGTATAAGCAAATTTATCCACAGGGATTCCGTATCTCCAGTACTTATAGCATCCATAATATTAAATGCAATATCATTTCTGATATAGAAACATACACCACCTCCAGAGCCAGAGGATCGATCATGGCGTATGATTTTATATCCGTCTATTTCAATTTCTTCATCATTTATGGAATTGTTTAACCATGTTTCAGTGAAAGCAATAATAGACAGCCTTTTTCTTTTAAAAAGAATTCTAAGTTCCGATATCTTGTTTAGAATAGACCTCACATTAAGGTGTTCTATTTTGGTAGAACTTTCTTCTCTTGCATACGAAATAAATAAAACAATTAAACCAAAAAACATCTGATTCCGACTGATGGAATTTTCAATACCAATATTGTCTGTAATTACAATATTTACGAGCAAAACCCTGGCTGCACCACTGTGGTGATACGCTTGTGTTAACTCGGTATAAAATGGACCTATAAAATGCTTGAAGAGAAATGTAGCCGCTAGATACCTGATGATAATTATTTGGCCAATTTGACAAGTGCAAGTGCAGTACTGATTGGGTAGCTTACTTCTAAAATAAAGAAAAGAACAAACGTGTAGAATCGGTGGACGAATGTATTAAGTGTTCGCCTCTCTTTCGTGTAAATAGACTAACCACAAAGAAAGTAGACGAGGATGTAATTTTGTATATATTACATGTATTTACTTGTGTATCATCAATTATGTTATTATTCATCACTCAGTTCTTAAAACATGAAGTGCTTTATAAATGGGTGTGGCATTTCTGGCGGCATTGTAATAGCGCATCTTTTCCGCCACGCCCACTTTCGTAAAAAACATCTGACAGCAAGATGCAATTTTTCATCTGAAAAAGAAAGCGAGAGACAATTCATAGCAGTAAATGAAAGGCATACCATTTTTTTTAGTGTCCATTGCGGCGTACCCATTTTGATGGCGTATCCAAAAATTGAAAACGGGGGGGGGGGAGGGGTCGAGGGGACTTATTCTCAATGTATGGGGTTACGAGAACTGCTCGCATGCTCTTTTACTCTTTACAAAAAAATGTTTATTATTTAATTTTCTTCAAAGGAGACAGGGGCTATGTAGAGCCACAGTTCATTTTATCTGGGCCATGCTAACGGCATTTTTTTAGTTTGTGTTTGTGTGTGTGTGGGTGTGTGTGTGTGTGTGTGTGGTTGTGTGCGCCATCACCAAAACTATGGTTGTGATATAGACTTTAAATCATTTGTAAACGTTATAATGCTTATGTGGTTAAAGAGACTTCTTTGTGGAGAAAGAAATTTGGGATAGAAGCTATATTTTTTACTATAGCTTTTAAACAGTAGGCTGTAGGGGTAAAAACATTTATTTCCGTTGGCAGCTATGATGTAAAATATAAAATAAAATAATTCACCTGTGAAGAAATGCTTCATAGCAAGATATGGGGGGGGGGGGGGCTGTAGAAATTTTCAAGAAGGGAAAAATAATCCAATAATCTTTAATGATAAATATAACCTCTGTCATTATCGAATTTTATTAATTTATCAATTGACAAAAGCACCAGTGCTTGAAATTCAGTTACTTATTTATGTTACTTTTTCATCATTTTGTATCAATCACATAACTTACTCTAGTGGAATAAACTTTATGTTGAATGGATTCAAATAAAGATCACTGTTTGTTTGTTTAATTGTTTATTTGTTTGTCAATTTGTTTAAACAGTAAGTCCTGCGGCTGTGTTCTCATAATCATACTCCAAAAAAACAAACATAGGCTAATTAAATTGTCATTACGATGATCAAATAATAGACATTTTCGGGTAAACCCCGAAAAAAGTGGGGTGGAGTCAGTGGTGGATCCAGGGTGGGGGCACGGGGGCCTGGGCCTTCCCCTGTCCAAATAAAGGGTAAACAAAAAGATGTTAACAACAATTTTACTTATTTGTTTTTTGCTTGATTCAATTTAATTCAATTTTATTTCCATCAATAATGACGTGGGAATTCATTGTGGGATTTTACATATTGCGTTTACATTAAAATCATGTATAAAAAGACTTCAAAAGCATGACATTGTGAGAAATTGGAAAAAACATGAAATGACATCGACACAATGCACAAATATACTTAGTAAAAAGACCACAAGATTTTCAACATAACTTTAGTAAATAGTACCCTAATCCCTGCACCCTCCCGCCCCCCCCCCACCCAAGAAACTCATTCCAGGCCGGAGAGAGAGAGAGAGAGAGAGAGAGGAACACAGAGAGAGACAGAGACAGTGAGAAATAAGGGGAGACAAAGATAGAGAGAGAGGTAGAGGAAGATATGAGAAAGAAATAAAGAGAGATAGAGAGAGAAAGAAAGAGAAAAGAAAGAGGGAGATAGAGGTAGAAGAGAAGGATCGAGACAGGGGTAGAGAAGGAATCTCAACCCACAGTTCGGGCAAACCCGAATCCAGAGATAATTGCACAAGGAGGAGGGAGGTGGGCGGGGGGTTGGGGTGTTAGTAAAAAAAAATATATATATATTGCTCACATCCCACATCCCCCCCCCCCCGGGAGGGCCTGTTAGGGTACAGGTAAAACCGGGCAGCTTGGACAGGATGTTGACCCGGGCTTGATACAGGACAGGTGACCTTTATTAAATTTATTTAAACAAAAACACATCTTATGTTAGTACAATGGGTTTTTTTTTTTTGGGGGGGGGGGGGGGGTGGGTGGGAGGGAGGTTGTAAGAATTATCACCACAAACACAACCCTATAGTAGAATGAGGAGGAAACATTTACATTGTTTTTATTGAGATAAAGTGATCATAGATGATAGTAACATCTGACTAATCATAAAAATGATTTCAAATCAATAAAAATACATCATTCATATTTGGTGAAAATGGGTAAATCATTAAGGTCCTTCACAATCTTCAAATTGGCCACGAAGATATCATGTTGATTCAATTTACTCGGCTCAGTTCAGCTCAGCTCCGTCATCTTGTGAAATAATTTTCGGCCTTTCTGAATTCCTATCTTACCTAGATTTACTTTCAAGAAGTCGGTGAGTGAAAGTTTGTGTGTATAATGTTACGTGTGTGGTAATCTAGCCTCATTTTAAAGATTAACTCAATACTAGAACCCTGAAACTTAGAAGCGAGGTAGATCTTCGCTTGCGCTCCCGATCCTGCCGCCGCGCCGCCCTTGGCCTTTCTCGGCCGTGGAGGATCCCTTCTTGGGGGCCCCTGACCCGCTCGTGCGGCAGCGCAGCGTACGTACGACGCTCCGGTGGCATACTCTCCTGTTTTCCCGTGGCAGAATTTGAAGGCTAATAATTTATTAGTCTAAGAAGGCTTTTGTTAGTGTGTTAGACTTTCTTAGGTGGTTATAAGGTACACTACAATACCAATATTTAAGCATTTAACACAATTAACAGTGAAATGTTAGATTTTATGTGTAACTTGTCTTTAGATTTACTTTGATCTGTTGATGCTCAGACAATGGCCAATGCATAAATGAATGAATGAATGAATGAATGAATAAAATGTTGGTTTAGATTTTAGTTACATGGCCAATCATCGACAATTAATAAGTCTGGTTGGATGTTCTCTGGCCTATACTTGGGGAAAGGTCCTAAACTACTAACATACAATGATGAAGGGCGACAGAAATCTAAAAACTAAACAAACAAAAAACAACACAAACTTTTTACAGGGAAGTTACAAACATGGAAATATCCACGGTTGACAGTTGTGGTCGTGTTTGTTGTTTTTGTTGTAGACAGTCGTGGTCAGTAGGGGCGCTGGTCCGAGAACAAGGATCGTCTTCATAAATGCAGACGGATGCCTCCGCTAAAATAAGTATCAGCCGCATTTTTGCTGACGATTCTGATTTCCGATCCGCTCGATGATGTTCTTGATGCATTTCACGTTGACTTTGTACAGACACTTTCACGTTATGAGCGATTGATCTTCGGGAAGACGGACAACCCATTTTATTAAGCGGATCCGATTTTTTGCATTGCCAGCGACCCAGCGCGCGGATCGGAAGCCTGCAGGGCACTGAAGGAAAAAAAACGAACAATGCGGACGATTCTCATTTTTTAGGACACATTTTGTCTGCGTTTACGAGGATATCCTTGTTTATGCGGAAAATCCTCATTCTCGGACAAGTGCCCCTACTGGTGTTTGTGGTTGTCATACTTGATGGCGAGTCTGTTTCTATTTGACTGCTTGGCAGCCACTATCCCTTGGCCATAATTAAAATTGTTTTAGGCCAAATAACAAAATTGAAGTGTTTCTCGTCCCCGTCTGCCTACTTTTTGGCCGCCGCCTCCTTTTTTTGTACAACCAGAGGTACTTACTATTCAAAAGAAAAAAGGCAACAAAAAAAAACCTGTGTTTAAATAACTTCTAAAATGATATAAATCATTTGTTTTGTTATACATTGCATCAGTATACTCACATAGCCCAATATTTGTGAATAAATAGGCTTGGCCAGCTATAATTAGTATTGCAGCCATCTTGGAAATAAATCGTGTCGCCTCCTTTTTTTCTTTTTAATCTGGACGAGAAACACATTATTTTTGTTATTTGGCCTTATTAGAAATGACAATGAATTTGTAACTTCAGTATTCAAAATCCAATAATAAATGCTCTAACTTTACACATTATATGTTAGATAACATTGATTATCATTTACATACATATATTTAACCTTTGTTTCATGTTTATAACATGTTTTTAATCCTAAGTAATAACACGTTATTCAACATTAGCTTAATTTCTCACAAATTTGCAGATTTTCCCCCAAATAAGTGGTTCCTTAAAAAGAAGAGATTAGTAAATCATTATTTAATGATATTTTTAAGTTGAAATATCTACATCTTATATTTGATAAAGCAAAACTCCTATCTTTTCTACATCGTGAAGACCTTTTCAAGTTGATAAAACATACATGTACCATAAATATAGGGGTGGTAGAGGGAACCACATGCCTGCCTTGGCTCTTGAAGGGGGCGCAAATAAAAAAGAAAAAAAAAGAGAGAGAAAGGGAAGAAAAGGAAGAAAAATCATAATCCTCAAGGATTGTGTGGCCCCAATACGAACTGTGAATTGTATTAGAACTAGAGTTTTTGAGGGTTTAAGGAAATTAAGATGCCAACATTTTGTCGCTTTGCTCCTTCACATGTGTTTCTTCAGGATTTCGTAATTTCATGCCCCAATATGAAAAAAGTTACAAATAGCAATTTAAAGAGATAGAACATGATGATGTGTAGTTCTTGTTACTTTGCTTCGTATTGCGCTTACATGTAAATACCGTGCGAGTCAAAAAAAAGTTTACACCTAGAAAATTGCTAATTATTTCAAAAATCATCTATGAACAGTAAATTATGATACATCTTATGAAAGAGCGTTTTATCCCAAATCATTTGGTATCCTTTTTGTGTGGTATGTGTTCATGCTTGGATTAAAAGGAGGCATTGTTTGCGAGAGTGCAAAAATCGACTTACGCCAAAGTAATGTACAGTATGTAATATGTTGGGATTAAAGTGAAAGAATGAATTGAATGTACCAAATGAGATGCATTGCAGCAGAAGCAAAGTCTCACACAAACGCGCTCGTGCACAAATGTTCATTGATATTCAATATTTGATATGTGTGGCATGATTAATTTTGTAAGGGATGTTATTTGGATCTGCAATGATCAAATTAATACCCAAAGCCAATTGTTTTATTCAAACATCACATACAGTGTACACTGTAAGCAACTTTGGCGCAAGTCAATTTTTGCACTCTCGCAAACAATGCCTCCTGTTCATCCAAGTGTGAACACATACCACACAAAAATGATACTAAATGATTTGGGAAATTGGGATAAAACACTCTTTCATAGGATGTATATAATTTACTGTTCATAGATGATTTATAAAATAATTAGCAATTTTCTAGGTGTATACTTTTGTTTGACTCACACTGTATACTGTGCATTGTTAAAAGGAAATGACATTTGGGAAGATTTTTAGAGTTCCTATTTTCTAACAACCATCATCTCATCATCTCATATTCAGTCAACAGGATGCCCAAACCTCTAATACATTTGAGTGCCTGAATGTAATTGTATTTGGGCAGCAAGGTGCTTGATTTATATATTATATATATATAAGCTAGTGAATTTTGATGATGAAATACATTTTCAATAAATGATAATGCCCATTTTGTAGCAAAAAGAAAACAAAAAGAAAACAAAAACAGGATGACAATGGGATTCCTGAAAATCTGGCCAGCGTGTATTTTGATGACAAAGTAATATAATGAAAGTGTCCTTTTTATCTTGTTTGCTTTTCTTAATTTATGTAGATAACTTTTGGTAGTGGAGGGGTTGGGGGGTTGGGAGGGGGATGGGTGCAATTTCCTTGCTTGATGAGGGCACGGAGAGACACCTACATGTACATGTATAGATACTCTGCTGTATAAACATGCACCAAATTGCACTATTATAAATATAAAAATGCAAAAAAGCACTCACTTTAAGGGGGGGGGGGACACCCCTTCCCAATATGGAGGTGTTGTTGTCTAGTGTTCACTCTATGTCACCAGACTATGGATCACATAATTTATAAATTAATCCTACGGCGGTACTAATCCCCTTTGGCATAACATTAATCTACATTTGCCTCACTCAACCCAGGTGATGTAAATGATAACCCTGTAAACGATCATCGGATCAGGGGCCGGTCTTGAGCCAAACTTGAGCCGATCAGGTGAAATCGGATAATAAATTCTGATCGCCGATCAATAAAAATGATCTAGAAAAATAGGCAGAATTTTTTTTTTTTTTTTTTTTTTAAATTCTGAAAATTTTCAAGTTTTGGGGCTATCAAATGCTAATTAATGCTAATTACATTATCAATTTCAAAGTCATGAAAAGGCACTTAATATCAACAAACATGGTCTACAAGAACTCTAAATGACAAAATAATCCCAGCTATGAATGTTTTCTTCGCATTCGATAGCCCAAAACTTGAACATTTTTCTGCCGATTTGTTTTGCTGATTATTTTTGCCGGTACCGATCAAAGGTGCTAGGGTGTCGATCCGGTCAAAGCCCCAACTTACAGGGTTAGTAAATGGGTACCGGACAGGAATGATTAACTCTTTGACCCCCTCTCTCGGGTATGAGGGGACAGTCAAACAAAAGTATAAATAGCAATGCATGACTTGTGATATGATATACAATTCTTATACATTATACATAGATTATGACACAAAGATACAAACAATAATAGGTAGATAGTGTATGAAAGTACAAACGAGCGCCATGAATGTCAAGGCTGACAGACTTGAGCAATACACAAGAACCCACTATCATTATAATTATTATTTAATTTTTTGAACAATATTATTTTAATTATTATTAATATTATTATTATGATTAATGTAAGATATGAAGAAGATGACATAGTGCATGGATGTTTTTTATAGTTGTGCACTGCATTAAAAAAAACAGATACATGTATCAGGGACTTGTATCCCAAGTCCCTGCATGTATTAACAATAATCTGTTACAAAATTGGTTACATAAAATTTAGCAAATGACGCAACAAATAGGAGGATATCATGGATGACAGGACAACATACAATATGTACATGTAAAAGCATTATTTTAAACAAATTGCAAAATATTGATGTCAATGGTCCTAAAGTGAGGGTTAGATGTTCCCATCTGTAATTCCTCAGAAGTCAGAACTCAATACTCAATAAGTCTTGATGTTTCTCTGTTTTTTCGATTTTGCACTATAAAGTAGAATGGTTTAAACATTCAAGAAAGTGGAATGCATCACTGCAGACAGTACAGTGTATATATGAAAATTCCATTTGTTCCATATTGAATGATCTGTATTGTGGATCTACATACATGTACAATGAATTGATTCAAATAAATGTGAAAAGATTTAAACCAGTGCAAATCAAATAAAGTGCTTTAATGATTCAAATAAATGTGAAAAGATTAAAACCAGTGCAAATCAAATAAATTGCTTTAATGTGCGTCAATCACAGATGAACATTTATTAATTTATTTATTCATACATATTTATACAGGTACATAAGATCAGAAATAAATCTGAACATGATATGGCTCTAAGTTATGTTACACATAGTTTAGTGTACATACAAGTCAAACATTGGCCAGTTTGGCTAATTAATACATTTGTTTAGGGACTGATTGTACTGTAGACTTACATGTACATGTCACTACCTCCACGTGGAAGTTCAATATCGAAGCTTAGCTTCATCTAGGGATAATGTCGCACACACATCTCTCGCATGATCTACATGTACGAATGCATGTAGCTTTCTCTGCATTTCCAAGGGGCCACTGTAATGATCTTGGGGGCAGAATTTTTAGTAGTAGGGTGTCTAGACTACTGCCTGGATAAATAAGTGTGACGTCAAACTGTAGGGCTATCTAGTTTGTGTAGATTGTAGATGTACTTTGTACATTGTAGTTATATGATTCAGATGCCTAGAAATGTTATAGCAGGAACATGTACTTCTATGTGTACATGTACATACATGTGTTCTCCAAAATACAAATGCTGTTCATTTCTCTACATAGTGTTTATTGATCAAATGTATGTTTATTTATAGTGCATAGTCTATTTTGAATCAATTAATAGAATCATCTTAATTACCTCTAGAGTTCATTCAGTTTGCTTTATAGTAAATTATTAGAAATGAGTCTTCATCTATGAAGGTCCACTGCCCTTGAATCATCATGTGACATCACTCTCAAAGTGTAAATTGAAAGGGTTTGTCACAGGTCACTTTTGATCTTATATACATTATGTGAGATAATAAACATGACTTAAAATATATGATGATCCTGATAAATGCATAGCAAAAAATTCTCACAGCATGTCAGTAGACCCAGCATTGATTGATACTACTTGACATACAGGCCTACATGGACTTGTGACAATACAAAGAAAGTGACACGCACTATACTGAAGATATAATTTACAATTTTGTACATAGTAATTAAATTATAGTTTACAATGAAATGGTAAATCAATACCATACTTTCAGTTTCAGGAATTCTTTATATCATTGGTTATAGTGGATACATTGGTGTTTATAAGAAGTAGATCTGTGAATAATGATAATTTCTGAATTTCATTGGCTACAAAACGGATTTTACCCATTCATATTTCTGTTTCTTACTGTACTTCAGTATCATGCCCAATTATGCTGTGTAATTCAAAATCTAAGGTAATTCTTTGCCATGCAGTTTAGAAAAGCATACATGGCAAATTTAAACATTTAGAAACACAATGGAAGTAAGAGGAGCATGCAATTTAATTCTCAATTCTCAAGAGGCTTTCTTCTTCACGTCATATTGATCAAAGTCCAGATGGTGACCCCAGTAAAAAAGAAGGAGAAATTTGTCTTCACTGACATGTGACCAGGGATAGTAAATAATACAGAGCGTTGATGCCTTCCACGTTGGCTGGTCGGTCGTTCAGGTGTGTGTTCCCGAGCTCTATGACTCACCGATGAATCATGCATTCATACTGAGGGCAGAGACTGGTTCTGGTGCCGAGTTGATGATGAAAAATAATAAAGCATCCAATTATATATTGAAATGTGCCTCAGGGGATTGGGATGATGGTGATATTGTAGGAAATAGAGTGGCATTAATGTAGCTCATTTAGGGACGATATGGAAGAGAGGATTGGAGTTTGGATATGATACTGCTGTAGGGGGGTATTCTTGTCATTGTAGCAGCTTGGCAGTCATTGGTGTGTAGCAAGTCTGGGGTTGCCTCTGGCTGGTGTATATTTGGTCCTTGACTTCATTCTCTAGTATCTTGAGTATCTTGAGTATCATGGTAAGTTGTACAAACAATCTGCCAGTAAGGATCTTGTTGCCATTGAAAATAATAATTTGCACATTGTACTTTGTACATTTACATGCACAAATGAAATACATGTATGTTGTCATGTATTTTGTTGCAATTTTTCAACATTTCATTCTCCAAAAATCATTTTTCCTAGGGATTTTAAGTATTTTGGTATGAAATTACATTACATATTTGTAGATGAGTTCTCTAATATGTTTACTAGATGTATAAGTCCAATATTCTGTTTGGTGCCAATAGAAATACTGGTAGTCAACATCTGGAAAACAGTTTGCATACTGGACTACATTAAATTAAAAGTATAATTTTTGCCATCTGTAGAATTCCTAAATGGAATTTGATTATATTATTCAGCATACTAAATTACCCTCTGCTTGTCTCATGAATATCTAATCTCAAATTCAATTATAGAAAATGTGTTAACCGTGTTACAGTGAGAGTGATTGAGGATGCAGTTGACCTGCATGTAGTATAGACAGTTCTCATTTGCTGACCTGAAACAATTGTGTTCAAGTATACATACTGGTACTTGTAGTACTAGTAGCTAGACTATTATGTTTTATATAGATGATGGTACAGATATGCTGCACAAACTCTTAAATAGTAACTTTCATCTTCTTTCAATAAAGCATTTGAAGTTTTGTAAATATCAAGATATTGTATACACTGTAATGACTGTATATGTACGTGTACAGTACAGTATATCAATTTGATGAAGATAGGATATATATCTTACTAATTTTCATCATCCAACAATAAAGATATTTCATGTAAAGTTGGTAAGAATTTTCCCCCAAAGTTATACTTGTTTCATGAATGACATCCCTACTGCAAACTTTTGTGAACAGTTATTAAATTCATTAGATTACCATTAAAACAAATTTCAGCTGCCTGTAATGAAGATTTTACCTCAATTGTGGTTTTGTGAATTGTATTTTATTGTATTGATGACAGTAATATGACAGATGTGTTTGTTGTGAGACAGGATGGTACAGTTATGAGTCACGGTACATTTGTTTCAGCCAATTTGTATGTGACTCTACATGTACATAACATATGCGCACTGCAACAATTGGAATTGACATTTGCCATTTGCAATTGTGTACAGTCACTATATGCAGCGCAATGTACTGTTGCCTCGTGCAATGTAGGTTACACGTAGATCTACACAATGTGTATCATTTATAGTGTGGAGAGTTTTATTAGCTTCATTGGACAGTGTAAGTGTTATTAAAGTTTGAACAATATTACCAGGAAGAGGAACCCAATATGCCATTTGCATGATTTCTCCTCTCAATACCTGTTTACAATGTACATTCAGATCTATACATGTACATGTATGTTATTCTTTTAAAGCTTTTCTAGCAATTTTTGTTTTGTTTTATTATTTGTTTACGTTTGTTTTCAAGCATCTTGTATCTTGACTCCAGACAGAATTCATTTGACTTTGCATGATACATGTACATGTACCTATTTAAAGAACAAAAAGAAAGTAATGTCATGTTTTGTACCATGTATTGCTGTGGCTTGATTTGATCTTATTTTGTTTAAACTGTTTCTGTTGCATGCTTATTGTTTATTTTTTTCTTTTGCTTTTGTATCTCCCTTTTTCATTTTCCTGTACAGCCAGCCTACATGTATGTGCTTGATTTTGATTGAGTTTATTACCACATCAGCATCAGCATGACCTCAGATGACCTTTCAATAGTTCATTGACCCATATCCTGACATACCCAAACCTGATAGTAAAATGTTTGTCAAATCCTACTGTCTCCCAGTCTATATCCCTGGATATGTGGATTAATTCTGGATTTAATGGGGGGAGGTCAGATTCCATAGCAGGGTAGAGGAAGTTCAGATCTCTGTGTTTGGCTGCTATACAGTACTGGGGAAGATCGCAATCACTGGAAATTACCCCCACATTCTCTGCAAACAGCTCATGCTTTGTGTGCTTTCCGGTAATGCTACAAACATGCACAGGCGGAATATGAGAGTGTAGCTAGAGGCTGCTGCTGCTGCTTGCATGCCCATGTTCTATGAACACATGTTTATTTGTCGCTACACTGTTTTCAGCTGAGCACAACACATGCTGAAGTTCAAGTCGAGTTTGATTACCCTGGAACTGGAGATGTTATCTAAAAACCATAGTATTTATTACTGATACAACCAGCAAGGTCTGATGAGCTTGTTGTTGCTACTTTTCAGTTATTTTTCTGAGAGAAACATTTGATTGCATCTAAACCTCTCGTCACAATTTGAAGTCCCTTGATGACTTCAGCTGCTATGCTAGTAGATTTTTATTTTAAAAGCACACACCCATGAACACTGATGTTTCGGACACTCACACGTACTTGCACTTGAAATACGTGTTGCAAAGTATAGCTCTAGTAGCCTGACCTGGGACTTTAGAGATTTTAGGATCAATTTTGTAAGCTAAGGGATCCCTCCCCATTACCTCTGCCCTGTTGACCCATAGTGGCATGTGGTTGCTATGGCGTGGTGTTTGGTTGCCAACACGGGAATGCTGCACATCCTACAGCAGGACTTGATGTTGATTGGTCGAGATCAGTGTGACATCTCCATCCAGGTGAGTACTTGACTGGTGACCTTGATTGCCACACCCCCATATTTTTTTGTTAAACCAGGCTAAGGAACGACTAAAAAAACAAACTATATAAGGCCTACTTGGAGGTATTACAACCCTCAACTACTTTTTCCCTCTAAAGAATTCCTTACAATACATGTATCTGGTCAACAAGTTTTGCCAGAGGTCTAGATGGGGTTGGGATAAGGAGGACGAGAATAGGGGGCATTTAGTACCTGTAGGTCTTTTAGAAAAATCAGCCCTTTTCATGGTTAAGTCAACTTTCAAACAAAAGTTTCAACTGTGTCATTGGCAGTCTCTCTCCTAAGGATCAAAATGTTTGAAAATCGATTTATGCCATTCATTTACCAGGTACCGGTATATGGAAATCCTTTTGAATTTGAAAGATAAGACAATCCACTTGTCTTTATTATTTGGGGTACATGCCTAGAAATGGACCATGGAATCAATGTACATGTACACTAGCTCCAAGAAATCATTCTCTCCAGGCACGTATTGTACTGTATTAATCTAGGCATATAGATTTCCTTCAATGTTGCTAACATAAGTACACCTACACCACAGAATTGAATCCACTGCTATACACACGTAAGTATAAAGGGGTAATGTACAGTATGTCAGAATGCATGATATGACTTATTATGAATATATTATGTATAAATTTGCATGAATGTTGCATCGTTTATTGCTTTAAACAGTATCCTCTGTATAGAGGGTGTAGTCACTTCACATACTTGCACCTACATTGTACATGTACAACTATACCTGGCTCTCAGCAGACAAAGTCTTGTTTGTTTCATTGATTTAGTATTGATATGCATGTAGTAATCATTCAATATGTACTTCTTCAAGTACTGTCAAATAAGATTGATCCCCACTTGAAGTGAATGTGTGAACTTGAGTTTTAAAATGTACAGGTTCAATGCATGTAGTACTTTCCATACAAATTACACACACGCTTATTTGTATTTTGCTAGAGATGATAAATACATGTATGTACTACTCAAGGATTTGTCAGTTGCTTGTATTAAAGGAATATGTGTGTACCAGAATCTACTGTATAAATGTATGACAAAACTTCTTGCAATCTATGAAAAAGCAATTACAGGTATAATGTACTCGAGTATAAAACATGTGATTTGACAGCATTGCCAGCTTGTACTGTATGAGTGAACTCTCTTGTGATAATTATTCTTAATTGATTTTAGAGTTTTCCATATATGAATTCAATTAAATATAGGTATCCAGATTCATTGGTCTCATATTTCAAGTTATATTATCCCTTTAAAAACTGAAAATTGTAGCAGTTCTTGCCGAAGTGGGGATTTGTAGTGCGTTAATATGTGTTGTTTACGGTATCTGGATGTGCGCAATAATATTACCAATAAACATTGATTAGGACGATTGATGTTATACACGGCTACGGTTCTCTCGATCATTGCGTTGTTAATTGACACTGAACTTTTGTCAGGATATTGAATCTCCCACAGCTGTTGGTCTCATACAGACATGCATGCAACACACAGTCATACAGTGTATAGTGCACTGTACGTCCGTGGTCGTTACAAACAAACCTGAGTTAGTTTTAATGACATTGTGTGTTTGAATAACAATGGATACAATTTTAGTTTTAAGATGAATCACTTTTAAATGGAATTCAACATCTATACTTATACATGTACTACAAGTACATGTACAGTATACATTCCCATTTGATATGTGTTAGGGTTATTTTCACATCAAATTTATGATTTTACATAGTAAAGTGAGATGAAAGTGGTGATTATTGGTAATGGTGATGATTGGGGTAATGATGTAAATAATGCAAAATAATGTACACTGTTTATGATATATAATTCTTAATGCACGTTTTGAAAATATGACTTGTACTTTTGATATACCGGTACATTTTAGGCTTTTTGCCAAATATTTATTACTGTTCAGTTCTCATGGACATGAAGACACAATCAACACATACAAGTACAGTATATTTCTGTGATATTGTTGTATGGCAGTAGACAATATATTGGCTACCACTGGCCTTGGGATACATGTAGAATTGTATTTCAGTGTCAGTCAATTTTGTATCAGTGCCAGATCGGATATTGAATTTTATGTATTCTTGAAGTAAGAGCCAGCCAATACAATAATATTACAATCATCTGTGTCGGTCACATGTCAATAGATGATAAGTGATCCATTTTTAACACAGGTTTTGATGTGTGATCTATGATACCATCAATACGTTCATATGTTCAGTATGTATATGTTCATTGTGAATGTCTTCTGTTTGTTAATTTATCTTGTACATGTACATAGTTGCAAGTCTAATATCTTCCTTACCCATGGTACAAAAAGAGGGAGGAATAATAGGCAGACACATTTGTTTATAAGAAACCAACAGATATGAAAACAGGATTAACATAAACTAGAAAGCTTTAAAATTGCACATATTTCAGAGGTACACGTTACACGTACATGTAGGCTATGTTATAATGTAGACCTGCTAATCTGCTATATTTCCTTTTGTTGTTGATTTAAAATTATTTGTATACATGTACGTACAGTATATGCACTAGACCAGAACCACAAAATGATATATTTCCTCAATTCATGATTAGCTCAATTAATTCATAATTTGGTAGAGAGGAAACAATTTGGGTCGGCCTTTTTTCTTCTTCAAAGTGTTTGCCCGGCAATTGAGTGATTGGTCTTTATTTGTCAGAATGTCAGATATGTGTACAAAGTGAGCTGCAGTGCAAATATTGTCCACCTCACTGTTGATCATGCAGATCTGCATACCAGGGTACGTGTAGACTTTTAAATGAGGTTTGGCCTGACAAATGCTCTTTTATCTTTAATAGCCCTATTACACAGGCATTCCAGTTACACCTTAGCTTTAAAATGTACACTCATACATACACAATATTGTTATTTTGTGGTGGATGCAGTAGTCTAGAACTGGGCTTCCTTAAACATGGATATTTTTATGGGCATACTATAATTGAACTAATATTTGTATATGTTTTGTTAATATTCTAAAGGTAGGTACATGTACTTGCTATATCAATGTTGGGCTAGAATTCTACAATGTCAAGAATAGTTCTATAAACTCTGGTATTATCTGTTTACTTGTACACTGTAATGTTCTGAATCTGATCAATACAATCACCGCTATTAAAGTATTTTTACAAAATCAAGAACTAAAATTATGATTTGGGGGTTATTTTTGTTTTTGCTTAAATTTGTTATCTTTTTAACAGGTACAAGAACTTTTTAAAACTTGTTCGACATATTGGAATTCACTTGACCTCATTCAATCTAATTATGTTCATCTCACCCTCTCTTCCATTGTGTTTTGTTTTTCTCTCATTCCAGTCTCGCAGTGTAGACAAACAGCATTCAGTGATCGCCTATGATCAGATTGATGGGTCGCATTCCATAAAGGACGTTGGTAGTCTCAACGGGGTGAGTTGATCTTGTTTCATCGTTAAAAATGGAGTCAAATACATGACCTTTGACCTCATCAATAGCTTGATTTCAAGCTCAGTGTTGTTGATCAATATCGACCTCATAATATGTTGATCAAGAAGAAATTCTAGCATAAATTTGTGAAAACACTGCACATAGACTGGATGCCATATTTTACTGTAGCTAAACGTTATGAAAGATAACTTATATAAAAGGGTATGGCACAAGACACGGTCTAATCCTTCGGATAAAGAAAACCATGAACTACATCATTTAGAAATCAGTCCACTTCAGTGCCCAGTCGTAGTCATTCTGTTTGATAATGGTAATTAACTTTCATTATATACCTCACTTAAGAAATCCAGCCATCTGATTGGTCGAATTGCATTCATAAACTTCAACTGTTCCTGTAAAATTCCCGGTAACCATGCATAAAACATTTAATATTTTTAATAACCATGGTTATTAAAAAAATAGGTCAGCCTCCATGGTTACCCCATAGGTTTACATGTTAAAAAATGGTTTGAGCGATCGAGGATACCGTATGTGTGCGAAGGATTGGTCGGTAATTTCAATACAATTGAATCTCGATCGATCTTACCGACAATTTTATCTTGCATTGTTGACATGAAGACGAAAATAAACTTCCAAAAACAAAAAAACAACATCTGCCGATAGATCTTGATCTAAGTTCGTGCCAATATGCATTGCAAAAGTAAAAGAAGGGTGCTTTTGCGAAGCATTCATCACGCCGAAGCCGGTTTCAATCCATTTTAATGTATATATTGTACAAAACTGCCAAGCATGTGAACAGCGCGCGATGGCCGAGTGGTGTAAGGCGTTGGTGTAAGATTCATCACTCATTGTACGCAAGAGTTCGACTCTCACCTTCGACAGAAAAAAAAAGTATTTTTTATTTTTTATTTTTTAGTCTATTTTTTTTCGGCATATAAAAGTATTAATGACTGCTTTAATATTCGAGAAATAGTTGTTTTCATACGCTCTCGGGAAGGTTACAATTGGGCTATTCCCCTCGGCAAGCCGGGGAATAGCACAATTCTAACCTTCCCTTGAGCGTAATAAAACAACTATTTCTCTCAAAGCAGTCATTAATACTATACTATTGTGGGTATATAGTTATTCATTAATCAATATCAGCATTACTGGAAATATGACACAGACGACACAGTGGTAATACTGCTAAAGAGTTTTTCAAAAGAGGATACTATTCTGTCTTCAAAAGATCCAGCTTGTTTATGTTTGCAAATTGTATACATGAGCCAGAGCAAAGGATTCAGGTCTCTAATGCCACCATTTCTGATTATTTCTCTGAATTTGAATTCTGACCCACATGACCACATTAAGTTAACAAATATGTGGACAGTTTATCATGAAGTCAGTGTTCCGTGAATTCGCTATTAACAGTATTAATTAGATCAAACAATTTCTAAATATGTACAATATTTTAACTCTACTTCTGGGGTTATAGGGGTTTAGCATTAAGTGGCCTGCCTGTTCAGTTTGGTCATTGGGCGTAGGCCTTAATCATAACACAAATTGTTTCGCACAAAGAGTAATTTCCTTTAATTATTGTCCATGACTAACAAGAGCTGACTGGACAGGACACTTTCTTGTAATGAAGGATCTTGCTAAAATGGTAATGACATCACATTTACATGTAGTGGACAGTGAAATGCACATTCTCTAATTTTGGGCCGGAACTATTTGAACACAGTACTCTGGTCACTCTTGGAATCTGGTAATGAATGGATTCAGTGGAGACATCATTCAAATGATAATCTGACAGTGTCATGGTAAAGTGAATTCAGCTGAGAGTTTATAAATTTATTTTGGTCAAAATGTGACTTCTCCTGATTTCACTTTCTTCATGACTTCATATACCGTTTGTAATGAAGTCTCAATCTTAGTCTGGTGATATAGAATTTGCGTAATGTGAATGTCCGAGTTCCCCTTTAAGGTTTGCTCACACTCCAAGATTTGAATGAGATTGCAGAGAGTTGATGATAAAAATGAAAGAAAAAAAAAGAAGAGAGTATTCTTAAGTTCCAAGCATTTCTATAAAGCAACTATAGTCCATCAGACTCAAACAGGTTTACATTTTATCTACATACCTCAGTGTAAAAGGCACAGAGTGATTAGGACTTGCATTGAAGTTGTTCTTGGTCTTAAAGGAGATACATGTACCAGAAGGCACTTCCTACTTATGGAAAGGTGTTGCCTGTCTAGACATTACACAAGCAAGAACATCATGGTAAAGAATGTACTATTAGCAGTGACCTATTAGCACTAACTAATGGCCAGAAGGATGATGCTAATTAATATTGGATTATTAACGAGAAGTTGACCTTGGCCGTATGCTTGGCAAATAAGTGACTGTATGCCATGCAAGAGATAGCCAACATCAGCAGGATACAAGCCTTGATGTCTGGAAACTGTAATGAGCCAATTAAAAGATTATTGATTGTAAGACGTTTATTCACTCGAGTGCACTTGATATCTCTTACATGAAGGGAATATTTCTTGTATTTGATTGGCCACTATCCAGTTAAACATAAGAATCATATGAGAAAATCAGTTTGAACTGTATTTTGCATTAGTAAAGGTGGTAGTTGTGAATTGTATAAGTGTTTATGCTACTGGCCTTCATTGGATAATTGAGGAATGTTTGTTGTGCAATAGTGAATGAAAATATGTTCTGATTTTCTTGATAATTGGTTCCTATCATTCTTAGGTACAGGTATCTCAAGTAAATGCTAGTGTTTTATTAGATTGATTCCTAGGGATTAGTTTACCTTGGTTTATTATATGATTGTATGATATCAAGACATTTTCATTTTAAGCATGAGATATCTACAGGTATATGTAGGGATCATCCCTTGTACACATTACAGGTGACACCATCTGAAACGGGTACATTGTAAAACTGCTCATAAGGATTACATTTCATGTTCAAATGACGATATGTGTTGGCACAAGGGATAAATACACATGTAAGATTGTTTGAGGTCTTCCCCCTGAGTTCCTGCAAGCAGTATTCAGGAAATCTCCAGTAGCAGCATGTGCTTCCCTTACGGAACCAAACCCATGCGCTCTCAAAACTCCTGCCTCGATCATACATGTAGCCTGCCAAGATTTAAGCATAGAGGTCTACAAGGAGTTCAAGATTTTGAAAGGTGTATGCATGTCTGAACAGTATATTGTGCTCATGTGTATGCTACAGAACTTTTATAAACTCATATTGCTACAGTCCTGCAAAATTGTCAACTGAATGGTTTTTGTGAAAGTTTTTTCTACAACTTGTATTGCATGGATTTAAAAGAGAATTGGTAAATATTCTCAATATTTCAACTACTGTTTTTAGAAATTTTGATATATTCAGTACTACAAGCACTTACAGTAGTTGCACACAAAACACCCACAAACTAGTTTCAGGGCCATCTCCTAGCAAAATATTGTTTTATAGCTATTCAGAGCCAGAAATGCAAAAAAAGGATAAGAAAATATGAAAGTAATTATGTGGACCACACACACACAACAGCATTTCATTCAATACTTGGAGGAAATCCCAGTTATCAGTAGGTGATTCCCCTTGTCAACCAGCGGAACAGGAAGACTGGTTAATGCACATCAATCATGACAGAAGGAAAGAATGAATATGGAATTTTGTCAGGATGCACTAGAAAAATGTAGTTATTGTAACATTTAGAATGAGATTGAGCATGAATCTTGAATTTTACTTTCACTTCCAGTGTGCATATGGACTTTCCTCTGCTATCAGTAATTTAATGTTTACATTTGTTCATAGGAATGAATTTCCTAACGTTTTCTTGCCTGAATCGTATTTGGAGGAAAAAATGTATCCTGTGTCACATGACTATGCATTTTATGCAATGGTGAAGAAGTAATGGAGAGTATGACTCCTTTCCCAAGAAATAAATTGATGATAAGGAATGAATAGACGAGAACACACTGATGATGATGATGATGATGATGATTATAATTATGATAATAACAACAAAAGCAGCGGCAGCAACAACAACAATAACTTTTCTAGGAATTGCAACCTTTGAACTTGAATGAAAAAAGTGTTGATTTTGATGATTTCATTATTATTTATGATAATGAGAGAGAGAGTCAAGGAACTGTGACCAAGTTCTGTTTGCTAGACACACCTCCCTTCCCCGCAATACCGCCCCATCTGAAAAAGCTGGATGAAACATCAAATCCAATTTATCACTTCTTTCAAAACGTGCATGGCAAATGTGACGATATTGTGCCTGGCTGGCGGAATACAATTCAATGACATTCCTTCTCCCGATGATGCTCTCACGCATGACTAGAAAATGATCCAGTCAACAATAAGGTTTATAGTGCTAAGTGTTTCATATTTATGTATCATAGTGTTACAAATAGGGAGATACGGTTGAGGTGCTCCCATGCATAGCAGGCTAACTTTATCTAGCTAGGATGTATTTGTATAGCTGAGTTTCATTTTAAATCTAACTCCATTATCTGAATTGAACAAACTTGTGATACTGGAATGTTTAGTTGGGAAGATGGCAGTGGTGTTGGAGCCATCAGGTATGTACAATGATTGTGTTTAACATGGATAATAAATATCCATTGCTTTTGGTTTTGTTTGTGTTTCAAATGCTTGCAGCATTTGAGAAAATGTGAAATTATATAATTTATGTGTGATTGTATGAAAGAGGGAATCAAAAGTACCGGTATACTGCAAATATACAGGAACATGTATGGTGTAACTATTATATACGGTATCCCATTTTTTTCCTTTCTCTGGAATGCTACAACGACAAACCCTTTCCATTTTTTCTTACTAATCATGAATGTGAAAAAGATGAAAAGAGTGCCTGTCTAGTACTTAAAAACAATTTCTTCCAATTTTTGTTTTCCGATTCTCCCTACTTTAGGCCATTAAAAAAAATATACATGTTTAGCGTCCCCGCCTGCTTCCTTTTTGGGGGCCGCCTCCTATTTTTATTTGGCCTTACGCGAAAACTTTCACTGCTACCACTACTACCAACACTATTGATGAAACTACAAATTTTTCTACCACGTGACTTAAGCTACTACTACATGTTCATGTACATACACTTTGAAATCTAAATATTTTGAATACCATAACTGTAAAGTTTGTGTCAAAGCCATGAACAACAGGTAGCCCAGTCATCTGTGACCCGAAGTGACCTTGCTTCCGTTTGTCTGCTGCTCGAAAATTGCCTGTACCACACCTTCATGCGTAATACATGGACATGCACTGGGAAGAGGTCAAAATGACTCACATAATATTATAAATTCATGTACATGCATGATATAATATTACCAAATGTATTATGAGTCATTGCATAACAATGTGGGATATCAAATTTAATTCTATCAACAATCTCAGAAAAACTGATAAACAAGATTCAGCAACAAATATTTATGTAATAGGCTTATATTACCTTCACTTCGTTTTACACAGTGGTTTAGGACTGTCTACTACTGCAGGTTACTGTCTACTGGGTTGCAATGACATGCAGACTCATTTATATTCATCATCCTTTATCTGTTGATAAATAGATAGCAAAATCCTTTGATAGAGAAGGTCACTTGGAAATGTGCCCACAATTCTAATAAGTATGTTTTAGTTCAGGTAAAAGGGAGGTTTTCTTCTGTTCAGTTCTCTCTTTCTGTCCTTGTGATACCCCGTTTATCTACCTTTCTAGAGCCTTCTTTTCAGACCCCATCTTGCCCTCTTTCTGTTCTCTCCATTCCCTCTCTTCCTTAATTCCTACAATACATGTTTTGTTACTGTACCGGTAAGCAGCTTTCTTCTGCTCCCCCTCTCCCCCCCCCCCCCCCCCCCCCCTCTCTTGCCCTCTATCTCTCTTTCTGCCTCTCCTTCCCCCCTCACCCTCCCTCCCTCCTCAATTTCCTTCCCACCCCCCCTCTCTCTCTCTCTCTCCCTCTCTCTCGTCCTGTGATACTTTTTGTTCATATCTATCAACACAATAACATCTCTCAGTCTCGTTCAACTTTGCATATTAAATATATTATTTCTCTCGCTCTTTCTCTTTGCTGCAGACGTTCGTGAATGATTCGAGGATTCCAGAGGAGACCTACATCCAGTTGAAGAAAGGAGACTCCATCCGGTTTGGATATGATATCCTTTTTGTTTAGATTAATCACATTCATTATCCTGTTGAGTGAAGATAAACCTGTGCCAAGCCAAGGTGGCCCTTTTAGACATCGCTGCCATCTTATTCTCAATGCAAAATGAAACAAACTTATTGTTCCATTGAAATGGACAATGTATCTTTATTTGCCAAATGGGGTATTGATCGCCTTTGCATTAACAATGGCTTTTAAGTTTATAGAAGGATAACACATTTATCTGACAATATAGGCCTATAAATAGTACCTGCCTTTCATCAAGTCAGAAAAATATTTGTATTCATGAAAGATAATATAAGGTACTGGTCAACTTAGTTTTGACTCATATGTGAAATCAATTGATCCAGTTGTTTTAGAATAGCTACATGCAGATGTGAAAGAAGTACAAGAGTGATTCAGTAAAAATTAATATTGATAGTTTTAGGGCAATTTGTCTTCATATGTTTTGTAAGAAAAAGAATTGATACATTTTTGCATAGAGAATTCAGTTTTTTTAATCAAGAACTGTTGGATAGATTTTGAACAATGCAAACATACAGGTATATATTTTGTATTCAAATGCTGAATAATACTCTGAACTTGATTACCACAGTCAACTCAGTCTGAGTCTGATATCTTTTAGTTCTTATAACAGTGGACTTACATCAACATACACAATAGGTCCAACACTCAAACAGTAAACTTCTTCGAAAGTCCTTTCCAAATCAAACACTTACGTACATGTGCCCATAGTGTAGTTTACTTGTACAAGTTTGCAGATCCGAATCTACATGTGTATGAGATGATGAGAGGAAGACATAATTATGTAGAACTGATATGGATCATAAAGTTGCTCCCTCAATCAGATTAACTGAGCAAATCCAAATATTTGGATCAGGATGTAGTCATTCCAAACCACATCCTGGAAATGGAAATCCACTTTATATTAATCCATTTACTATCTTCCTTTTATTATGGTTAACAAATTGTATGATCCAGTTAAATGTATTCTCAGTGATGTTGGAAGTTTTAAAATACATGTATGTTTCTTGATATCCATTTTTGCAATAAACACACAAATATTATGAAGCATATCCTAAATATTCATGTACGTCATTGTATATGGACATGAAAAAGATTAGGTTCACAATTACAGAGAAGTGTAATGACACTTTAATCCATATGTCATCTACAGAAATATAATAGGCATCTATAATGTTACCATGGAGAGGAAGAGATACATTTGATCACCAGGAAATCTATCATTTCCTAATTTTTCATAAGTTTGGCATGTGCATTGCAAATCTCTTGGATACACTATACTCCACTGGAAACTCCACTGGAAATCTAATGTGTTGCATTGCATGTTCTAGATTGACATATCTATATTCATGTCGCTGCTATGAGCGACTGCAATAAGGGCTGTGAAAAATCCCCTGTGGTCATTTTAATGAACTGCTAGCTAGCCAATAGAGATCACTTGATTTCTTTTCTTATTGGCCTTTCTTCGGCACTCACCCAATATCCCAGCGACCACCGGCCTAGCGGGATGTCTGAGGGTTTTTAATTCTCTCATCATCTTGTTGACTGGCGACTGAGAGATGGGCTTCCCCATTGTCACGGTACAGATCAGTGAGGAGACAGGCTCTCCCGATTGAATTGGGGAGCTGTAGGGGGGGGGGCATTCTGCATTCTGATGGGGAGGGGGACTGGAAGGGAGAGATGGGAGGGTTGGGGGGGGGTGTTTGGAAGGGAGAGGGAGATGGGAAAGTGGATAGGGGGAGGAGGAGATGGTGGGTAGAATGGGAGAGGGGATGAGTAAGGAGACAGACTCATCTGATTGAAATTTGGAGCTGTACAGGTGTAAGGGAAGGTTTTATGCAGTAGCAAAGGGGTAGGAAGAGGATGGGTTGAATGAAGAGATGGATTCTCCTAATCGAGTTTGGCAGCTCTTGAGGAGGGAATTCTGTTCTCAATGTAGGGGGGGGGGGGTGGGAATCAGAAGGGAGATTGGATGAGGGAAGAGATGGAGGGGGAAGGTGGATAAGCCAGGAGTTTGACTCTTGTGATTGAAGGTTCAGGGAGGGGAAATTCAAAGGTGAGGGAGGAAATGAGAGAGGAGTGGCAGTGAAAGAGGAGGTTGAAGGTAACAGGGAGGGGGTGGATGTAGATCCAGACTATGTTAGTTTTATGGGGGCTCTTGGGAAGAATACTGGTATCTGTCAGGATGGGAAGGGAAGGGGAAGGGAAGGGGAAGATGAGGGGTAAAAGAAAGAAGATGGAGGAAAGTAAGAGGAGGAGGAGGAGGAGGAGGAAGGGGTGGGGATGAGTGAATAGTCAGACTCTCACAGGTGAAATAGAAACTTTGAGGGAGTGTATCCCTCTGTACAAGGAGGGGAGAAGGAGGGGTAGAGGAAGCAGGAGGAAGGGGAGATGAAGGAAGGGATTCACAAAGAAAGATGACCTTAAGTATGCAAGAGGAGGGATGAAGAAACAGCCTCCGACTCTCCAGATTAGATTTTCTGAGCTCTGGGGTAATGTATTCTGTTATGTATCAAATGGTCAAGGGAAAGGGGAGGCAAGGGGGAAGAAATAAGGATGGAAAAGGAAAGACTCGGAGGAAGGAACAATAAATGGTGAAGCAGGAGAAGGAGACGGGAGCAGCAGAAAGGAATTGCAAGGAGGGATGGAAAGGGCAGAGAAGAGGAAGAGGGAGGGGGAGAGATCAAAGTTAAAGCCAATAAATGTTGACAAGAATGGCTGAACATTTATGACAAGTGAATAATAACAGCACATCTTGAAAAGGTCACATTATATTGTCACAGATGTATATAGTAATTGCACAGTGTGTGCTCTTTCATTATTCTATTTCATAATTACAATGAACTGTATTGTTTTTTACATCATATTTACCCGGTATCTGTTTTTTTTAAATGATTTCATTTTAACAACATAACTAATAAGCAGTGTCAAAGGTTGGTACATGTACAGGGGTGTAGGTTGTGAAACTTGGGATATTTCAACATATACATATACATGTCCATGTAGGTATGCAGGTAAAACATATCTGCACTTAAAGATGATATACAAATAAGTAGATTTATGCTTTGCTGGACTTGTTCAGAGTATGTATTAGTGTCCGTTGGATTGACTCATTGAATAATGTTTCTTATGTTTGCCAATATTGCAGTTTATACTTTTAACCACCGCTGACTTGATTTATTGTGGTGTTTATTTGATTAATACCATTATTGTGATTGTGATTTTTCCTTAACTCATTGTATCTCACATCCTATAACCTATCGGTTTGACAGCCTACAGCTAGACAACATTTCAGTGGTTAAGGACCAGGAAGGCTTCATCAAGCAGGTACGTTAAACTTCCTCCATGTATTACCCTCCAAACAAAGGCCATATAATATCTAGAATTCATTAAATTCAATCATAAAACTTCTATTCAAGAATATAGAAGTCAAAGAATGATCAGAGATTTCCCTCTACAATTTATTAAGAACAGTAACTAGCAAACATTAAATACTAACTTTTTAGAAACACTAGTGCAAAAATACAAAAACAAGACAATCTATTTAAAGGCAATTTCAGTACTCTATTGTATTAACTATACAAATTATACTTGAATCCTGTAATATTATTGTAATAAAAGCACATTTCAATGAGTGATGCACAATGTACATGTAATTGAAATTGCCTTATTTTGTTTTATTTGTATGTTTTTGCAATCATGTTAAGAGTAGGAGGATCAGGGAGATTAAAATATCATCAAGTTGCATTGAACTATTGACCCTTTGATATTTGGCATGCAATATAACACAACAAATAAAAGGAAATAGGCAAAAGAGAAACAACCCCCAAAAGTATGGTTATTACACTTGTAATGATTATTGCAGATGTAATGCAATTGATCCTTGGGCTTTGTTTAATCCTTCATTCTTTACATGTATGGGTAATGTGTGCAAATAGATGGGTTCTAAGCACAAAAAAAGATGTTTTTTCAAATGCAAACTGTAAACTAAGTGTGAAGCTGTAATTCAACCAGATGTTAAAACATTCATCATGTCTCATGGGATTGTCCCAAATCACAATTACTGATTAATCAAACAGACTTATTATGATGCAGAAGTGATCCGCCGAACGAGTGCCAGGATGGTGCTTTAGTTAAATCACATGTATTCAACGTATGTTGGGTAGGCATGCCAAATTGGCAATGCTTTTTAAATCACATTTTACTTACGAAGGAAGGAGAGCTTTTTACATGAATATTAGAGTCCCCCCTTCCCCCATACTGGCATGATACCATTGTTTCAAATAATAGTACAACTTATTGCTCATGCCAAATAACACTGATCATGAAGTTTAAGCTATGTGTTCTAATTAAAAAATATTTCTTTTACACTCGCTATAATGTTGATGGTTTGTAATAGCTTTATCATATTTTATATTGATTTTATTTCATGCCTTCCAATAAATAAAAGGAACCTCCTGAAGAGATTCACCCTACAGAATTATTATGGATTGGATATGATAATAATGAAGAGGTGTGTCTTGCAATTAGTAACACATTTGTAAATATACACCATTGGTATTTGGTGGAGACGTGCTATGCAGTTTATGAATATTTTACAAGTAACATAAAAATGCAACTTTGTAGTATTTTTTGGCTCTTGCGATTTTAGAAGGCTTGTTTTCCCCTCCCCTGCCCCAAATTATTCAATTATATCTTGACAATGTAATGACATAGCTCCCTCTTTTGGTGAAACTGTTCTTTGTAGTACATGTTTACTGTATATATGCCGTGATTTGTGCCTCTCTTTTGCTGGTGATGCATGTTGCTGTTAGACCCTTTCTGTGCTATAGGTCAGAAAAAAGGGGAAAAGGAAACAGATATTGATTTACATGTATGAAATGTTTGTTTGAATGCTACTAGAATTCCTAATTTATGTGCTTCATTTTGCAGTATCATGTTATTGAAGTTTGTTTCAATAGAAATATACTAGGCCTAATTTTTATGGCAATGACTGTAGCTCAGAATTTCATTCCAGTATATTTGTAAGAGTTCTGTAATCAATTGAATTAGTAAAAAGTTATGAAAAACAATGGGAAATTCCAGTGGCTGTTGCACCTAATTCTGGTACCTTTCATTACGGTACATTTTAACCAAACAAAATTGATACTTTTCTTTTAAAAAATAGACATTAATTGAGAGGTCTTTTGTTTTTTAATTTGATATTGTTTCTGTTCCAAGATTATATCAACAAAACAATATTAAAACTACAGACTAAAACATCATTTCCCTGGATTACATTTTTCTCCAATGATTATGCTACGTTATGATTCGGCCTATACTACATGTATAGCATGTTCAGTGATTCAAATGGATAAATCTATAATCTAATAGGGCATACTGATATTATAGCCATGACTATTATTAAAGCGCTGTATCACTGAAAATGTGTAAAAATAGACTTTTATTGAATATTGAATGATGCGTCCTAATTCCCAGGGTAGATGTTTATATCTACATGGATATGGCACTTTGTAAATGCGATATGAATGGCTGATTTATTTGTCAAATCTTATCACTTTTATCTTTTGATGAAAATTGATGCCTGCAACAGATCAGGCAGTGTGATATTTCAAAACAAGCATCAGATTTCAGAGATAGTGCAAAATCCCACAGAGATCAGTCACAGCAGGGGGTTTACCTACTCGATCTACTCCCCCCCCCCCCCCCCCCCTCCCCACGTCCCTGCCTTGTCATTATCTCTTTAGATTCCTTTCATATTATATTTCTCTATGATGGCCATATTTAGGATTGAACCAATTAAGGTGCACATTTATTTATTCATTCATTTGCAAAAATTGTGGATAGGCCACCGTCAGCTTAAAGGGATCCGGTAACTTTGTCTCAGATTTTGAAATAAAATTCAGGATTTAGCTCATGATGCAATGATAATTATAAACCTTTAGGTCACTCAGGAACCCCATGACTTTTACAAGCCGATCGTCTGTCTGATTATCAAGATATTTATGATTGGAATTACAAATTTTGAAAACCGTTCGCCTGACGGTTTTCATAACACTACAGTCTATTGGGGAAAACGAGTATGGTAAAACCGGTCACTCAAAGATATTTACTTTTTTGAGGCACTTCTTGATCATTTTGAAGCGCAATTTTTTTAGGGCTTCAATATTACACCATATCACAGACACTGATAACACGTAGGGCCGTGTATCTCAGATTTAACATTGTTAAACGATCCCTTTAAAGGATTATGGAATATATTTTGGAATTCTTTTTTCCCTTCCTTTTAAGTTACGTCTTATAAAATGGATTTTGCCATCACTCTCGAGTGATTTTACGTTGTTTTTTTTTAATCTCTCTTTTGTTTTCTTTTGGGGTGCACATGCATTTACTGTAGAGTGCACTGTAGAAGGAAAATTTGCCCTGAGCCATTTTATTTCTGTAGTTCCACTATTTCATAAATCGTTAATTTTTTACATGTACAACTTAAAAAAATAATGTTTCAAATGCTTGTTCATCATATACATGTAGGGATCAGCTTTGTGTATGGTATACTTTGACAACATCGCATAACATATACTTCGATCAGGATATCTTCTGTAGTAATTTGCAAAGGCTATAATCATGCATTATAATAGCACTTACATTTTTGTGGCTGGTTCATATGTTAGTATGATACACCTTTTTCCTGTAAAACCAAAAAAACTTTTGTCAGTGAATTTTATATCTGACTGCGTGTGCTGTTCTATCCCCTTAACCATCCCCCTTCCCGCAACAGGAAATGAATGATTTGAGGGACTTTTATTACGAAGTGGAAGAGGAGGAGTATGAGGATGAGGATGTGAGTCTATAGCCAAGCATTGCAGCACGTCCCAAGCATCGCAGCATGCCCCCTGCATGAAATGAAGCATTTGAAATAGAATGAAGAACAATAACTTGTTTGACCTTAGCCATATGAAAATGTTTCATTTTTATTTTTAAAACTCTTATTGTTAAACCTAAAGATGCCTAGATTAGTTTAAAAAGGGTATTCATGGCAGCTGTTCAATGATGTAATAGTGCATGTACTGTCCCTCCGTAGCTGCATATCTTTCTGTGTAAAGTAATACAATTTTGGCCTTGGGCTTCTGGTTTGGATTGGTGAAATGACCACATTTGTCAGTGCATATCAATATCTTTGTGTGTTATGAACTCTGGAGGTTGCACTAGTTTATGATTTGCAATACATGAATGATGTGGATTGGTAAAGATTGGTCAGTTTACTCATTGTATGAAGCATGCTGTAATTGTCTTGTTTGGATGCAAGTAATCTTATATTGATAGCAATGAGCTTAATTTGTACTGAAAAGAGAAAGTGAGAACAAGGAAAGGACTGAATTAGATATTGAGAATTGTAGATTAAACCCTTACAATATGTTACTCATGGATAATCATATAGTCTTGAAAACATGGAAACATGATCCAATGCTATGCATGTAAGTTATATGCCTGTAATCCTATCAAATCCGCAATGTGTTATTCTAGACCCCTGGCAACCATATTTACCCCCAGGCCCCCACCCTAGAGAGCATTTACCTATCATTTACAACACACATTGGGGAATACAGCTTGTCAAGTTTCATCCAATTTTACAGTCTTGAAATTGAAAACATTATTTAACTAAGAAAGAAAAAAGGAAGACAATTTAAGCAGAGTTAACTGTAAAAGAGACACCCATAAAACTATTATATACCTTTAATGTTATGAAAGTTATATTTATACATTTATATGGCAGCAAAAAACTAATTTGAAATGATACGATACATTAGAAGACATAACTATATAACCAAAACAAAAATATCGATATAGGTTTATTGAGTTCTCATTGGGGTTTAAGTGCTTGCGGAACATTTTATTTGAAATGAAGACCATGCTGGGTTGTAGCCATGTTTGGAATGTATGTCAGTATCCAGAACTTGTTCTCACTCTCTCTTCAAGTTGCTTTTCTTAAATGGATCTTGGTAAGTTCTTTTATGTAGGTGTTTCTTGCCTGGCAATGAAGATCAATCTAAATATATTGTTGGTGTTTAAGAAAGTTGTATGCTTGTATTAGAGTAAAGCAAATGAGATAATGATGATGCCCTTTTAATGATAATGGTAATGCCATTTTATTTCCAAAAGTATTTTTTCATCATCTGTCTGTACCCCTGTATTAATACCTTTTCAGCTAAAATATAGTAGTTTAGTTACAGTGCAAGAGCAGTTGTTACTTTTATGATAGCAGTTTTCAATCATACAATCATCTTTTCATCTTTTAAACCTGGACCCTGTTACATGAAACTTATTATCAGTAACACCAACACATTACAATAATTTTGCAGGCTATAAAAACGGTTGCATTTGGTTGGCTGTGAGCGTGAGCTTGTTTGTTCTCAAAATGTGACAGTTGTTGTTATTGATAAGTTTTATGAAAGAGGGTCCTGAATTTGGATTAATTTTTTTACTGAACCTACACAGGTTGACATACATGTATTGTACTACTCTGATTCATGCAAGGCCCCAGGAGTTTATGATTTGGTTAATCATATTACACTTCAGGATGGAACTTGCTTGGAGATTTTCCTGCATGCCAGAGCTTGACCTTAGATAGTTTATAGCAATTTGTACCCCAGTCAAAAGATCTGATACTTTTAATATCCCTATTAATACTTCAAACTGAACAGTGGTGTTGACCATTTGTGTCTTATATTTCAGTACGCTTGTTCAGTGCATGTGTGTATTGTATTTGTGGAATTGTTTATCCTGTATCATTTTTTTTAATTTTTTAATTTTGGTTTGCAAAATGTTTGTTAGCAGGCTTTCTTGACGAGGCAGAGCCCACCCGATTACAACCAGTCCCTTCGCAGGGCAATGCAGAAGAGAAATGCCAAGGAAAGCAGAAATACTTACGGCAAGCAAGCTAGCTTACAAGGTGAGTCCTATGCCCCACACAACTACTAGGACAGCATTTAAATCTTTGATTGACTAATGGAACAAGCAATGGACTGTCACGGTCAGCTTTTGTCACGTGTACAGATATGTGTATGTACCGTACAAAGTACTTTAAAACAATGTGGCAGTCGTAAGATTTCAACCCATATCAGATTGAGAATTAATGGGTTCTCTGAAGGGTACTGTCATCGAAATGCAAGGGTTTATCGATTGCTCAATACTTCATGACTTGTAAATGAGAAGGTATATTGAAGGTATATAGAAGAATGAAAGTTTTGAAAAATGTGATTAAGAGAGAAATACATGGATTGATTGATAGTTTGAGAGATGGACTCATTGTTGTTTGCTCTGATTGATTGGTTGGTTTTGGTCATTGCATGTATATGATGAATGTTATCATTGCCTAGATGGATATTGGAGGGTCCCGGTATGCAGCCTATGGGAAGTAGAAAGATCAGCAGTCACTGCGTTGAATAGAGCACTTTGTGTGACATGTCCTGGCATCCATTATTTAGGTTAATCAAATTTGAATTCATTGAGTAGTCAACTGGAACAGGTGTAATGAGACATTTTGAGAATTTACTTTTATTTCCATCAAAAGATAATAGGTTAATGTTCAAATATGAATTCACTCAATTACCGATTAACAGGATCCCATGCCATTATTTGCAAAGCACAGGAGATCTCTGTTGCTCTGTAAGATCAATGAATGTAGAGATTTATTTTGTGAAAAAAAGCATCAAATATATCAAGCAATCTGTATTTTTCAGTGAGATGATATTCAAAACCATCTGTCGGAATGTTTTTATTCCCTACACCTACGTAAATATATAATACACAAAGTTACAATATGTGTTGAAAGAGAAAAATTATTAGGAAAAACAGAAATAGAAAAGTCAACTCAGTGTCATAAAGGCAGAGGTCTGTTTAAATAGAGGGTAGAGCTGGCATATTCACAACCGAAACATCTGTATTTGTTGTGGTTTTGTATTGGGGGATTTGGTGTGAAGAGGAACTATTGGCTTCAGTATATGCATTCTAGACGTACAAACATGTACAAAATCTATGTGTACTGATAAATGAATATTCTGCGATAACATTCTAAATTCATGAAATGGATGGAATCTGATCGGGCATGGTAGCTGTGCCTCACTTAAACTGATCAGGAAACTTTGTTAATTGATTGAGACGACTCTGATACCCAATACATGTATAGGCACTGATCTTTTGGGTACCCCTGGATTTCAATGGATTTCAAACTGCAAGCTTTCAGGCTTTCAAGACAAATGCCAGCAGGAAACACATGCAACAAAAGACCCCACTCTCCAAAATTTAAACCATGTGCATAAATAACTTCCTGCTTTTTCAAGCCAGCAAATGAGTTTGTGTCTCAGAATGCGGCATTCGTGGCTTATTTCTTCTTCTTCTTCACTGCTGTCAGTTAGTCATCTCTGCTCGTTAGTTGAAATATTGTGTCTCGTCACTTTAGTCCAAGGATAGTGTAGTGTGGTGGGTTTAAGAACAGGACATTGTAGAGACACGGGAGAGCTAGGGTAAGATTGGGGTACTTTCTATTCTTAACATGTGCTTGTATTTTCAGGACTGTTAAAGGGTGTATGAATCAGGATGTGAGAAGAGCTTGTGTGATTGTTTCAATGATTTGTGATTTATTTGCACCAACAAACTTTGTAATAGAAACCTTAGCTGATGAATGTATTAGCATAGTTCCTCAAAATTGTCAATTAAAAATCTATCGGCTGTAATCTGATTTAGACATTGAGAGCAGGGAAGTTTTGTGAGTGATTTTGTTGGGGTGGGGTAGCAGGAGAGGGATAAGGGTAGCAGGAGGGGTGGCTGTAAGAGAAACATAGGTTTGTATTTGTTTTAAATTTTATTAACAAAATATATATTGATGTTGATTTATATTCTACACATGATTTCTACATGTATGTAAATGAGACAGATACATGAAAAGGTGGACGGGAAACTGATGATGTGTATAAGTCATGCAAACTAGCAAAGATGGATAGAGAAAAACAGCGAATAATAAAAAGAAATGGAAAGATACATCGCAAGTGGATTTAATTCATTTAAGAAACTATGTGCATTGCTGTGGTAATGAAAAAAGGAGGATAAACTCTTGAAGATCATAGTGTTCAAATAATGTCACTGACAAAACAAAGGTATTATACAAATCATCATCAAACTATGGGCGTATCTTCACAAAGAACTTTTCAAAGAAGTATATTACCGGTGCTTGGGTATAATAGCTTGTAAATAGATAATTGAAACACTAGGAGGTGTGAAAGAGAATGGAAGACTCATGATTCACGCATGCTAATGGCTTAGGAAATGAATCTTATTGGGAAGGCTCTATTGAGACTCCTGTTTCTCTCATGATGATTAAGCCTTTGTTTGAAAGCAAGGTGTTATATCATGAAGTGTACCATGTTCATACTGTATGCATGCAATTGTGTTTACATGGCAATTTGCAAGTGCTACACCAAGATCTAACTCAACTTGGAATCGGGATTTGTCAACTGTACATAAGGGCATTATGGTTGTTTCTTACACATGATGTATGCCGGAACAATTGTGTACTCTCATAATAATAATGATAATCTGTTCGTGTATAGTGCATAACACATTATGATATAACATCCATACCCGTTTCCAAAGAGCTTTGGAAATTATTACCATAGCTTTAGCTCTGGCAACCGTTATCAGCGCACAGTGCATTTCAAGGAATCATCCTACCATTTACCATTTTCCCATTTGCCTCACCTGGGTGGAGTGTGGCAAATTTAGATTAACATTATGTCCTTGGTATGAAGAAAAAAACACGTTTGTGTAATATATATACATTTTAGTTTATAAGACAAAACAAGGACTTTTAAAATACTTGTAAATAAACTCATTGCCATCGGTAACTTGCACACTTATTCAAATGGTATAACAGGCATGTTTTTAGGGGCAGAAAAAGTTTAACTGATATAAACATATTGTACACTAGAAAGTGCAAATTATAATTTTCTCTCTTGCCTTTATCATACCATTTATTATTATTTCATATACTTTTTGTGTTTGTTGAGGGAGCGGGAGGGAGGGAGTTATGGAGGAGGCTGTCAGTAAAATTTATCTATTGTGTTTGTGAGTGAAATTAATTTGATTGACAATCTTTGCCTGTCCATATAATTTTTGTAGTTTGAAGAGAAGGTTGAGTTCTGGGAAGAGGTGAAAAATATTTTATGAGCGTTATCATTGTTATTATGCAAGTGTGGAAGAATATCAGATACAAATTGTTCCATGAGAAGCATGGCTCTTCAAATGCCTTAATATTTTAAATATGGCATTTAGCATCATAAAAATCGGGACAGATTTTTATGTCACATGTTCGTGTAGTCCCTTATACGTCTTACTTACCGTATTTGCCGGCGATAAGGCCACAGCGCCGCATAGGCCGCACCCCCAACTTTGACATTTCAAAGAGGAAAAAAAAAAAAACGGGCTTAACAAAATAATCATAATTTTCTCGTAGAACTCTTTTTTTTCTTTCTACAAACTGATACCAAATTCATCAATGTATATGCTAGATGATCAACCTTTTCTTATCAATTCTACAACGTTTCTTTCACAATGCAATTCCATGACCGGAACTCAACCTTATCTTTAAGAAAAGGAATAAGTTAGTTGAATAACTTTTCAATACACTTCATTTAGATCATTATAAGTGAAAAAATTGAACATTTTGTATTGAGAGGTTTGCAGTCATCCTTATTAAAACGGCATTGCAGAGATTTGCACAGTGAAAATTTCAAAGTTGTTAAAAGGGCCAAAATGTTGTAAAATCATAATTGAAATCTTTCCTAAAAGTATAGTGGCAACATATTCATTATTAACAACTGGCAGTGTTTTGTTCACCCCATTTGTTGTGTACTAAATGAGGGCTTCAATTTTTGATCTAAATTGTACACATACTTTCATAAACTCATCTTGCTGCTACATATACATTCTGAGATAAGTTTTTGAGGGCTTGCAAATCCCTGATAGGGGCTTTACCTCTGTAAATATAAAGTATTTTGCTACTAGAACTTTGATTTTGTTTGTTGGTATCTCTTTGTTTGTTTAGATCATCGACCGGCAGCCCACGGTTCTCCCTTGTATGGTCAACCAGCATGGTGGGGTGAGAGTGAAGATCCTTCCCCTGATGGTAGTACTTCACCAGACGACCTGAGACCAAGAGCTAATACTTTTTCAACTCAAGGTATGTAAAAGATAATGCTATATGACATTGGCAATGACAATGATGACAACAATGACATTTTGATATTTATTCTCATGTCACATAAAATTGGGTATTACTTATATGGATTAATAGAAGGGACAGAGAGATAGAGAGAGAGGGAGAGAGAGAGAGAGAGAGAGAGAGAGGAAAAAATGAGATTCCTTCAAATTTTTGGCATGGTTTAATTGAACGTGGATCTTTCTCAAAGTGCCTTAGTGCACATGGTTTAACGTGTCAAGAGAGACCAACATGCAGGCATTATATTTTCCACAGAAAAAAGCCTATAGTTTGGAAACTAGGAATTCTAAAGACTATCAAATATCAAACATTCTCTATCTTATAGGTTCATCAGACGACAACCGCCCTCTCGAATCTCCGTCCCCTCACGAGCGGCCTTCTAGGCTTCCTTCCAACGAGCCTGAACGGGACATCCCCGTCGTCATCTACAACCGCTCGGACCGCCGTCCAACCCAGCAGGAGACTCCGCCGCCCCGCCCCCAGGCTCAGGCAGAGATCACCCTCATGGCGTCCAGTGAGAAGGCCATCGGCTTCACCATCGACTTTGGGAGCAGCGATAATGGCGCTTCCAAGATTGCAAGGCCCGACAGCCTCCAGAACTGCATCCCTAAGAACATGAGGCAGAAGATTGAGAAGAGCTCCCGCATGATGGAAGAGCTCAAGGCTGAGCGGCTGATGAAGAAGAGTCAGGAAGAGGAAGCAGTCATGCAAGTCAGTCAAAGCTCTTCCTTCCTTCTTACATTAAAGTTCAAGCAATAGGATTATTCAGCATGTAATCAATGACTAATTGGTTACTTTAAACTATAATCTGAACCTGTATTTGCCTAAAGATGAGGAGTAATAGATCTAAATTTGACTTCCATAGCTTAAGACACACCTGTTGAAGAGTTCCTGTTTAGAGACTTATCTCAAATGAGACTTCAAGTGTTTATGGGATGAAACTCGACCCGACCTCATCGGCTCCACTGAAGATGATGATGGATGTATGAGAATGATCTTCTGGGCAGGATCTATACATTATCCCCTGATACAAACCCCCTCCCCCTCCCCCTCCCTCCCGACTTGATCATTAGGCCCCCTGTAGTACAGCTTCTATTGTGAAGCACTACAGGGGTCGAGAGAAGTTAGCAGGCAAAGGGTTAATGGATTGAAGTCTTGTAGGGGCCTCGTAATATCTAGGTTAGGGTGTGAAGAGTTTCATATGGAGATCAGATAGGGGATAGAGATCATCCTAGTCTGATAGAGTCACTCTAATGGTAGACCTTACAACATAGCACATTCATTTTGGGGCAGTGTTAGATGTCATTGTTTGCAATCGGTGTATGGATCTGACTTTGAAAAATGAGTATGTTTAGCATGTTATTCATGAAGAAAGTAAGTATTTATTTTTTGTCACAAGTGTTGTTTACAGTATCTGCGATATTAAGTCATATTGTTATTTTTTTCAGAAAATTCTTTTAGGTTTAGGTGTTATGTGTTATATGCTTGAATTTTCTTGCTTGCCAGAGTAAAATGATCCGAGACATTGCCAGAATAATGTGATACTTTTTAAGAAGTAAAATTGATACATATTTTCTACTGGATGCATGTTATTATTACAGTGCACTTATCAGTTCATGTACTGAAAATGTATGTCAAAAGAAAATATGGAGTATAATTGCTGTAAACTTGATTCTTAAACTAAATTGTATCTCACTGATATGACTTATTTGGTACTGAGTGATTAATTTTCTCCTTTTTTCCCTTACTCCTTTCTTTCCAATCGTAACAGAGCCCCAGGGCTTCCCCACTGTCTTCCAGAACAGATGGATGGTCTGGGGCAGGACCAGGGGGACGTAGGACTCCCAAAGGTACACCTGATACTCCATCACCAGGCTACCAAGGTAGGTCCTATGTTTTCACCACGTATCTTGTATTTAGCAATATGTTTGGATGACTAATTAACCTGCTAGCTCCTACATGTAGCCAATTTTGCTCGTACCTTTTGCTTCCAAGTATTGGTGTTGGAATTAGCTTAAATCTGTAAGTGCCACTAAAAGGATGTCATTTATGCCCCATTGCTTTCTTTTGAAGAGCAGTTTTAGCATAAGCTTTCATATTACATGTAGTGCAGTTTTCAGTCTTGATCTTCTTGTTGCCTAATTTGCATGTAAATCCACGAATGGTGTGTACTTGATGCTATCTGCATTTGTGAAAATGTCCTTGAATTTGGGTATCTACGTACTCGCTTGCATAAGAGAAGCTCCTCAACCCAATTTCTCATTTTCTTTTGTAAAGGCGATGTCAACTTCCAGCAAATGCAGCGCAAGAACAAGAGCTCCAACTGTCTTTCAGAACCCCTCCCTCCAGCCCACATACGCCAAAGAACTTTTGTCAAGTCCAGTCAGAAGACAAAGCCAAACCGGGGCTCCCCCAGCCCCACCACCCCCGCCACACCAGTCAGCCCTGGCGTGGTGGACACGGAGGGGGAGGACTCTCAATACCAGGATGATATCGATGTAGAGGTAGAGGGGGGTGGAGGAGATGACGTGAGCGAGGCTGGAACCTACACCATCGAGAGCGACTCGCAGGAGGTGGAGGGGCAGGAGGCCAAGGAGGGAATCGATGAGGAGTTTGGAGTCGGAGAGGAAGAGAAAGTGCCCAGTGATGATGATACGGACAAGGATGTTGGGGATGAAGAGATGGAGGAGGAGGAGGAGGAGGAGGCGGTGTTTGCTGGTAAACAGAACGGGAGAAGCAGACTGGATAAAAGTGGACCCGGTTTGAGAGTTAGAGGGGATGGAAGTAGCAGGACAGCGGTGGATAAAATTGAAGATATTGAAGGAAAGGTAAGAGAATCTCTTTAATAGCTTTCACAGAGAAATAGCAAAATGATTACCACTGATTTGAACTTGTAACTGGCATCAATAACATTTTGTATGTTCAAAGGTCTATCTTGATGTTTTGTTTTTGTAAATTAAAGTGTACATGTGGGGAGATATCATTACCTGGACATACCTGTAGACATTTGTGGCTACCCTTCAAAGTTGATCATTAACATTACACATACCATTGCATTGTATAAGTTGTGTGTTTATTATAAGTTTTGGTAAATAATTTTTTAGTCAGACTATTAAGTATTAAGTGCCTAATAAATATTGTGTATTATTATTATTATTATTGATTCTTTTGAAGAATTATGCAGGGGCTAACATCTACTTATTGTTTTTTCTTAATTTTCACCAAGCTGAAGTATAACAAATTCAAGTATTGCATGTGAATTCCATGATCAAAGAAAGGGCCAGGATATTCCACCATTTGTCAGTAAAACTTCAGCACCCAATCAGAACCTTGGCAAGCCCTACATGTCCTTAGGAAATCTATGAATTATTAGCAAGAAAAAGGGAAACAAGTGGGAGACCAGATGTCAAGCTTCACTAATTTGTTGACAAAACTATTGTCTGTTAGAAAACGTCAGTGAGATTAGAGATAATCAATGTATCATGGATTTTTTAAATTATGCACACATGTACACAATTTTGAACTGCAGTAGAAAGTCTTCTTTGGACCATTTATTAATAATTTCAGTTGTTTTGTGACTATGCAGTATGCAAGATATGAATTGCCTAATACGAGCATGAGTAAAGCATGGAGGATTGAGTGTGATAGTGTTTAGCCCTGAAATAATCAATTATATATTCATAAAATGTGTTCATTAAATTGTGTCATGAATATTGAATCTCTCATCCAGTGTTATTTTAGCAAGGTTTGATCTTGCTACCAACCCTATGTACATGTAACTACCTGCCATGTATCTTTGCTCCCTTCTTTTAATATTTGTTGAGACTCGGCAGAACTATTTAAATACCTAAATGAGGAAACATTGTTACAATGTAGATGGTGTACTCAACCATTCTTGTGTGTGCGTGTGTGTCAGATGTGTCAGATTGATCAATTGACCTTTAAGAAATATCAAGTACTTCTTCAAATTGAAATGTGATGCAAATAGAAATCTCTGTTCTTATGAAATAGAAACAAGTGGACATTGTGCAATACTGTAACATATGAAGTGCGTTAGATATTGGAACATTTCCAATTTGTTTGAGAACAATTGGTATCGTGTATGTGTTCACTTTTTAAGCACCTGCAATGTAATAGATAATATATGTGAAGGATGTAAAATAATATAAAATGCAACCACAAAAAGTTTTTAAGTGTGAACTAGTGATTAAGGGGTTTCACTTATATGTGCTACTGCTTTTCAAAGGGATTTGGACCCAGTAGGATGCCAAAGTTGATTAGATTTTTGTTGAATGCAGTGTGTAGAAAATCTTGTTCATATTATTGAGTAACTTGAAGGAGGATGAAATATGAAAACTATTTGAATGTGAGCGGATAAGGGTTACAAAGAGGTCCTTTTTGAATGAGCATATTTCTTTTTTTCTGATGGAACATATACCTATTGCTATATTATGGGAAGAAAAAACATTTCAGCTGGGAGCATGCTTTTGAGAAGGCAGATCAATCTTGGGGCATGGATATTTGTAATGAACATCCTGCGAGATTAACAAAAATATATTATGACTGAAATGAAGAAAGTAAACCTAAATTTGCTACCTTCAGTTATGACTTTGTTTTCCTAATAGAAACCTAAACGTTTGCTTATTATAGGTACAAGCATTCACATGAGAATTGTGGTCTGATGCACAATATCTTCCTGAACCTTGGCTCCACTCTCTTTGTCAATTTCTTTTCTTTCAGCTTAAAGGAGGGCCGGGGACCCCACAGTGGGTTCAGCAATGGGCCACAATGACCACCAACTCTGCCCTTCCACACTCCGGTCCAGAGAGAACACAGCAGCACCTGTCACCTGACAGACATGATGTGTCACCTGACCACATCATAGAGGGCTATGAGGCTGAGCACTCTTCCAGGATCAGTGACAGAGGTAAGGAAGTCTCATATATGATTCAAGTTTCCTCTTCTCCCCCCCCCCCCCTCACAGGAAGGGAGGTGGGGGGGGGGGACATATTTCAAGTTCTAGAGCGTAGAGTTTGAACAAATTGTGTCTTTCTGTACTGACTTTAGTATTTTTAGTTTAATTTCAGCCTTTAGGAAAGTGTTGTTGAATTTCACAGTAGGACAGTCATCGAAAAAAAGTGTTATTACCGCTCAATTTGTAAGAATAGAAGATTGAGAATTTTTGTATTAATTACTTGGTGTTCTTCTCTTTATAATGACTTTTGTATTCATGAAAGAAAGTGTTAATACTTTTCAAAGAGGGGACAGTATAAGTATAAAAGAACCAGCCTTCACCCTTTATCTCTGCTTCTTGATTTGATTTATTAAACTGGCCCTCTGTCTGCATGTTATTTGAGTGTCTTTATGTGTATCTTCTTCTTCTCTCTCTTTCTTTCTGTCTTTTCTTTCGCTCTCCCTGTGAGTCAGTTGGTCTCTCTGTCTCTCTCTCTCTCTGTCTCTTATGCATGCTATATGCATGGCCTATTGTAATAAGAGGGGAAAAAATGTGGGGATTGCCCATACCATATAGTCTGTCTTGTTGTCATGGAAATTCAATGTCAGCGTAATGTTAGGTTTACTCATTCTTTCCTGCTGTGCGCCTGGCATGTGAACATGGTGCATGCATCGGGGTCGGTTCCCTTTTGACTATTACTCATCGTTCTTATCAGATCATCACAGTGGTAAGATCATACAGAAACTGCAACAAAATGTAGAGGAATTTGCTATGCACAATGTGAAAACCGCCAAAAACTATTAATTTGAACTATTTTTAACAATAAGTATATGCTGAAATTCAGGTTTTGAACATTAAAATAAATTTCAGAATTAAAATGGTAATCAAAATTTAACTAGTGTATCATATACATGTAGAGATAATTTATTATCTTTATAGATATGTTGCCCATGGAATAATATAATGAAATTTAGATTAGGATCTCCTTTAGGAATATCTCACATGATGCAACCAACAACAAATATAAGGAAAATTATGTACAAATTACTTTGAAGCAGTTTCTCATCCCATAAACCTAGTATGATTGATGTATTTGTGGCATGTGAAGAGAGAATATAAAACTTGAATATTATCATTTTTATCAGGAATTTCCTGTAAGTGAAGGGAAATGTCATAAAAGCTGCATTTTACCTAGAAATGTATTTAACAAATACATTTAATACATTACAATTGTTAAGCTGTAATTCAGCAATCGCGTCATGCTTCAAATGATTCAATTTGAAAGCTTCCTCCGTGGAAAAATGGTGAGGCTGGCCCAACTAATTTGCACTAATCCAAAATCAACTCAAAGTATATTAGATATAAATAGATAAAAGGAAGCTCTAGATTTGTCTGCTGTTGGATACAGGCAGTCATTCAGCAATGTACAGGCGGTAGGTGTGTAGTGCTGTCACTTCACATGCGCACAGTTTGCCTTCAGGTATCAAAGGTCTGTTCACACGGCAGTGGCCTTTCATCACAAGAGGGTCATGTTGAAGTGTGTACAACCCCTGTGATTCTGCAGGAGAACTTTAAAGAGCTTTGTGTGTGAACATTCACATGGTGAAGGCACCTGAGTTGAGGGTATATATGTGTTGCATTGAATGGTGCTATGGACATGATCTTTGGTTGTGAGAATGACCCTTTGAAGTGAGATGTGAAGCGGAGGAAATGGATAAAGCCAGGGAGAGGGAGGTGCCCTGACCGTAGCGGGGGTGCATGATTTCCTGCGACAATAGCTTGGGACTCTGACTGATTCGAGCACAGCATGCCATTTGCTCGTGTGTTAATAGAACCCCCCTCTAGGTGATATCATACGTGAAGGTTCGTGAAAGAGAACAGAGAAGAGATGTAGAGACGTTTAGGGGGAAGAGGAGAGGATGTGAGAGATTTCCTCTTGAGAGTCTGTTTTAAGGATTGATGCTTTGACGCAGGTACCTGGCACTCTAGTCAAGTTACTCATCGTTGATATGTGCAATGAATCTGTGTTGTTCTTGAAAGCAAACCGTACATGTTATTGGAAGACAGGAGAAATAACAGCTTTTAGGCATCATGAGATCATGTGACACTTTGTTCCAAGTACAGTTATCTAGTAGTAGAGCTGCATTGGTGACACATGTATATGCCTGATAGCCATTTCGGAACGTTCTTGCGATTATGCTTGTGAACAAAGAATAAGTGCTGAATATTGGATTTATATGTGGATATCAAGTCGTTACAATTGTTGAATATATATCACCAGTAAGTTTCTGTGATTCATTTCTTTTACCTGCATTGTATTTCAAATGTTATTAAATGCTTTTCAACAACACAAACGCTGAAAAGTGAAACTTGTGTAAAATGTACAGAAATGTTCAGTTGCAGGTTTAATTGATGACTTCCTGGATAAATATCACTCACATCCACCTGTGACCTTTAGTGTTCTGTTAATTTGTTTTATTTTGATTGGGATTGTGCAATAAGTGTGAAGGGTTGCAAATAACTGTGTGTGTTGATTAGGTTAATAACTTTTTGAAATTCCAGTAAAAGTTTTATACCTGTAGAAAGTGTTTGATATTACATGGAGATAATATAAAACTGAGTATTATGGTAGTGCAAATAAATATATTTTTGTTTGTATTCATTTTTTATTTCAGATGATCATTTGAGCAAGAAGCCACCATCAGGTACCAGAGTGCAAACATCCACTACTCCCAGGACAGCACCTCCCCAATCACCAGATTCAGCTGGTCCCAGAGGATCTCGAGGGAAACGCATATTGCCAAACACGCCTGCTGAAAATCTTCAGACAGCTCGGCAGTCCTCCACGTCCAGCAGCTCGGAGCAGACCATGAGACAAAATGGCTTCCAGGCCTCCAACACCAGTGCCTTCCGCAGCCCCAGGAACCATGCCATAGAACAGCAGCAGCAGCAGCAGGAACAGCAACGCTATCCTCAAGAAAGAACCATGGAGGAAAAGGCTTTTGGAAAAAGGAGGCAGCTCCATGGTAGCTCTGACCCCATTGCTCCTATGGGTTACCAGCAAGAGGAGGCACGGAGAGACTCCTGGGGTCCAGAGGGAAGCATGGATACCGATGTGCTTTTGAAAGACACTGAGACCTTGATGCGCAATCTAGAAGAGAGAATGCGAACAAAGCGTCAGGATACACCTTCTCCAGAGATGTCAGACTCTCATGAAATGCCACATGACATTTCCCAAGATATCTCTGTGGTGTCATTTGAAGCAGATGTAGATACTGATGTAGATACTGTGAGCAATGTAAGTTTAGTTGGAGGTAATAACACATGGGCAGGAAGTAAGAGCAGGCACTACTCCTGTCCCGAGGATAATAGTACGCCAGAACAACCGCACTACACTAATGGAAGACAGAAGGCTGTCAGAAGCACTGAAAAGCCAAGACCAACTCAAGCAGATGCACATAGTAGAACAAGTAGTGATAAAACCACTCCTGCACCAGCTAAAGGTGGTGGTATATGGAGTAGGCTATCAACACCTAACAAACACAAGATGTCGGCTGCAGAGAAAGAAGCTGACTCTGTGAGTGACTCTGAACACTCCTTCAGAAGAAATACTCATCTCACAGGTTCTTTACCAACAGGAAGGATATCAAACCGATCAGTATCAAAGGGAACATCAGAAAACACCAAAGCTGTCAAAAAGCCTAAAAGCCTAAAACCACCCAACTTGTCACAGCCACGCCAAACCCGTAGCACCATGTTACGCAAGAGTAGGTTTAGTGAAGACTCTGGTGCAGACTATAGTGACATTAGTCCCAGTTCTAGCATGTCAGATCTGAGCTCTTCCAAGAACTTCCGCCGTGGTGGATCAATGCGTGAGACACGTAGTGGGGCTGTCTCTGATTCAGGCCGGCGCACACCAGGAGAGAGAGGCAGGGGGCGAACTTCTGCATCAAATGCCAGGAATGGGGACTCCAGTGCAAGGACGGACCACAGTCTTGGATCCCAAATCGCTAGACATGCCCGCACTCAGTCCATGCAGGATCAGAAAATGAAGACAGCCGAGCCAAGGTCACGTCTTCCTACTTCTGCCTCTCACAATCGCACTCCATCTGGGAACTTATCTCGCAAAAGTTCCATTGGGTCAACAGACAGTAATGTCAGTGGCGTAAGAAAGACCTCAACAGGAGCCTGGAGAAGGTACGATACAGCGGACGACTCGGACCATGATGTGGACAGTTACATCAAGAATGTCAATACTCGCCGCACAATAACACAGAACCACCAGAGTGAGGAGAGGCAGGCACCCGTCATCCAGAGGCAGAAGTCAAGCTCCTTGCAGAACCTCCAGACCTCTGCTCCTAGGACATCACCAACGAGGAAACCACCCAACCTGCGAGTAGAGATTGCTCAGGCCAGTAACACCTTAGCGCAGAACCTTCAGAGGTTGGCTCAGGGAGAATCCATTGATGAGATTAAAATTGACAGGATTCCAAAAGAACAGGTAAGACATCTAGAGAATATTATTTAAGACATCACACTGTTCTACATCCAAGCAATGCGTTCTTTGCTTCTAACATAACATTGTTTTATTTGATATTTTGAACAAATTCATTTCGGATTTTTAAAGAATAGATCATTGCTCTTTAGGTACATATGTGTTAAGTAGATGATCTTAAATGAAAATGGTGGATATAGATGTCCCCAATGCTATCTTTAGTCCTTGCCTTCATGCACACACCTTATTTTGGAGCACAGTTCTCAGATATCCAAATATTTGTGTAGCTGCAAAACGAGCCATACATATCACCTTTATAAACAACAATCACTTCTGAGAATGCAAATTCAATCTAATTCACTAAACACTGTAGCTAAGCTGTAGGTAATGTCTTTTGAATTCCTGTCACTGGATGAATGTCCTATTGCTGTCCTTCCATGTACCTATGTTCATATTTGACTGATGATTCGCAGGATAATGACGGAAGTTTACAATTTCCAATGTGATGACAGATTCGGTCTTGATGGAATCGATTAGAAAAAAGGAAATCTTGTAGCTATATGACAATTCAATTTTCTAAATTCAACCTGAAAGCCATGTGGTTTTGAGTCATGCTGCAGTGTGGACTTCAGTTCTACGGTCACATGTTTCACATAAGGTAATGTGTTTACGATGATGATGATGGGAGCTTGGTTGGTTTTTTAACCCCTGAGCACTAGAATGGTGGGGTTCAGACCCACATGTATGGTTTGCCAGGGTTTCCAGCTATCCTGGAAATTGGGGAAAAACATGGAAGATAGTTCACTTATATCAATCTTGGAAAAGACAGGTAAGTTGAAAGAAAGTGACTCAAATCAGGAAGAAAAAAATCAGGAAATTCCAGCAGCCCCAAAAGAAAGTAGTCAGTCTCCTACCTTTTATCTTTTGTCCAAACAGTTAATTCACTGCAAGATTTGCTATGGTGGCTTTAATCTTTAATATGTACATGTCAATGCCTCCTTTAATGATTACAAAATTACTAAATTACTAAACTAGATCTTGGGGCCCCATTGCATAAACCCTACAATTGATGTTAACTATGCCATTAATGGTAACTTCCATGGAAACCTTGATTTGATTGGCTTGGTAGTTCCCATGGTAGTCAACATTGATGGCAATGTGACCACAAATGGTAAGATTTATGCAATGAGGTCCAGGATAACAATCAGGGGGGGGGGGGGAAACCAGTTGGACAATTTTTTTAATTGGAGCTTTACGCAGTTTATGTTTTACACAATTTTTTCCTGAAAATTTTGTTTACAATATCAAAATGGAACCACGGCTCATTTTGTTTCATCTGTGATGTTATACTTTACCGTACTAAGCCTTTTTGTGCCTCTTTTACACCCTCTTCATTCATACATCCATTCCATTGAATCCAGCTCATATTTCATTTTGTGGTAAGTCTCTCTTTCACTCTCTATCTCTCACACTCACCTCACTGCTTCGTGCTTGGTGTTCATTGGTATCATGGTACCTCCTCCTCCTCTGTGCATGCATGCTAGAGTCTGCTCCATTCGTCGTTAGTTGAACCTGTAGTAGTCGGTAGCGGTGGATGTGTAGAGAGCTAGCTAATGTAGTCCTTCCCCTTAAAACGAACCCACACCCAGGAAATAAATTATACCTTGATAAATCAACAAGTCAAATTATATCACGGGTAGAGCGTGTCATCTGTGGCTGAAAGAATATCATGCTTTGATAGGATCCAGGAATGTGTCCAAATTTGTTGTTAATCCTGAAATAAATAAGAATATACTTCATGGTTATGATTTGTGTTTAGTGCCTCTAAAATGTCACAATTTTATGGGATGTATATTTTAAGCAATATATCCTCAAATTTTATTCATTATCTAAAAGTTACTTTGATTTGATTTTGCTGTATATGATAAGATTTTATTTTATTTGACATGATTTTTGCAGTGTGGATAATGCAAAAAGATTTAGTTCCTCTGTTGTTGAATATCTGGGTGTTTTTCTATGGGTGATTGTTCCCTTTAAGTTTCCATTTCGTCACTGACTTTACTTTGAAAAACACTCATTCTGGCAGATGTAAGATAATTTAAATTTTGTTGTTGTGCAGTGGAAGTTTTTCTTTATTATCTTCACAGTTGCATTTAATTAACAACCCAGGAATGTATAGCAAGATTGACATCGATGTCTTGAATTTCATAAAAACTATCTTGTATACCCTCATTTACGGTGGTTCATGCTTCCCCTTAATAATGATCATACAATGTACCAGAATGCCCCTGATTGAAATAACAGAGCAACAAGTTTTTAAAAAAAAATACTCAGTGTTGGATAGTTAGACCACCTAAGTATTGGTCAGTAATAGAATGTTCAATGTGATAGCCATGGATGAGACATGGAATATTATTTTGTAAAAGTTAAATCCTTATCTTTATATCTAGCAAAGTATAATTTTGTATACCGATTAACAATATGTTTGTTCAGTAAAAGGCTTATTCAGATATGGTGCGCTAAACTACGTATTCTTTTTAAAACATGTTTAATGAATGGCAATTGAACGCAACAAAGAACTTTTGTGTATTCACTGAGCTCTGTGTTATTAGATACAGAAATGTGAATTGTATAACATTTTACGTCATCACAAAAAACAGCTGTGGTTCTTGCAGCGTCATATATGAACGAGCCTTGATGGTGTTTTTGGCATGATAGTGATCAAACTCCAGTTCCCCTCTCAAATACATGTAATATGCATGTTCTAATGACCATTGACCAATGATTAAACAGTTTATTCAGAGCTACACATGATTATTAAACCACATTCATTATAAATATTCACCATGCATATTCATGCCTGTCATAATGACCAGTAATTGATCAACGATGGACCAGTCCACTAAGCTACAAGTGATAATGAATCTACTGTACATGTCTCAAAACCTTTACAATGCATATTTCTGAGCTTAATGAACCCATCCAAATGACTTTTTGTGATTGATGTCCATACATGGGATTAGGATTGATATTTTCACATCAGTATTTGACTGAGGAACATTTCAGATGTGGACAGTTTTTTGTTTTGGGGTTTTTGTTGTTGTTCTTTGTGTGTTATTTGCGTGTTTTCTGTGAATAGAAATGTACTTTTTCCAATTTCCTTAGTTTTTTTTTTAGTAGTCCATATAATTGAAAATCCTGAAAATTCTTCACTCCGGTGTCTGATTGAGCAAACAAAAATACATAGCTTTGGAACATAACGCCTACATGATACATAAAATATCATAGTCTTTGTCAGTATTTTTCCAAACTGTTTGTAAATTATGAGACCTATCTCTCTTTTCTCTCATTAATACCCTTTCTTCTGTTGTTTTTCCCCTCTCCCTCTTTATTACCATACATTTAGCTTTTCACATCTTGTTTTTCTGTTTTCAATTCATCTCTTTATCATTGAGTGAATGTTTCTCTCACTATTTCCTATTTACCTTTTCTGTTCATGAAAGTTTTATTTTGAAACTGTTTGACTTTTATTTCTTTCAAGTTTGATTGTGACTTAAGAGCAGAAATGGATATATTTTGTGTATGAAAATTTGTGTATTTGTAAACCCTTTCATGCAAATGATTTGTACCCCTTTGATGTAAGAAAGTATATGTCTATACAAAAGGACCATATACATGTAGATTTAAATTAATATATTTTAATTGTTAAGTTTTCGTTGAACATTATTGCTCATCAAGCTATATTCATGTACTGTTTGATGGCTCAAGGTTAAAACTTTGGGACTTAATCTGACATTACATCTTGCCTAATCCATCAAAGAAATGTACTATTTTATAATCGTTCAAGAGAACATCCTTTGCAAAGGTATTTGGATTAGCTGATCCACAGTAGTTGTGGGACAAGAGGGATTAATATCTTGCATTGCGCTTAAATTTTCCTTTGTACATGCAGTCCAACCACTATAGGTATCAAACTAATACACATGTATGCATTTCATTTTCCCATAATAGTACTTACTATTAAAGTCATTGCAAGTCATACTTATATACATTGCCTCAATACTATTTTATTCAGGGATGTATAGAGGAAATTGCTAATGAGCTTTTTGCCACCTAGTGGTTATTAAAATAGACAAGTTATAAGAAGGTATCCCAGTGGCAAACTTCTGTCTGAATATGCAGATAAGCTTTTGAGAGAGTGCATGTTCTCGAGAAACAAAAGTTTGATGTTGTGAACATTGTGACTGGCTGCCAGATGCTTCACAGATGATCAGACATTTGCTCTGGCAAAAATTGCTTCAGGTTTTATTTTAATAAAATTATAGGGTAAGGGTTAGGATTACAATTGGGTTTCAGGTTAGGTTCGTAGTTCAGGTACGGTTGGGTCCCGGGTTGAAGTTAGAAATTTGGTCTGGTGTATAAAATTACAGCGTAGAAATTATTGCAGGAGCCACTTCACAAGATGGATCAGATTTGTCAGTTTGTGAAATTCGGTCATGTACATGGACCATTGACGTTGTAGACTTGTGTCAGTGATGCTTGGTCATTTAGGAAAACCCTGTAGCAGATATAAGTGGAATGAATTAAATCCAGCATTATGTTATAAGTAGTGAAACTAGTGGTCATTTGAATTGCTTGGTAGATAACCCTGTGTTACTTGTACATTGTCATTCACCATAACTTTGCATTTGTTATTTGACACAATATGACAGAGCTATGTACCCAGATAGAAACAGAATGATTATGCTGTACTTACATGTATTTCAAATGTCATGTATGAATCAGTGGGCACCTTTTTCAGTTCCTGATTTGAAGGGGAAAAAAGATAAGTAATTAGAGATGGGCCTAATGGGAATTTATAGGCAAGTACGTAAAAATCAAAACTTGTTCTGGATTTAATTTTATAAATGGAATATAATTGTTATGTTTTCTCTGTTGTAGTAGCCTGGTTGCTAATGTCTTGTTTTACTTTTAAAAACTTCTTGCACTTTTGATGTGTCTCTTCACAAAGATCCTTAGTCAAACTTAACTATAAGTTGGTCTTAACAATTATGAAGAGCCATTTGTAGCCTTAAAATAAAATATATTCAAAAGCACAAATTCAAGAATTTTAGACTTTTTATAAATCCCACATCAAGAACATTAAATCTCCTTGATAATAGAAAATATGAGTGTTTGAATCAACATTTTATGCCTTAAAATAAATTTTACAAAAACATTTTCTAAGATGCCAACGGCTTTCCATAATTGTAAAGTCCCCCTGGAGTGTTAATGTAATGTTACACCTCACACAGTTTAATATGGACAGCAAAATGTGATAGAGTCAGGTTATAAAAATCTGTGTGGATCCATTCCCCTTGAAGTGAACCTTTATACCCTCATGGCTTTGTTTCCGTTTATGTCTTCAGCAAATGATGGACGAGTTACTGGTCGAGGACTCGATTCATCTCAGCAGACAGGATATATGGCAAGGTGAACGTCATCCCCAGGTACCCCTCCAGAGGTCCTCTTCACTCAGCTTTCAACCAGGTAAAAGGGAGTTGGTATGAACAGTGCTATGTTCTTGTTCACACTGGAAAGTTGCACAAGTTTAGTTATTGTACTATTTAACCAGATATTGAGTTGGTGTGAACAGTGCCATGTTCTTGTTCACACTGGAAAGTTGCACAAGTTTAGTTATTGTACTATTTAACCAGATATTGAGTTGGTGTGAACAGTGCCATGTTCTTGTTCACACTGGAAAGTTGCACAAGTTTAGTTATTGTACTATTTAACCAGATATTGAGTTGGTGTGAACAGTGTAATGTTCTTGTTCACACTGAATCGTTATACATATTTATTTATTCAATGTTATACATGTATTAAACAAGGTACAATAGATTTAATGTGAATAGTGCTTTCTTCTTGTTTATATTGTAAAGTGCAATAACCTAGACATTTTTTAATGTTTGGTGTTTTAACAATTGGTGTTGTATGGTAAACATACAAGTAATTCATTTTAGGTTTCCTTTACACAATATAGTTTGGTTTCTTTCCTCTGTTTCCATAGTACACTTTTAGTTAATGAACGTAAATTGAATGAATGATTTAATTACTAAATCTAAATCTTTTTTCTTTGTTATCCTCCTTCACTTTAGATCAAACCTCTCAAGGCCTAGCGGGGAGTCCACCTGTTCACGTCAAGAAGAAACAGTTCAATAAATCTGAGGTTAGTATCTTCTTTATTTGTTATTTTATTAGTTTACTAATAAACGCTTATTTTGTCCGGCAGGTGTGATTTTATTAGCAGACTAGTAGTATAGGAAATTCTAAGGTGAATTCTCATTTGGAGTAAGCCTAAGGAATGTAGTTAAAAATGTTGAGCTTTAATATAATTGTGGTAATGATTGGAAGGGGGGGGGGAGGGGAGAGAGGGTCATGAAAATATTTAATAGAGTTTTTCATGTACATGACTCAACAACTGTTTTCTCATGGTCAGAGGCAGAGGACCTGTAAGGGAGATGTTTGATGTAATTAAGGTTTATGTATAAGAGAGGGAGACCTATTATTTCTCATTGGATACGTATAATTATACGTAGGAGAGGAGAAAAAAATTCAGGCTAGCAGAAGCCCACCTGTTTTTCAATTCTGTAATATTTCATTAAATGGATTGATAGTACCTCTGACTTGTCATGAATCCAACTTTTGAAGCTTTTTTGCCAAGTTTTACATGTAGCTGCAAATTCATTGGATTATAATGAAATTATGGCTTATTATATCATAAGTCCATTGCTTTTGGCACCCCCCTCCCCCCACACACACACAAATGTTCCCATCCATCCCTTTCAAAATTGATCTCCCAAAACAATTTGCTTCCATATAGTCCTGCACAAGATTGGAAAATGTTACATGTATATTGATACTTGTTAAAAAGATATATAAAACATATTTAAAGAAATATATAGTTATATAGGGTATAAATTTACAAAAAACTGTGTGTACAGTCAGAGCAAATTGGCGAAAAGTGTGGGTTGTTTGAAGAAAGAGGCATAGCAAATATAATGGGGATGGTGACAGAGTATAATCTACAATCGAAAGTAAATGGTGCCAGGATTTGTAATGCCTAGGACTGATATTTCTTTCTTTGTGCATTGTGGATTGCAACTTGATGCACAATGGAGCTGATCCCGTATAATAATAGATGATTTGTTTTTATTTACTCCTTTTACATTCATGCATTCAGTCTGCAAGTGACTTGATCGTTATGACCAAGGTTATTTCATGTTTTGTCTGCGTTTGTTCCACATTATTCATTTATGTTGTTCTGCATGGAACATGGTAGAATAGAACAGTGTGAATTCTTTTCTCATATTACTAATTCATCTGGACTCTTTATCAGTGAAATACATAGTATATCTATCAGATCTTATTGATATCAAAATACCTTTTCAATTCCCAAATTTAACTAATATTTTTAAATATATATTTCAAATCCATGTTTATATATCTGTATAGTATTGGTGTATGACAAATTTTATTCTGATTTTTACCCAATGTCTTCTGAAATCTCTTCTGTACATATTACAAATGATATATTGTGGTAGTCATACATGTACAAATAATTATGGGATGCAATTGAATAAATACAAACTCAATAGAAAACAAAATGATTATAAAGAAAACAGTTATAATTGTTTCACCATCGATGAAATAACAACTTGTATTGTAATACCAGTAAAGTGAAATAATTTCAAATTATTTCTAAGAATTAATCATTCTCCATTCATAAATTTCTCTGTTACTATAGCAGATATGACTTTCACTTTTATTGTATATTTCAGAAAATTAAGGCGACCCAAGTTTGTGGTAGCTTGTATATTTAGGAAAATAAAACGACTACCGGTATTGCAAAGTAATTCATATCTCTTCAATTTACCCACATGAAAATGAATGCAGTGGGACTTATACTGATTGAATTTTCCCTTGTTTTATCCACCGTTTATTTCTCCATCCCACCCACATTGATATATTTGGATGATTGTAGAGTCAGGATCAGGACTTTGTAGTGAGTACCCAGCATGATGATAACCCATTCTATGTTTCATGCATGCGCATCATTCGCATGGCCTCATCAATTGCTAGCTCTGACTTACTCTTCTCATTGTTCACTATTAGATCATACATTAGAAAGGTAGAACTTTGTCTTTCCATCATGACAACATTATAGACAAAAAGGGGATCATTAAAGCGATAAAAAGTCAAGTTTATTCAAAGCTACATGTATCATAAGTTTCATGATTAAATTGTACAAAGAGAAATAGTTTTAATATATTCATAAAAGCTTAGGATAAATACAATTAATTTTAATTTTTTTTTGGAAAGTCATCCTGAAATCAGAAAATATCAATGTCACCTTGTGACTTGTGACCTTGGTGACCTTAAGAACAGAGAAAACAAAACTTAATTTGATATATATGCAACCTTCTTATTCTTTCAACCAAAAATGAATCTGTAGATTTAGTAGTGCCAGCAACTGATGTACATGTGCATCAAATTATGTAATTATACCATGTGAATATGCCTCATATTAAGGTTGGAGCATTGTTTATTTGAAGGAAGTGCAAACTTAAACTTCAAGGCTCCCTAGAACTTATAAATAGTAAGGGTTATGGATTGAATCAATATCCATCTTCTTTCAATGTAACAGATGTTTGTCTTGTAATGATCATGTGATGATACTTGTATCTCGAATTGGGGGGGGGGGGTGAGGGGGAGCAGGGTGGTTCTTTTGAGCTCAGTGTGCATCTGTAGGTCTGGCAAGCTACTTTCAAATCAAATTAAGAGTGGATTCCTATAAATTATGATCTTAATCAGAGGTCAGATTTTCATCTGAGATAATTCTTCTCCCTCTTTATAGGACCTGGAAGCTTGCCCAGAAAAGTTGTCAATTTTTGTTTCACTTCTAAAGTTTAGTCTTTTGCGGTGGTCAGTAGACCAAAAACAAGTCAGAATATTGAAATCGGCCAGCAGGTTTAACTCTTTCGTCTGTAACACTTTGATGTGTTTCTAAATTTTATGTTATTAAAATGAACATTTGAAGAAAGAAACCACATAGGGTGTTATGAAGGCATTTCATTTAAGGGAGGGGTAGTATACATGTTGATTCGATTTCTATATGACAAGAATTGTACAAGTTCAAAATTTGATTTATCACATCAATGCTGGATTCATATTTCCTTCAAATTTAATGCTTGAATTTGAAAGGGGAGATGCAAGGTTTTATTTAATGCTTTTACAAATAGCTGAAACACAACACATTATTAAACTTGCTTTAAAAAACAGACCATGTTGCTTATTTTCTTTAAATCATCACATTTGGGCTGTAGATTCTTGTTTCATTCATAGCTATGTGACAGTTTTTTTCTTCAAATGAATCCATTCATTATCTTTGAACATGTTGCTAAATAAGTGCAACCTGTATAGACAAAGATTCATAGATCTTCCACCAAATAAAACTCACTCTTTGCATTAAACTAAAGTAGATGTAGACACGATAAGAAACTGCAATCTTTCTTACTCCTCCAAAACATTTAAAGCATATCTAGTCATCATCATCATCATCATCATAATTTTCTCATAAAGCTTAAACCAGTAATCTTACATATTTTTTCCATTCCTTGTAGAACTACAGTATACATTTCTCCTTGTCTCACATTATCAGCGATTGTATCATTGGAATAAAAATCAAATGTTTTACAAATAAAAGAGAGCAGAAAGTAAAGTGTATGTTTATTGAGTTGTATAGAAAAAAGATATGTTAGAGATTTAGCTAGGGAAAGTTTGAATAGTGACCATTAGAAGGGAACTTCCCAGTGTTATGATGAACAGAGAAATACATGTCTACATGTAAATCTTGTCTAGTTCTATCGTGAACAAATTTATGATTATTTGTGCATGCCAATGTATCAGTCATTTTGTGTAGCATTTTACATTTTAGGAAGTAAAGGTATGTGTACATTTCATTTAAAATTGGAGGCGCTTAAAGTGTTCATAATATACACGTGGTTCTTTGAGATATGCTTTTCTAAAGCAATCTGATTTTCATTTTCATTTTAAGCTTGAAAAGCAAGATTTGTTAGGTAACATTGTTTGATCATCACAAGTGAATCTTTCACTTTGTGGATCTTTGCATATTTATCATAAACATGGAAATGATGGAATGTTTTAAATAGTTTAGACTTTAAAAAGTTTTCTGTGATCTGTTAATTCCATATCGAGTACCGTAGTGCATGTCGTTTCGATTAAGTTGTTTTTGTTTCATACATTGTATTTCCTTTTCACATTTGTGCATTTTCATGTGCTAAGCAGTTTGTGTACCGTGTTTGTGTACATGTTTAGTTTTTATGTTTTTCTGTAGGAAAGAGTTACAATCATACACAAATTTCTTTGCAGCTACGGTAGTGAGAATTTGGATTTCAACTACAGCTTGATAAAAAAAAAGAGAATATTTTTGTAATATTCATATTTTATTGTAACTAAAGTGTTGTATTATCCAGTGTATTGATTTCTTTCTTCTAAAAACCTACTTATTGCGTAAGTTTGTCATTTGAATGATCAGAAACGTACCGGTAATGTAAATCCTTTGCAAATGTGTAAACTATTGTAGTGTATGGATTTTTAACAAAATCCTACCTACAGGTTATATGACTGTATCATGGCTGAGTTGTTGAATGCTGATGGTAATGACAACAGCAATGATGATGATTGATGATGTCATTTTTTATCAAACAGTGCATGCAGATTGAAGAAGAACAAAGTATAGAACCAAATCAAGTTCTTACACATAAATTTATGGAATCAGTTTTTGTGTTCATGTACAATGAAGGTTCAATGGTTGAGAATGTTGGTGCTTTTGTTGCATGTTTCATGTATGTAAAGCTGTTGGGCATTTGTCATTGATTAAAATCTGTCATGTGGATTTCTGGCAAGTTTAATAAAACTAATCCTTATCTCCTGTTTCATGTATTAAAACTATTTAACACCAAAGAGAATGCATCTAATTTTTGAAAAGTAAATGTGGGTTAAATATGAATTTTATATGAACTGATTATAAAGAAAAACATGTATGTTCCATTTGTAATCTTCAGTAGATTTAGAAGGGAGTATTCCAAATGTCAATGAACTTCAATATATGAGACCAGATGAAACACAGTTAGACTTTAAGGAGATAAATGTACTCTTCTGTAAAATTGTCATCTGGATTCTAGATGATGCTTTCAAGTTTTAAGTTCTATCCAAGCATTTGTAATCATGTTCTTCAACCCTTAAATAGTCTTCACATTTCCATTTGAAATACCTGTGCATGCATTGTGACTATGTGTAACTGCTTTCGTTACATTGCTGTCTGTTGCTAATTCTTTGCACTGCCAGTGGTTGGAATACTAAATGACGTTGGTGTGTCTCTCTTTGAATCTTGCAGTCCTTTGATAGCCTTGTCCTGTCTTCCATCCACCACTTGTCCATCAAGATGAAGGATTCCGGTGACAAGATTGCCTACAAGCTCAAGTAAGCGTTCGTTTCAGTTCTTTTACTTTGACCTTGCAAAACCTGGAAGGAGACACTAGAAAGAGATATGAGATTGAGAACATCTGGCTTCACCCTGAGGCATATATGCTGAAGAGCAGCATAAGGCCTGTCCTCATCAGCTCGAGATTGTCAAATAGCCCGCTATTTCTGATTTGGGAAATAACCCCAAAGTTTTCATCAGCACGAGATTCGACCATGAAACTTGAAACTCAACCTTGAGAAATTAGCTTGAGATATTTGCTCAGCGTTCGCGCATAGTGCAAGTCTTTGGGCTGGTAAAGACACACCGGACAATTAGCGGGATAGTTTGCAAACTAGCCCAAGATATCTTGGGATGATTATCTCGACCAAATATCCCATTAATTGCAACTTCAGGCCGATGAAGCCACAAATTAACTGGATAATTTGCGATCGGGATAGTTGAAACATCGGGATATTTGGCAATCTCGAGCTGATGAATACAGGCCTATTGAAGGCTTGGAGTAGGGCCATAAGGGAAATGAAACATCCAACCACACAGCATGGGGAAAAAACGGATGCTAGAATGATGATGATGATCTTTCACTTAAATGATAACAGGCAACAGGGTTTTTTATTTATTGAAAAAAATCTGTGATAGGCGGCTGATGATTTGTGTTTTAATCCTGTCATGACAAAATATCCAAATGATGGCTCATTGACATATGACACAGGAATCAAGGCATTTTTTTTTAATGTGTAAATGTAAATGAATGTAAAGTGGGGAAGAAAAAATTATATGCATGTAAAAGAGGTCCTACATGTATGTATTCATGAACTCACTAAATGTTAGTTATGAGATATAGAAACGTAAACTATATTAACCTCATGTCATAATTTTTAAAAAATTTAAAAATGTTAGGTTTTACAGTGACATATGTGAATGAGCCATCCGTTTTCTAATATTCTCAGTTTTGCATGCATCTGCTGTTATCAAGATGAAAATATCAGGGTAGATTCCCAGGATCTCATCTTCAAAACACTAGAATCAAATATTGAGATTTCATGGGATTGAGGGGGTGGGGGAGGGGGGGGGGGCCGAGCCAAACTTGAGAGGATATCCTGACCCATTTTCTGAACAGCTTTGAGAAAAAGCATCCTTGCTTGGCAGCCGTGTCAGCTGAATAAAAATGGCTAAGTCATGAAGATATACAGAAGCTGAGCTTAATGTTAACCATCATAGATTTAGAGTTTTAACAGACATCCAGTGGTTTAATATTCAGGACTATGACCTCATAACCAAGGTTGTTTAAGATTATACTTCTTCCTCCAAAACTTTGAGGCTTTGCCTGTTAGACATCAGTCATGATTGAATGTGCTTTTCATTAGCAAGTCATGTTTTGTAGTGAATGTTAGCGACATTGAATTGAATTTTTTTTCTATTAAACTTATCAAATATGAGTACTTGGATTTGGGTGCTTTGATCAACATCACTATAATGAATTACAAATAGTGAAACAAAATTTATATGATAATTCTGAAAGACGATGTGATTATATTGCTTATTATTTTAATGCTTATCATGTGATGTTTTTCCTATTTATTCAATAATAAGAAGATACAATTGTTCTATTTATGTATTAATTAGAGGATAAATTTAATATGCTTTAGAAATTAAGGGCATCTCCTATACAAGTTTTATGTGCAAATCTAAGCAGTGCTAATATGTAGGTCTAACCTGCCCATTGGATACCCGTAAGGTGAACAGACATTTGCACCAACAACAATTGCTCCAGGCTTTATTTTTTCAGACAAATAGGGTTGGAGTAAGTATTCTAATTGGGTTTAAGGGTAGGTTGAGGATTAGGTATAATACATGGTCCAGGATTGAATTTACCAATTTGGTTACAGTACAAATTATACAGATGAGCAATTGTCATCAGACCATGTGTTTTTACGACCTTCTGAAATCATACTAAGATTTCTTTTGAGACTTCGTCTTTGCATCAACTTTAAGATGACATCATAATGATGTTCTATGTTGTTTTTTTTTTTTTTCCTTCAGGAAACTGCAGCAGCCTGGAGCCAGTGAGGATGAGTTGTCAAAGGTTTTGAGAGACAGTGAGTTTCCTCTCCTCAAGACAAACAACAAGGAGATTGCTGGCATCCTCCAGAATCTACGCAAGATGGAGAAGAGACTGGAAGGTGAGATGGATGTAATGTTTGCTGTTTAATGATTTTTTTTTACTGGATTTATACAGTGCCTGTTGTCTGGGAGCCTTGCATAATATCATTACCCTGGTCATCAGATTTGTTTTTATAAATTTTAATTTTCAAAAAGGAAGGTCTGTGTAAAAGCTCTGAAAAAACAGTTTTTGACAATGTATTTTAAAATCAAACGATAATAAGCGTAGCCCTTCTCGATGTTTACGTCTGATATTGCACATGAAATACTTGTATCATTCTTGTCTTAAAGAAATGCCTTTTTACCATTGGTTTGACAGAAATCCATGGCATGGTGGACCCTCGTAATGAGATCAAGCTTCCTGAGCAGCTCTCACCGGTGAATCAGATGAGACGGCAGTATGCCACAGAGTTTAACTTCGCTACTGCCTCTGACTCTGAGACTCCCCTAGCTATGTCAACAAGACACGTTGGTCGTGCTCCAGTCAACGCTAATCTTCAGAGACAAAGGCATGCACAGCAGCAGCAGCAGCAGCAGCAACAGCAGCAACAGCAGTATCAGGAACATGACGAGGAGGAGGAGTATTATCTATGAGATTTATCTGAAACCCAAGAGACTTCATGACCATGACAATGAGACATGTCTGCTGGGCTCCAGTCAACCCTAACCTTCAGAAATGGAGTTAGCAGCAGCAACAGCAGTATCAATAACATGACGAGGAAGAGCGCTATCTTTGAGATAAATCTAAAGATGCCGAGGCTTCTTTGTCATGACTAAGTGACGTGTCTGCTGTGCCCGGTCAACTATAGACACAACCAGCAGCACCACCATCTACAGCTTGATTAAGATGTGTATTATTACGAGAAAGATTTGTCTCTGAAACTATACGGACCATGAAGACAAAACAATGTGGTCATGCCTCAGTCAACCTAGAAACTCCTGAGTCAGGAAAACATGATGAGGAGAGATTCACCTGAAGTCTTCAAGAGACTTCTTTCGCTTTGAGGAAGAGACATGTCACCTGGGCCCCAGTCAACCCCAATCTTCAAAGATGGTGTTGCATTTGATTGACATCCAGCATCAGTAGTATAAACAGTATCAAGAACATGATGGATAGGACCTGTGACATTCATTTGAACCAGTTCATGGAGTACCATAACTCATAATATCCTCATCCAAGTATTAAACCTGTGATGGAACACTTTCCTCACAAGGGGATGTGATACACTTCTGTATTTCAGTGCAGGAAAGTTCCAGGAGTGAAAAGTGTAGTACGAGCTTTGAAGTTCAATTCTTGTTCAAAGCCACAATGCTGAACAATTTGGAATAAGTTTATATAGTTTGTTGTGATTGCCAGGATTGACTGGAAAACAGAGACAGAAAGCAAGAGAACAAATACAGAAACCGTGGATTCTAAACCATACATATGTGAGCCAGAGTTGTTTGAGCCGAGCTACTTGACTAAATGTACAAAGTAGCTCAGATTGTCAAAACTTGCTGTCATGAAAAAGAAGGAAAGCGTAGGAGAGAAGAGAAAATAGAGTCTGCACACTAAAGAATGATCCAAGAGCTATTCCAACTTTCCAGATATCAAGGCACTGTGTAGAAATCCCTTACTGAAGGTGATGAAAGTGATGCGATATGCGAAACAGTTTGCATTGTTGAGATAGAATAATGGCAGCAGTGAATATGATAGTGATTGAACATGCGACGCTCTACCAGTATGGCGATCTGCAAGCTTTAGAGGCGTAAACTCTTTTGTGTGAAGTGACACAAAATGTATTGTTCTCCATATATACATACCAAAGTTGGATCAAGAAGTTAGCAGTCATCCTCATGCTCTGTGATTAATGAGGAATATGCAACATGATTATGATAGCTGTTCTTGCCAGATGTTACTCAAGTTTAAACTCTTATCTATTGCCATTTATCTCACGGGTCATGTTATCCGATTCACATCCACATGGTCGAGATTTCCTTTCTTGTTTAGAGGCAGTAATATTTGGACTATTTTGAAACATGTTGTAATTGCTTGGAACCTGCCTAGATATGCATGATTAAAGATAAAAGATAAAACAGAATTCAACATGCTTTAATCTTCAGTTTTCATCATTGTTGAATAAAATGCTCCAAAATTATTGTGCAAGTAAAAGGCCTACATGTATATAATAATAATAATAACTTTTACTTATATAGCGCTTTTCATAAAACATTTATATCAAAGCGCTTTACAATATTGATACAATTAAAACTATAAAACAGAGTAATGACAAGAAAACAAATATAAAGTGAAATTATGAAACATAAGATAACAAGGTAAGGTAACAATATAAGAACTAGGTAACAATTTAAGAGCTACGTTATATGTCAAACTGTCTGAATTATCCAACTTTAGGCACAATTTGTAGAGAACCCTGGCCCTAGCAAATTATCAAGTTGTTAAATATTAATTTGTATGATTCCATTATGTGTTTTCTACAAATTTGATAACAAATGTGAATCAATTCATAAAGTTGAGTTGGATGTTGGCCTCCCTACCTTTGCTTGTCTTGAACTTATATTATTAAAAAAAGGAAATCATTTTGAAATGACTTTACAATATGCTTGTCTCATACAAGGCATAGACCTAGTGTGAAATGTGAATTATTTTCAGGTGCTAGCTTTGATTTAGTTTGTAAATAACAATTGCAATAAAGAAAAGGAGAAATGAATTCCTCATATAAATTAAACGTTTATTGAAATTTGAAGAAAAAATGGGTCTTGTATATATTTCTTAGCGATTGCCATTTTGGGGAGGAGATATTTCCTAGATATATGCTAACAGTATAATTGTAAGATATGATAACATGCATGCCAAGAGAAAATAGAGAAGCAGAGAGTTAGTCGACATATTTTGTGCATGTTATCCTTTTCTCTTTAATAATTTGCATGATATATTTGTATTTTGTTGCATGTATCTGACCATTTTACCAGGGATTGCCAATTTGATGCACTGATATTTAGTAAAGATTTCTGTGAAATTCCTCGGGAGTTGAAAGTCTGCTGGCGTTGACCAGCGATCTCATGCCGTCACTTCGCATTTTTAATTAGAATGAGATAAATATGCACCACAATACATCTCACCTGATAAAGAGACAATCAAACTATTATAGTTTTGAATAGAAGTGACAATACCTCGTATCTTCCAGACATAGCACTGTAGCCATGATAGAGCGTGTGCTGAATGAGTATCAAACTGTATAGGATTTCACCCTTTTGTGTTACTTTCCTCTTGTCTACTTTCAGATTAAGCTGCAATGTTTATTATTTGTTAATATGTATCATTCTAAATTTTTATTTATCATGTATATTTTATGAGAGTTTATGTATATCTTTGAGCTGTTTTTTTCTTTCTTTTATCAATTGGTTTTGACATGATGAACTGCCTTAAATCTACATAAATGTAGTGCCCCATCTTGATAACAGCTGAAAAATGAAGTTGATATAGATTGTCATTTTTGATTTTTTAGGAGTGAGAAGAAATAATCTACCATGTGTTGCACTTCGATAGCCCCCCCCCCCCTGAAAAAAAGAAGACATATTAAAGTATTACCGTACCATCTACTGGTATTTAGTTTTCACATATTTTTGCAAGCCATATGTATTTTCTATTCTTTAATTTAGGCATTTCTTTTTATACCAGCAGAGTTAGCAGTACATATATTATTTGTGATATAAATTACATTTACGCAATTTACCTTTTTTTAAATAACTTTCCAGGCTGCCATACATATGTACCCAGTGCCTTTATATATGTGCATTGTGCTTCGTAAAACATTTGTAAGATATCGACCTGTTCATATAAATCAAAGTTTCAGACATTTCCTAAGCTTTCATCAAAGAAAATCTAATGAAGCATTCTGAAGAGCAGCAATGTCCTCAGGACTGTAATGTGCTATTATATTTCAATGGGTAATAGCTAGATTTGTGTGCTTTCCGGAAGAAGAAAAAAATTACATGAGATAGATCTCTTTGAATACAGCACTGCCGTCTTCAATAAACGTAGACTGGTTGCATTTGATAGATTTCAATTGTGAGTAGAGGTTACTGTTCTGTTTCTTCTTACCTGCAATGACATTTCATTTGCCTTATAACAGCGAAGAGGCTCGTGCTTATTCCTGGGTGTCACTCATACCATGTGCATGTGTACATCAAAGCAGTCAATATATATGTGTAAATCAGCTACCAAATATAATACCGGTAAGCATTGTTCCCTAACATGACCTTCCTTTTCCTTTTCTTGGAAGTATTATTTAAAGTTATATTTTAGATCTCATTTGACAACTCCTTCAATTGCATAAATGCGAATAAATTACATGCAAACTGATTTTAATGTCTTCATGGAAGTTTTTATTTTCTATTGCTCGAGTACTGTTATTTATTTATCAATGAAAAATACAATGCATTCGTACATATACTTTATGATCTTAAATTGAAACTATAAAATTCACTCATTTTCTCTCTCTCTATTTAGTAGTACATAATGATGAAAAAGGCCTTTAATGCTTCTATCCTCTCATAAAGAAGCAGATACAATAATACAGTAAACATACATGCATTCATATTTGTAAAGAATATGTGGTAACTGGGCGACATGAACTTTAACCCAAAGTCATTCTTATGTTTACCAAGCATAACAATATTATGGTATATAATATGCTAAATATCTCTATTTCATATTACTACAATATACTTTTATTTTATTCAATGGGCACTTCTCCCACTTTTCTTACTTTTGCATAAGTAATGCCCCCTTCCATTTCTTGAGTTAGCACACATTAAGTGATAATATTTATGTACATGTAATTCACATTAAAAACATTTCAAATGTCTAAATATCAAAATACGGTATATAATAATTGTGACTTCAGTGGAGAATACTTGTTTAAAGGACAATTAATATGTTCTTCCAAGTTGGTATAATCTAGCAGGGGTGATGATGTCTGTTTTGTTGATAATTGAAGACCTAGGCCTATATTGCAACTGTAAGCCTACTGTATATCTACATCACCATACAAGCCGATACTTATTTGCAGCATCTAACTTTAATGTAATCCAAGTAACTTAATTTTGGAGGCACATATAAATAAATGTCTTTAATAACTTGAGAATAAATTTAACATAAGATGGGAAATTTAATACTTATTTATTCATTATATTATCATCATCACAATACCTTGAATATAAATAGCAAAACATGGCACAGTGAAATTCAATCTACATTGATATTGGTCATCTATGAAAATTGTACCCAAATAAAAAATTCTATACATATAATAGTGCAGAACGTCATTGGCACTTAATACCAATAGTAGACAATCTGTAAGTATTAATTATAACTCTTGAAAAAGAAGAAAAATAAACGAAATTGTTCCATTGATAATTAAAGCTGGAATGTACATAGTTTGGGAAAGATATACAATTGTATAAAGGCTTGGCTACATGTGCACCAACAGACTATTACTTTAACATTTACAGACTGTTCTTAAGTTTGGAGATGAGACACTTGAAATAATATATTATTTTAAATCTTCCCAGCATGAAAAATGAAGCGTGTTCCAGTATTATTCTCTTATATAAGGACGAAATGAATATTATTTACTTCTAAAATCGTAGCCAGATCAGATCACTAATAGTGATCCGCCATTTTTTCTGTGCAATATTTTTCCAAAGATATTGGTTTGGAGTTACAGTCGAACATGCGATTGGGTTAAAGTTTAGTTTACTTTAGTTTGTTTAATTTGATGTTAGTTAAGGAAATTGACAATAGGGCAATTTTTGGTAGAGCATGTGTCGTACAACTACATAAATTAATGGAAAAGTGAATACCAAGAAAATGATTGAATGAAAGTATACTGAATGCTGTGACAGAGATATAAGTCATATACTATCCCTGGTTAATGATGAAGATAGATTGTCTGAAACCAGAAGTGATAAGTCTGTAAAAAAATACCAATCCATGAATGAAGAGAACCGAATGTAATCCCAAGACAGGATTTAGCACATGGAGCATACAGTTTCTGACATTCATCAGCTATAGGCATCTTCGTTCTCCCTTGCTTCAGAGCAAACTGCATGCAGCAAGTCCAATGCATTCTGATCTGCACCTATTGATATTGACAAAACACATACAGACATATTTACATGTAATTCCAAGTATATGCCAAAAGTTATCACAAAAAATCAGTCCAACATCATAACCAGAAAATAAAATACAAATGAAACATCACTTTTTCAATTCACGTAACTGCCAGGTGCAATTCTTTTCCACAAAAAAGGCACTAATAAGTAGTTAGGATAATCAAATATAATAACTTCGGTGCTAAAAAACAACAACGTTTGGAGATAATTTGATTTAATATTCTTCCTCAGTTTTCTTAGCATTCTTTTTTGTCTTCATGACCTTTTGTCAATACGTTAGCTATTTAATTTTGTTGTTCCTTTTTCATTCATATGACACTTCTTATATCAATATGTCTATGTTTGTTCATGTAATTCCTTTTTGTGTATTAGCTTTCTCTCTTCACTTTTCTCTATTTATGTCATCTTTAATTAGTTTTCCTATGTATTTATATTCAATTTGGTGCCTATATCATCTGCTTTAAGTTTTTAACATGGACTTGCTAAAAAGCAGTCTTTTTAGGCTGATGTGAGTTTTACTGTGATTAAATTAATTCAATTCAAATCATACCAATTTTCTAAAACATTTCAAAACAAATTGAAATTTTGGTGTAGTGACATTGCAATGTACTTGTTTAAAAGAATCTTCTCAAACCAAATCATGTTCTCCTTATCTCACCTATTTCATTATCTGTGACCAGAGGTAATAGGCTTCTTGCTACATCCTCTGTAATTGGTGGAATGTATGATGACATCATCATCTTGCTCAAAGCTGATTGGACAGCCCCAATGCTGACCAGATTGCATGCGAGAAGGGACTTCACTATATGGATGAGACACTGCCAAGAAACCTAAAGAAATCAAAACAAGGAATATATCAAGGTATATCAACTTATCAGACTAAAAATCAGGCATTTATCCTCATTTTTTATTGAAGACACTTTTTAATATTTTAAAAATGGAAATCAATATAATTTAAAAAATCAATCTGCTGTAAAAAAAACCACTTCAAAAGCATCACATGATTTCACATTTAATAGCTTTGTACAAATGTTATTAGATTCTTGATTATAGACGTGAAAAGAAAAGTCACCCTGCCCCCCCCCCCCCCCACACACACACACACACCAAAAAAAGGTTTTACAAAATAAGTTAAAAGTAATTCCTGGACCACCAACGTTGACTACTATCCACAGACAGATAACCCTTTGGCCAATTATCCCCTCCCCCTCCCAATTCTACAAAATTCAAACAAACAAACAAACAATGTATCAAATTTTTACAATTAAATTATTACCAAAGCCTACCTGTGGGTTATGACTGTGTGATATCATCCATGCTGTCCTTGCACTCAACAGAGCTCCAGGTGGAATACTCAAAGAAAAAACATTCCTCCACAAACCCATCAGTCTCTCTAAGAGTGTATCCGTATTAGACCGGTGTAAAGTCACATCTCCTTCTGTCTGTTCTGCATTAGTTACATCTCTTTCACCTTGGTCACCATTCCATGCATGTTTATGAACAGGAGTGGTGAATGCTCCTTCCTCTGTACCCTGTCCTCCCTTTGTATTGCACTGAAGTTCTTGTCCATATCTCCCAAGATGTGAGTGTAAACCACTCTCTTGGTTATTGCACTGCTCCTCTCCATCTTCAACTACTCCCTGTGTTGAACATATCAAGTTCTTGTCTTGGTGTTTGCCATTCTCTGTATTGTGTAAGCTGCTGCTACAGTTCTTGCCGTGTGTATTACTGTCCTGTGGTAGAACGATGGACCTTTGCCCTTTGGAGATTGTAGGTGAGGTACAGACAGAGGTCTGAAGCAGAGTTGGTTGTCTCATAGCCAGGCTTACACACAGCTCTATGGTGAGTTGGTGGATGGACTGGTAAGCCAATGGTGTTAGGTCCTGTACAAGGATGGTCAACAACAGATACATAAGGTAGTCATCAAGCAAGGTATCATAAATGAAATGCACAAGACCATGGTGCAAGATATGGTATAAATCTACACAATGTTTATCTCCATACAAAGATTTAAGACAACCACACAGTTTTGTTAGGTAAATTCATGTAAATTAAATGTGGTCCTCAGTTGAGAATCCAGCTGCCTTCAGCTCTTATAAAGATAAATATGGTTTAACCTCACGGTGAAAGAATATGCCTCATGATTTCTATTTCAGGGTGCCTACACACACATATAATACACATTTTCACTTTTACACAATACACACTTTCTTGAGCAAATATAATTAAGATATCCTGTTATTAAAGATAATTATTTTATTACCTGTCTGTTGTTGATCATCATATGAACGTTATTGATGGATGAACAGATGCCCTCTGCTGTGTTTCCATCGGTGTCTCCAATTAAAATTCTATGAAGACCGTCCTGTATTGAAGAGAGCAATTAGGACAAAGGTCAAAGGTCATTCCTTGATCCAAACAAGAAGCACTGCCAGGAATGTATTGTCTTTCCTGCAGGCCACTTGTCAAACCAAAACCAAATCCAAACACATTAAATGTATTCAAGTTTTTGAAGCCAAAATCAGATAAAATTTAGTCACATGCAAGAAAAATATTGCGACTCATTGCACATAATAGTCCATGTGCCATTGCCCTGAAAAGTTTACATTACATTTCAATGTTAACCATGTGAAGATTCCAGTGATCTTTCTTTCCATAAACAATTATTTAGCATCTGAAGAATGACAATTTCATCCCCTTAATTTTCTATAAACTTCTCGAATATGTGTAAATCTCCCTACTCATGTAGCAGTGGAGGTGTTATGGTATAATGGTTCATTCACTTGACTCTCAATACAATGGTTGTGAGTTTTATTTTTGGTAAGGCATTTGCCACTCTTCACCCAGGTGTAAATGCTGATGTCCTTTGGTAAGGCATTTGCCACTCTTCACCCAGGTGTAAATGCTGATGTCCTTTGGTAAGGCATTTGCCACTCTTCACCCAGGTGTAAATGCTGATGTCCTTTGGTAAGGCATTTGCCACTCTTCACCCAGGTGTAAATGCTGATGTCCTTTGGTAAGGCATTTGCCACTCTTCACCCAGGTGTAAATGCTGATGTCCTTTGGTAAGGCATTTGCCACTCTTCACCCAGGTGTAAATGCTGATGTCCTTTGGTAAGGCATTTGCCACTCTTCACCCAGGTGTAAATGCTGATGTCCTTTGGTAAGGCATTTGCCACTCTTCACCCAGGAGTAAATGCTGATGTCCTTTGGTAAGGCATTTGCCACTCTTCACCCAGGTGTAAATGCTGATGTCCTTTGGTAAGGCATTTGCCACTCTTCACCCAGGTGTAAATGCTGATGTCCTTTGGTAAGGCATTTGCCACTCTTCACCCAGGAGTAAATGCTGATGTCCTTTGGTAAGGCATTTGCCACTCTTCACCCAGGAGTAAATGCTGATGTCCTTTGGTAAGGCATTTGCCACTCTTCACCCAGGAGTAAATGCTGATGTCCTTTGGTAAGGCATTTGCCACTCTTCACCCAGGTGTAAATGCTGATGTCCTTTGGTAAGGCATTTGCCACTCTTCACCCAGGAGTAAATGCTGATGTCCTTTGGTAAGGCATTTGCCACTCTTCACCCAGGAGTAAATGCTGATGTCCTTTGGTAAGGCATTTGCCACTCTTCACCCAGGAGTAAATGCTGATGTCCTTTGGTAAGGCATTTGCCACTCTTCACCCAGGAGTAAATGCTGATGTCCTTTGGTAAGGCATTTGCCACTCTCCACCCAGGAGTAAATGCTGATGTCCTTTGGTAAGGCATTTGCCACTCTTCACCCAGGTGTAAATGCTGATGTCCTTTGGTAAGGCATTTGCCACTTTCCACCCAGGTGTAAATGGCACCTCGAAATTGCTGGACTCATTAGAATTGCGGGGCCCACGGGAAGGGCAGTATTGATGCTGATGTGCCTACGCTGGATAAATAAGACCCAATTATGATGACAATGATGATGATTATTATCATTATTATTATTATTATTCTCATCTTTCCTGTGATGCACATATCTTCATCCATTCCTCATTCCCTACCTTGAGTTCTTGAATGACGGTTGAAGGACAAGCCCCCTGTCTGTCGTGCATGGCTGGCTTGTCTGGTATTTTCCTACTGGTTGATTCTTTCTTCATCTGTTGAGTGCTCTGAGCTCTCAGGCACTTGGGTAGCTGCAATGTCACCTCCTGTTGTAATGCACCTGGAAGATATGATTAAAATGGAAATACTAGTTACAGATAGTCGAGTCTGCTGGGTGAGATTCTTTAGAAGTACCGGGCCCTGCCTCATACCTAGTTACGATTGATCTGGATTGATCACAAGTCCTTCAATCAAATGCAAACTTACAAACTCCTATCTCTTTGGTACAGATTTGGGATTGATATCAAGTTGCAATCAATTTGAATCAATCACAGACAGGGCAATGATATATTCATTAGAGAGGCTCCTAAGAAATTTGGCTTTAAGATATATTGTGCCTGGTAGTTGTCATTCATGATGATGCTTAAAGGGATCGTTTAACAATGTTAAATCTGAGATACACAGCCCTACGTATTATCAGTGTATGTGATATGGTGTAATAATGAAGCCCTAAAAAAATTGCGCTTCAAAATGATCAAGAAGTGCCTCAAAAAAGTACAAATCTTTGAGTGACCGGTTTTACCATACTCATTTTCCCCAATAGACTGTAGTGTTATGAAAACCGTTTGGCAAAGGGTTTTCAAAATTTGTAATTTTAATCATAAATATCTTGATAATCAGACAGGCGATCGGCCTGTAAAAGTCATGGGGTTCCTGACTGACCTAAAGGTTTATAATTATCATTGCAGCATGAGCTAAATCCAAAATTTTGTTTCAGAATCTGAGACAAAGTTACTGGATCCCTTTAAACTTTACATTCATTCAGTCAGACAATGATCAGAAGAATGGTTGTGTTTTTTTTTTAACACCATCATAAAATCTGATTAAGTGACTGATACATTACAAGGTCCATTGAGGTTTTTTTTTTTTTTAAATCCCAAGAAAAATTCATATAAAACATCATAAAATAACTGAAAACAGATAAAATAACTAGCACCAAATTTCCTCAGATTGCTTGCTAAATATGAATACCAAGATTTACAATTTTTACATCTAAACCAAATTGGTGCAAAAATATGTAGATCAAAAGCATTGTCATTTCTTTAAAATATTCATCATTATATGGATAGATGTATAAACATTGATAAACAACAGCTGAAATGCATGTATACTCAATGCTTACTAGGTATTTGTGTTGTGATCCATTTCTCTGTTCGTTCTAAGGCAAGTCTAGTGGTGATAGCACAAGCAGTGTCCAGGACTGTCTCAGATGTCTCACACGGTAATAACACATCAAGAGCTGACCTACACTTCTTCTTGATAAACCTAGTAGAAATAGTAGATTAATAAAAGATATATTCTCCTGTGTATGTTAGGGGTTCCATGCTGCTTTAATATATCTCTTCATTTATTAATTTAAAGAAAATTCCAACCTTAATTCAATTTGCTCTGACAGAAAGCAGAAAAACTAGAGAAGCAGATTGGTCATCTTTTGAACAAAATCGGACAACCAATAAGAAAGTTATGAATTTCTAAAAGTTGTAATCCCTATACCTAAGGGAATTTCAAATTAGCCAACTGGCAAGTAGGTGTAGTGGCAGACAACTCTCTCATTCGTTCCAACAAACAAACGATTAAAATGTCAATTATTTAAAATGCATGACTCCGTAGAGTCTTTTCTTTTTTGAGGACCTATAATAATATATTTTGAGTTGTACCCAATAGGAGAAGGCACATATGAGAAAAATAAATGTCAATAATTTTTTTGTACATGACAAACAGGAAATATCTGTAACTACGTCACAATCCACACAAAAAAATTGCCAATTTGTGATTCACATTGATGTAGTGATTTCCTATTTCAAACGCTGAAAACTTAATATTGATCTGATTTATTTCAAACTTTCCCCACTCTATTATATTATACTATTAATAGTTCACCATCCAAAATCATCAATAATACTTAATCCAGTTTGGGTAAAAACCTGCAGGATGTTGACTTTGAGTGAGCATTCGAAAGCTCAAGCCTTGGAAGACGATTTTACTCTGATTTCTTTTTCTTAATAATTTTCTTTTTCTTAATAATTTGTTTTTTCTTCTCAGTGATGACTATGAAGGTGAAGGCACTTACTCCTTGGCTTCTTTCCTGGCAAGCTCTGCCGTCTCCAGGCTCAGCTTCTCTCCAACTCCCTTAGCCTTGGCTGTGAGAGCCCCAGCCTCTTTCTTGCTGCTGCTGGACGAGACCAGCACTTCAGTGAGTAGCTTTGGAATCTGGAGCCTGGCTGCAGAGACTAGTGAGCCATCGATGGACTTGATGCAGTTGGAGGCGACCCTGCCGCTCACAAACTCCACGCTCTTCTTGAGGGAAGCGGAGTGGATGTGGAAGAAGTTCTTCTCAAGTTCCACCTAGGCAACAAAAATTTGAGAAGAGATCTGTCCACCATCAGTCTCAAGGATATTTATTGCAAAGCAGTCATAGGGGAAAATTCTTATTAAAACGGATCAATGCTTTCAAGTAATAAGCATTAACATGCTAATTCAAATTCTTGTGATTAAATACAGAAGGAAATTTGTCACCCCTTGTCCATTTATATCTATTTTCTACAAATAACCATTATATCACAACTTTACCTTCCCAAAACAACAACAACAAAACAAACAATACAACATCCCCCCCCCCCCCCCAAAAAAAACCCTAACACCAAAAAACCGTGTTCTGATACCTGTATTTGGTGCTGAGTGATAATGGCAGTCTGAGGTGCATCCACTGCTACAGGAGTAATCTTCTTGACCGGAGCATTCCTGTTGTTCACCCCCATACTAGCCTCGGATAACAGTCCTCTTAAATCACCTGCAAGTATGGGTAAAAGATTGGTGTACTAATTCGCAGATGTTTCCTTGCAGAACTACTAGTGACAAATCATTTAATTTCCTTTGTACATGGGACGATAGCATCTCTAGGGGTTTAATACATACAGTAGTCGCTATTTCAGACAACACCCTTTCACTTTTTTTGGTAGACATTAACAATCTTTGAAAGAAGTCCAAATGCGCACACCAAATATACATATATCTGACAGGCATATTGTCAATCACCTCTTAGTTTTTAATGGGTTTAGACCCAATAATTAGACGCTGCTATAATCACTTGTTAACAGGTACATGTATGCCATAAATGTGCAAGATTGATCTATACATGCAGGAAATCATGAACTTCCTTGAAATTCCTAAAGTAACATATTTAATGGCTGAGACATTAAAAACAAAATCACCTGCTATAAGCTTCAATATTATTTTGCTTATCAAGATCTCCCACAAGTTTGTTTCTACAATCTCACTTATACTTATTGTAAATTACATGTTCATCCTTGTTTAGGTATTTTGACCAAAAAATTACTTTGTAGATTACTACTCCTTCATTGCAGTAATATACATGTCACCAAGCTTGTATCGTACACACCTGTGTGTGTCGATTTCATCAACGTATTTCCTGTGTAACATACAACCTGTCAATTAGAGTTTCTCACCTAGGAAAGGGCAGCATGTATAGAGAACCAGCCTATCCACCAGAGGAAGGGGGTCTAAAGATTGGTCAGATCCTGGTTTATTATTATGGCTACCCCTCTCAACGCTCACACCACTCGTCAGATGTAGATTGCTTGGTAGAGCTGGGTTCTATAAATGGGTCGAAAATAGAGAGGACTCTCAATGTGAGGAATCAGTAAAACTGTCTGAGCAGACAGAAAATGACTGCAGTACACAAATTTCATATCATAAACCTGTACACAAATTTCACTTTACATAGTCTGGATTATATTACACATCATTTTACTCTTACATAAATAAAATTAAAATAACATGAGAGAAGCACTATTCATCAAAGTCTTCTTTTTTTTTCATCTTAAAATATGATCAACCAGAGATTAGACCTACCTCGAACAGCCATCCCAAGAGAAGCAAGATAAGAAGTGAATTATGGTTGCTAGGAGTCTCAGACCATTGCACAGACACCCTCCTGGAAAATCACATGAAAATGTTTCTTTAAAGAATACATGGTGTTGGCTCATAACGTCACTCACAAGGCACCAAACATCTGAAGTTTTAAACTAGTACTTTACTTCACTTAGAAAATGAATACAAAAATGTACTCTCAGCAGTTTCTAGGTACACCGCATCATAATACTGGTACACTAGACTTGGTGGCATTACCAATGAATGTGTTTAAATGTCCCATGCAGCAAAGATTGTTTTCTTAGGGGAATTCTCTTGAAGATGGTGGAGGAATTGGATGTTATAAAAGACCTCTCGGTCATAATGGCGAAGTCTGCTATTTGTGATTGATGACACCTGTTATCAGGTAAAATAGGGTCAATTTCCGCATGAGAACCCATAATAGTGTCTTTAAGAATAATCAGAACATTCCAGGAAAACATCTTACAGATTTCCCCTGCTACAACAAAGAGAACTCAAGATACAAAGAACAAGAGTTCACAAAAGATGTAAATTTATGGAGCAGAATATAGAGACTTACCTGTGAATATCCCCCAATAAACTGAGTGTTTGATAATAAACTGGTATTTGAGAGGCCAGCCCATCTATCATACTAAGATACTCTACAACCCAGGGCAAGGTCAGGATCAGACGCTGGTTGGTTTCTGATGCAGACAAACATCCAAGAATGTCCACGGGAAGAGATGCCTGTTCAAAGTGACAATCAAAAGTTATAAGACTTTAAATTGCCCTCGGTTCAGCTCCATTCCCAAACATTACAAAATGAGTTTACAAAATAGAAAACGTGTGAAATATAATATTTTGGCCAAAAGCATTTGTGAAGAATGATTATCTTAGTGGTATCAATAAAGAAGAAGAAGAAAAAACAAAAATGCACACAATTTGTCTGCCCCATCACAACTTTAGTTACACGATGGTGCACTAAACAAAAATACAACATAAATCAGGGAGCGGAGGCTGGAGAGAGATAGAAAGAAAGTAATAGAGAGAGAGAGAGAGAAAGCGTGTGTATGTTTGTGAAAAGGGAGGGGAAGGAAAGAGATTTGATAATAAATATCTGTAAATATTTCTGTATGAATATCTGTATATATATTTGAAAATATATCTGTAAAGCACTTTATTAGAGACATCTCGATGTATTAAGAGCTATATAAAAGCAGAATATTATTATTATTATAAATAAACTTTAAGATAATGAGAAGGTAAACAATGCATACTTATTCAATCTAAAAGGCAACTAAATAAAAATAAAAATACTTGAAATCATAAGGAGCATAAAACATGTTTTAACTTACCCTACTCCTCATCATGATAACATTATCCTTCATGATATCAGGAAGATTATTGTCACCCTGGTAAGGTAGAAAGACTAGAAATCCCAGGAACTTGGACAAGACCCTCAGGGCTAGGAGACATGAACTGAAGCTTTCCCTTACCTCCTACGGAAAACAAATCACATCAATTCATTTCAGTTCAGTTCAACTCATTTCAATTCAGTTTAGTTCAGTTCAGTTTACTTCAATTCAATTTAGATCAATTGAATTAAATCAAATTCAGTTCAACTCCATTCTATTCAATTCAATTTAATTTTTTATTGTCAATATATGGAGGTTTGTCTTGTTTACATGCATTGCAAAACGAAATATACATACATAACAAACAAAAAGACAAACAGATCATACAAAACAGATAGGTAACATATGACAGAATACTGACTTCAAAGTCTCATATTTTTATTGTAAAAAGTAAGCTCTGTATTTTTGTCTTAATCTGCCATGGATTTGAATATTAAACTACTACATTGTTTTGAAGTAACTCGTACATGTACATACATGTACACATAGACTAATGTCTTGCGAAAGGACATTAGTGCCAGCCCATGTACTTGTGATCTACAGTCTGGTAGCTTATGCCCTAGACCACAACATCTCTAAACATCACATTAATATCAGTTTAAAGATCAGGAAGAACTATATCACTTACCGCATCAACAACAGAAGTCATATCAACCTGATCAGTGATTGGCAACTGTAAATCGTTAAGCTATTTGGGAGAAAAAAAGATCACATATTACATAATCAAATCTGAACATATTCAGTTCAGTATCTCAACATCTGCCAAAGCTGCAGCCAGTTGGAGCTTGTTTCCTTCTCATCTTAGACAGTTAGAATCCATAGAACAGATAAAAACACAATTGAAAATGTCCTTGTATTTCTTTATATAATATTTGATTCTAATTAATTAATCTGTTGAACTTTGAAAAATAAAATGTGCATAATCTTTGTTGTTGCACCTTGATAGAGAATCTTCTGACATGCATATGTTATAAATTCATGTATTGTATTATTATTGCATTTACATGATCTTATCAATATTCTTATCGTCACTCAAATCTAAGGTTGTGCTGTTCAGTATATAATATAAAACACTGTAAACAAATAGCATACTAAAATGAAATTGTAAGAAAGAGAAAAATGCAATATCTGTATCTATAGCAAATGTTACATTATGATGCTTATGCTTCATCAAAATAATATAGTTAGTATATGAAGAAGAAAAAAAATTGAAACATTTATTCCTGTATAAAGCTTAGCCTAAATAAGGAAAATGTGAGAATAACTACAATGTAGATATTACATATATATATATATATATATATATAAACTAGTGCTGTAGTCAAACGTTTAACCGTCCGGTATCCGACTGGTATACGACCGTCCATGGCACTATCCGCTTTTCAATTGGACGGTTTTGTTTTCCTGTTTTTTGGGGGTTTTTTTTTTTTGGGGGGGGGGTTTGTTTTTTTATAATAATTTTTCAAAGATGGGTGATAATTGTAATGCTCATTGTATAAATCATCACATAAAAGATGGGAGTTGTTGCTACCTTGTTTGGCATTCAACAATAAGGGATAGAGCAACGTTGATCTGGCGCTGCTCAGTGGCTGCCGGGCTCACGATCAATTGGGCAACAAGAATTTCCGTTTCGGTTTAATAAAATTTGGAGTGGAAAATTAGGCTATTATTATTATTATTATCATTAAAGTTGACAGAATGCACATACCTCAATGAGCTTGGTAGCAAAGCTGTCCGTCAAATGCTGGTTGAATATGTAACTTGATGAAGAAAAGGAAGATCCAAAATTTAGTTTGCTTTCATCAACATTCAATGAAATCAGAATCAATAGCACAGTTAAGCCTGTTCAATATTTTATGTAAAGCAATTTAAGAAAGAAACACAACAAAACCATGGTACTTTTCTTTAACAATACTACTGTACTAATGTATTTACAGTTTGCTAAGCTTGTAATAATGGCCGTGTCGTGCTGCAAGAGCTTCTATTGCTCAAAATCTACAATATAGAGTTAAATGAAAACATTAGCTTTTAGTATTAATTCAAAAGTAGTTGACAATGGTGATTTCCTTATTTCCAATGGCAAGTTATTCCCAAATGTTAAATTGCTGATTATTTTGTTTGTGGCTGTAATGGTGCTTTGTCTTCTCCTGTATATGATTGCATTAAAAATCATTAAAAAAAATATGGAGACTGTGCATACCTGTTTGTAGCTAGGATGAAATCTCTAAAGAATTCCTGACATCCATGGAACGAAGGAGGAGGGCATGGACCACCGGATGAAGCTGGAGTTGAAAAACGCTCCTCCAATCTGATATAAACAAGTCAAATTATTGAAATGAGTACTGAGACATATAGAATGAATGTGGTATAAACTGAGGCAAAGAGTTAAGTGGGAGAATTAAAAAAAAGGATTAAGTGACAGAAAAATACAAGATGAAACACAGAGATGAAGAACTAGAGGGAGGAATACACATTAGTTACAAAGAAATAGAGAGACCAAAAAATGACAAGAGAGAGAGAGAGAGAGAGAGAGAGAGAGAGAACAAACAAGAGGAAAGGTAGACATGTATAGTACAAGACAGCAAAGACAAGTCAGTTTCCATCAGATTTGAAAGAAAGCTGTGTCAGACACAAATTAGTATTGTTAATTCCATTCTCAAAAAGTTTACAGGCATTACCATACTGCTTCACTCTTACATGTTAGTAGGCATGAGGGAATTCTAATCAACTTAAAATACCTTAACTGTAAATCAAATAAGTTTTCTTCTCTTCAATATTACAATGAGGTTTGATTGGTAAATATACATTGAAGCTCCACTCTGATGCTTCACAGTAGGGTGATGTTAGCCTATAATCTAGGCGGAGTGCCGAGCTTTTATCTTTGCTGCTAGACTAACCTTAAGCAGAACGTCTGATACGGCGAGACTACGAACCGTGAGCCGCGAAGCGGCTCACCGCCTATAATCACTGGTCTAGCTTTAGTCGTTGTTTTTTTATTATCGACCATGAATCCGTGGCAGTTTTTCGTACGAAAAAACCTCATGAATACGAAATGAACTCAACCAATCAGAAACACGTATGGAGAAGAGTCTATGCATATGCATATTATAAATCACGTGACATTACGTCATTTTCTTCATCCAAGATGGCGGGTAGTTCATGCGACGACAATCTTCTGCGAGAAAGTTTATCATATGCGGCCAACAAACTAGGCATTCCTAATGGAAAATTCAGAGAACTGCAGGAATCCGCTATTCGTAGCGTTATTGAAGCCGGCAGGGATATTTTTGTTGCATTACCTACTGGTTTTGGAAAGAGTGCAATATACCAAGCAATCCCCTTGTGCTGTGATTTTCTACGCGACCACGGATTCTATGATCATGATGACTCGAGTCGTTGCCGTTGGCAGAACATAGCGGTCCATTCAAAGCAAGGGGGAACCACTAATTTGTCATTGTAAATTTGATACGATAATTGTTATGCCTCCGCCACCGAAGGTGGTGCCGGAGGCATCATGTTTTCGGGTTGTCCGTCCGTACGTCCGTACGTCCGTCCCGTTTGACCGTTATCACAATATCTCAAGAACCATTTAAGATTTAAACTTAAGACTCGGGAATAGTATTTATCACCATAGGAAGACGATCTGATTAGATTTTGGAGTACGTAGGTCAAAGGTCACAGGTCACAGAGGTCAACTTATGAAATTCCTTGTATTGAGTTTGTTAGCGCGATATCTCAAGAACCATTTGAGATTTAAACTTCAAACTTAAGGATAGTATGTATCACCATAGGAAGACGATCTGATTAGATTTTGGAGCACGTATGTCAAAGGTCAAGGGTCACAGAGGTCAACTTATGAAATTCCATACATTGAGATTGTTATCATGATATCTCAAGAACCACTGGAGATTTAAACTTCAAATTTAGTGATAGTGTGTATCACTATACACCGATTCGGGCGACTTCTGGTGGAAGTGCGCCCTCATAAGGTGACGCCATAACTGGGGGGCGTCTGACTGCAGCTAGCTAGCTTACATTGCAACGGGTATGCTATACCTATACCGAACCTCGCCCAGGCCGGCCAGGGTCGCTGCTCTGCTAGCTAGTAACCGCTCTCGAGCTCTCTGTACTGTCAGCTGGATCGGAGAAGCCCCACAGTTATAGCGCCGCCACCGGCGGGCAGGTACATAAACCCCCCAAACCGAATCGGTGTATAGGAAAACAATCTGATTACATTTTGGAGCACGTAGGTCAAAGGTCAAGGGTCATAGAGGTCAACTTATGAAATTCCATACATTGAGATTGTTATCATGATATCTCAAGAACCACTGGAGATGTAAAAACTTCAAACTTAAGGATAGTATGTATCACCATAGGAAGACGATCTGATTAGATTTTGGAGCACGTAGGTCAAAGGTCAAGGGTCACAGAGGTCAACTTATGAAATTCCATACATTGAGATTGTTATCATAATATCTCAAGAACCACTGGAGATTTAAACTTCAAACTTAATGATATTGTGTATCACCATAGGAAGACAATCTGATTAGATTTTGGAGCACGTAGGTCAAAGGTCAAGGGTCACAGAGGTCAACTTATGAAATTCCATACATTAGAATCGTTATCGCGATATCTCAAGAACCACTGGAGAATTTTCACTTCAAACTTAATGATAGTATGTATCACCATATCATAATATCTCAAGAACCACTGGAGATTTAAACTTCAAACTTAATGATAGTGTGTATCACCATAGGAAGACAATCTGATTAGATTTTGGAGCACGTAGGTCAAAGGTCAAGGGTCACAGAGGTCAACTTATGAAATTCCATACATTGAGATTGTTATCATGATATCTCAAGAACCACTGGAGATTTAAACTCCAAACTTGTTTAAATTGCTCTATGGCGGAGGCATCATTTTCGACTGCGCGCAGTCAAAATTCCATCTAGTTTTACCATACAAAGATATATGTTTTATTGTTCACATAAAACTACAATTTTTTAATTTTTTGATATTTCACAGTAGTAAAATGATCATTTTAAAGATTTTTTTGGTTTCAACTCCCCTTCTTCCTTTTTATTACCCCTATTTAGTAATGGACGAGCGCAATCTTTTTTCGTTGCGGTTTCTTATATCTGATTGGTCGAACGTAACATAGGTGTACCTTATTTGGTAGGGCTGTTGAATGATTCATAGATCCGCCATTTTGAATATATATGAATATTGATTAGCTAGACCAGTGATTATAGGCGGTGAGCCGCTTCGCGACTCACGGTTCGTAGTCTCGCCGTATCAGACGTTCTGCTTAGGGTTAGTCTAGCAGCAAAGAAAAAAGCTTGGCACTCCGCCTAGATTATAGGCTAGGGTGATGTAAAACCAGATAAATTGTTGGTTTCTCTTATGATTCAAGTATTTTAAAGCATTTAATTATTGTCATCTGAACCCCATTTCATGTACCAGTATGTAAAAGTATCTAGTTTTACAGTAACTCACCTTTTAAACTTTCCTGGATTCGTCCGTCTCAGCTGCTGGATGAAGCTAAATTCCTGAGAATCTCCACTATCAACCACTGAGCTATCACCTTGGCACATCTAACAAAGTAATTCATTCATTTATCAAAAGTATTATTCAAACTATCTGTCTATGTGACCAAGGATCTGCCTCTACATGAATGTGAAGGACATTGTTTGGATACCTTCTTACAGCGAGAGGCTTTTCTTCCATTCCTGTCCAATAATGAATCAGTCAAACACCAGAATTGTTTACAATAACCTATGGATGGACAATCAACATGTTTAATTGCAAAACAGTGAATGTAGCATAAGGGAAAGAACAAAACATATGTTTAGAATATATGCTCTAAAAAACCTGAATGAAACTTTATATCCCCACCGACTCAGATGCCAAGACATACTTTTACACAAATACAGATGTGACAAAATTTGATAAAGTAAAATAATACAAATATCTAAATTTCTATATTACAGGGTCACAAATAGAAACATTTTGACTATAATAGATTAAGACCCTAGTGTGAAGGATCATCCTACAACTTTTTGTCCAGTTCACTTTACACTCTCTTTAGGGATTACTTACCTTGATCAGTTGTGACTGGAACAGTCTTGAGAAGTGGGTGTAGTTTGTCACATCCATGTGCTTCATTAAATCCCTATAAAACAAAAGAATAAAGAATGCATTGAACTATACTGTTCATCTTGAAAGAGCAAGAGACTTGGCTCATCTATGCATGCTGGAAGCCCGGTAACGTATAAATAGCTTACTGACCCTATTCTGTGCTGACAGAATTTGTTGGTGATATATTCACATATTATTCTAACTAGCCGTGCTACAGACCAATGGTAATAATGCGCTATAGAAATATAATTTATTATTATTATTATTATTATTAATACGCCTACTTTCCTGATTGTTCAGGCAGCCAATCATTTTTCACATGCCTTATCATTTAATTTACGTTTATATTGTCCGATTTCAGTTTTCTGTTCATTCTTGCAATTGACTCTGATGAGTACAAGATGAAAAGCTTTAGTATGTTTTTATTCACTGCCAGTTTTTCAAAGCCACAGTAAGAAACAGTCACTGGAAGTAGTCCTCCATTTTGGGGTTGAAATAAATGAACATAATGGGACGTGTCGACAAATGTCTGATTTCCATCAATTCTTCTAACCCCACAATGTATCAAAATCACTCAATAAAACCCACAACTAAAACTGCTATCTGTTATCACTATCCAAATGCGACATTAAAAAATAGTCACTTGAAGTGATTCTTCATTTGGAATGACCAAAAACAATGTCTGATCTATAATTTGCATATTGCCATACATCTGTGTTTCTCCAGTAACACTGTTAATATATTTTCAATGCAATTGCCTTTTACGTCTACCCCTATCCGCTATAATTTCATTATTCTCCTCTTGATAACACTATGAAAAGTGATGAACAATACAGAAAATAAAGAAATATTTGGTTAGCTGGAAAATGTCTTATTTTGTTTAATTCTTTAAATTTTGTAGAGAAGTGTACTAGTCACACAGAAAGACTTGGTTGTAGTTTACCTGATCCTGTGGGTTAGTTTCTCCTGCATCTTCCAGCCAGGTTTACTGCGATTATCTTCCCAGTCTCGTATCAGACTATAGAAACCATCTCTGTGTAGGGAGAGAGAGAGATAGAGACAGGGCGGGTGACGTAGTCAGACACACACAAACAGGAAGATTATAAGAAAAACAGGCAGTTATGAGAGAGAAAGAGACAGAGACAGAGAGACAGACAAACAACCACACAGGCAGACAGATTATCATTATTGATATATTATATTATTTTGGTATCTCATTTATATTTTCTATGCCATATCAATAAAATACATATTTAGTAAAAGAAAAAGAAAACCCACAATAACAATGATCGAAAGTTGAAGTAATGGATTTATGATTTAAATGAAACCTTTCTAGGCTTCAAGTAAATAAATACTCCCATTTGAGAGCAAAAACGGCTGCTTCTTACCGTATGATTTAAACAAATCGTCCCTATTTTTACGAAGTGACAGTAGTGAATGAAAATTGCTTACACTTTGCGTTACGATTTTCCTCACTACCATCACTTCGTGAAAATAGGGACGAAATGATTAACGATAATAAACCATCAATAAACTTGTTACTTGGTTTTAAAGAAGTCACTTTTACTAGATGGATACTATTTTAAATTAAGTGAATTGAAAGAGTGAAAAACATAGTTCTACAGTGTACCTCTGTTTCTTGAAACTGTGGAATGAAGTGTCACTTGGAAAGTTCTGCCTGTTGTCGGTATCTGCCAAGAACGGGACAACCTGCATGGGAGATGTAATGGCAGCCTGAAGACCAGACTCCGTTGGGCAATGATTGGTGACCTGTTCAAGCCTGGTCTTCAGCTCGGGATTGAACTGAGAGACCACTTGGTTGTCCGCCAGGAGGCGTAAGGTGCTCTTATCCAGCAGAGATAACACTCTACAAAAAGATAAACGAGTCAATTGTTATAACCTTTATAAATCAAAGCTATGTGAGAACTCTTATAAACATCTAATAACCTTAGTGTCAAAGACTTACAGTTGAAAGTAAAGTAGTAAACACCTTAAAATAGTATCAAATTCCCAATGTTGGCCCTCCTTCCTCTCATGTATTTCAAATTTCAAATTTCATCAAGAATGTACAACTAAAATGTCTTTAAATCTCTCTTGTGGCACTGATTTTAGAAACAAATCTATAAGGAAATCACATATGACCATAGCATGCTAAATTTACTGGTTCTTGTCCAAATTCATCATAATCACTTTTCCAACTCTTCACAATTAGATTTTCTTATTAAAGGGAACAAAATTTAGCAATTAGCCATTTTATATAACTGTACAGAACCCTGTCTCATATACAGTTGATTGAATCAAATCAATTGCAACTTGATATCAAGTGCAACTGTGCACTTGGACAACTTGCGATAGATTCAGATCAATCACTAATCTTTAGAAAGACATTGCACAGAATCGTAAAATCTGGAAGCAGAATGTTACTTACACAACCAGCCTGCTGAGCACTGATGCAGCAAAGTAAACACAGTTGTGGATTGTTGAGAGATAATTGATGTCTTCAATGTCCTCTTCCAGTGAATGTATTCCCTCATCCTCATCAAGCTTGCTACCTTTAGCAGTCAACAGCTGAATCAGGAAGTACAACTCCACAGACAAATTGGGAACAAGGCTCTCTGTATGAAAGGGAAAAGACACAGATATTGCACATGGTGGCTGAATAATCATTCTTCTGAATAGTTTTCTTTAAAATTTTGATTTTCACCCATAAACCTAAAACCAGGCTTTGTTTTCAGGAGCAATAGTTCAGACAAACTTTATGGTGACAATGAAAATTAAAAAATGTCTACTAGGTAAAAGTACATTGTGTTCTACATCTCTTGTGTTATGAAGCAGAATGAGTTTATCATTCAACTGTATTCCTTCTCTAAAGTTGTATATTCCTTATTGCAACCTTTATGAATTCTACTTCCATACCTTGTAGAAATGATGCATAGAGCTCTGCTATGAGATCCAGTTTGTCATGCCCTGTTACTTTTTCCACATCAGGTAGTATTGCCTCAGTTATGCTTGAAACTGAATTACTGCGCAGAAGCTTAGTCGGGGTATGAGCTAGAGTCATACCCTTTGGAGATTGCAATACAGACATTCCTCTTGGTGACTGTCCTAATGCATTTTGAGAGAATGGACTACATTCTGGCTGATTTTTCTGTTTCATTTTTTCTTGCTTAAGCAACTCCCTCTCGTTTTCCAAAGATTTTTTCAACTCATGAGTGTCTCTCTTGGTTGCTGCAGTCTGGTTTACAGGGGGATTGAAGGCATTGGTTTCCTGATTTTGACCCTGGCAAGAAGGGGCTGGGGACAGCAGTGTGGTGACTCTCCGGCTGCCTCCACTACTGGAAGATACTGCAGTTGGAGTTATCCTCCTTGGGGTAATAGTTCTTGGTACACCCATTGGAGGGAATTCTTGGGCATTTTCCAAGTCAAACACAGGTTTGTCAATGTATTTCAATTTATGCTGTCCTTTCGAGCCACCGCTCTCATTCTGTCCCGTTTGCTTTCCTTTACCTCCTGAGCGACGTCTACTGGATGAGCTTTTATGTGACGATGAGCTATCACAGTTAGAGTCTTCAAAAGGACTCTTTCTGCCCTTTCCTCTTGACTGGCTTTCGGGAGTCACCAAGAACTGAGCCAGCGTTATGGATTCATCCTTCCTAGATCCTGATCCGGGAGTCTTCCTCCTGGAGCTGGAGCCAGCATCACCGCCACCACCACTCCAAGACACATTTCTTCCGTGTCTTCCATTTGTCTTAGATGACGATGGAGTGTGCGGCGACTGCTCTACTGCTGTTAGTCTTGAAACGGGTGTAAAGTCTTTGTCTGACCAGCTGGACTTGCTGTTATCAGCAGCAAACAGCTGTGTACGATTGACCTTTGAACCTCCACTGCGCTGAGGGCGTGTCTGATTGGCTCTTTTTAGTTTTTGTAAGCTGCTTGGCGTCCTCGCTGGGGAAGACACAGCAGATGATCCCCTGCATACTAAGTGGGCTGTCTGATCCCGCAAGCTATTGATGAAGAATGGTAGAAATTCTGTTTGCAGTTTGGTATCCCTCAACAAGTCTGCAAATCCAGAGTTCTAAATTATGTAAAGACAAGGAAGAACATTAATTCAAAAAATGTAAAAAAAGTAAAAGCATTTGTACAGTAGCTCTACTATGCAGAGTATTTGGTAAACCTAACTGTAACTTTGAAACTTCAATGTTGATAGATTTTGTTCACCAATAACAACATGCAGAGTTTAAACATTACATAAGTTCTCAGAGCTACCAAGTATCACGCATTAGGCGTGACATCACGCATTTCGAGTGGGTCTGAAAAATGCTCTTACGCTCGACGCGCGCGCTAGCTTTTGAAAAATGCTATACCTTATACGTGTGTTATACCCTCGCACGCATGCTCGCGTGCCGAATCATGAAAATGTCACGCATTGCCGATCTTTGAACTTGGCGTCTCTGAGTTCTGCATGTTCGATCTTAATCCTACATGAACGAATATAGTTTTAAAGTTGATAATTATAATAGTTATAATTTCTGTGGTATTTTAATACACTGGTTGGGTAGAAGGATAGCGACTAGCGAAGAGGAAAAAGAAGTAGATTTCTAGATCATTTACTTTTTTTAGATACAAAAAAAAACTAAAGTTTTACCACTTCACTATTTATCACTCTAATCATACTTTTGATAGTTTATATACTACATATATTATCAGCATTACTATACTTATACTATATGTGTGCAAAAAATAACAAATAACAAAATACAAGAAATCTACAAACAATAATGAATCATATTCATATCTTGTTGTGCATTAACTCCCTACAAAATACCATTAAACTATACAGTACACAAATGTAGACTAATGGGACTACATCAGTTTTGAAATGCATTTTAATCTACACCGTTTTGGCAAATTTATAATTCTGAAATACAAAAAAATAATTCACACAATTCGCGTACACTCACTTCAACCTTCCCTTCGACTGACCACTCCAACACTTCTTGTATTGACAATTTTGTTGACAAAATGTGTTCCAATATCACCGCCATTTTTAAAGCACAGCTGTTTTAGACTGGTAACAGTTTTTATCTACCCAACAAACGCCATACCAGCGATCGCGCGAATGCATAATCTCATAAACCTTGCACGGCTTTTCTGACCAAAAGTGCGGAAGTACTAATAAAGGAGAACAGTCTTTGGTATTTTCGCGCCGTCTGGAGGTAAACAATAGAGAAACGTGTGATGATCAACACTTTGTCAGTTTTAAGATCGTATTCGTATTTTTTATCTTCGAGACTTCGAATCTGGCATTATTAGCTTTTATTTTCATATCGATACAGCATTGGTTTAATTACTTCAATATAAATCATAATTTAGTCACTGTCAACATGCCGAAACGACCGAATCCTTTCTCTGGTGAATTTTGTCCCTTTCAACTGAAAACATTTGTGACTCAACGAGTAGTGAATATGGGAGTCAACAAGGAAGCCAATATGAAAGTGGTTTATGGTGAGTATGAGGGTCAACATATTTCATGATTAATGACAAGTGATAAAATGGATACACTGTATATACTTTTGTCTACTTTACAGTTTACACCACTTACCTTTGTCCTGATTCTGTCCGTGATAATGATCAGCATAATTTTAAAGCTATCTATATAGATCTAGACTAGGCCTAGGCATCTAGCCTAGACTCTAATTTATTTTAAAGTTTTTGTTCACATTTATTTTCTCTCACTTCAATTTTGACTTCTTTTGACTTCTTTTCTCAGTAAATTTTGCCCTATAAAAATAAAAAAAAGTCTAGGCCTAGTAGTAGTAGTAGTACATGTACATGATGTACTTGTCTACTGTCAGCACAGAGAACATCTTTTGTGCAGTTGTAACTTGTATGTCATGTTTGTAAGAAACTGATCGTGATGTAGAAAACGTGTATTTAATTACCTTTATCCAAGATTCTAGAGGAACGCTGTGGTCTCGGCAGTTTGGGGGCCATTTCTTGAAACTTTCATAAGTCTAAGTTTGTGGACATCCCATAGAAACGCTTATTAATTCTAATTTCTATAACACTTGTTTCAATTATGTCCAAGAAATTAGACTTATGACGGTTTTGAGAAACGGCCCCTGGCTTCCAGTTCCCGTTCCAGCTCACTCTTTCTTTCTGTTTCTCTTTCTGCAAATTAAAGAAAATCTTACTGTTTGTAATTCAATAAAGTAAATGGTTACATACCCTATGTCAGATGTATTCTGAGACATTTTTCAGAGAATGACTTTTGTGTTTTGTTTTTATAACTCTGCTCTGTGGATCGAATTGAGGCCTTATTCTTTCTTTCAACTTCCAACAGATCGTACATTACAGCTTCTGAGAGATGGCCAGAAAACCATGGCTGCCCAAGATCATCAAGGTCAGGAGGTGCAGATGGCCGAGGACTTCCTGGTGCAGAATAATAACGAGTTGAAGACTGATACAGCTAGTCCAAGCCCTCCATCTTGCCACAACGATCAGTTTAGATTTAGCTCATCTGGACAGCTAGTTTACAGTAATTCTCCCCTCAAGAAAGCAAACCAGCAAGGTGTGTGTTTCATAGATGATCAGGCCTGTATTCACAGCATTAGCTTTAGAGTTCTTTCATGTTTCCAGGATGAGATGAAAGATATGGGATAAATAATCCCCATTTATATAAGTGAAAATCAGGGAGATTTTTATGCCATTAAACTCCAATATACATGTATCAAAAAACAAGGCAAATGAATGGTAAAATGCCCTATTGTTCACATTTTCATTGAATCATATTTCAGATCAGGAAGGCTCCTGCAGTGTCCCATACAGAAAACAAAAAGAATATAAATGACAAAATGTAAAATGAAAGCTTAAAAACTTCAGAATGCAAATACATGTACACTATTCATATACCTTTTAAGTATTTCAGAGCAGTTTCAGAGGTGGGAAATAATTTGCTAAACTTGGATTTTCAAGCTATTTAAACCTTTGAAGCCAACATTCCTGAATAGAATTCACTTTTAACCCTAAAAAAATATTAGTGTAATGTATATGAAGCTTTAAATGATGCTTCTTGAAAGGCTTGTTACTGGCTATTTATGAATTTATATTAACACTTTTAATTAACAGAGCTGCTAGAAGTTTTCAATACTAACCAAAACGTTGAAAAATAATAGGTCTACATAAATATTACAGAGGCATGCCAAAAGAAAAATGCAATTTTCCAATCCTCATCCCCCTTGTAAAATGCATTATTGCAGGCAGTTGATTTGTAGCTCCTAGTACTTTTTAAATCTGTGTCTGAAACTGTCAACCCTTGGATACCTACCAACCCCAAGAACTATTCTGTAAAGGAGGTCACGGGGTTGTTATCAGGATATCTATTCATTTCCTTTTCTTGGGTAATTTTTCTAGTGGTGCTATTGTTCTTGATGGGAAGATCTTGAGCTTGTTATCCTTGTATTTGTTGCTTGGGTGGAAATTGCCATAGGGGTAGTAATCCTGAGTCTTGTGCTGGGATACATGCATGTAGTTAGGAGAGGGGTAGCTAGTCATAGGGTCACTAAGGTGTCACCAGATAGATGTCTTGGGGGGGAATTATCAAATTTGTAGTTTTCTGAAGGGAATTTATAAGAGGTCCTGGGAATATTTGTCTTAAAATCTTTTAAGTCTCATTAACATGAACATTTCAAAATTATTCTTACATCTGTTTTGCAACTTGTCGACTTTTGAATTTTCTTCTAGATTGTTCAAAGGTGATGTGTGCAGTTTGTCGGAATCCTGGCATGCCGGTCCACTATGTTTGTGCCTACTGTGAGAAGAATCTATGCTATGGATGCAGACAAATATGTGTCAACTGTGAGAGTGGGTTCTGCACAAGTTGCTCAACAATCAAGTAAGTCACATCATGCCTGTGCGTTATCACTTCATCCACCCCCTCTACCCTCCCCCCCCCCCTCTCTCTCTCTCTCTCTCTGTCTCTGTCTCTTGGGTGTCAGAAATTTTTTGGGTTCATCACTAGTTTTCAATTAATATTTGAATGATTGGAACCATTCTAAAGACCAATTTGAGTTCTAGCCATGAAAATTATTGGAATCATTACAGGTTGTCTTTAAGTTCTAGTAATGACAGAAAACAGAATCTTATCATGAATATTACAGACTATATAATATATATATATATATATATATATACTATGCAATATACTATATCAAAAGGTTTGTCTAGTTTGGATAGAAGTTTAGAAGACGTTGTATTGCTGAATAATAAGGAGAGAAATATGAGCAAATTAAGCTAGTAGTCCTGACCACATGAACAACATATTGCATTATTTGTGCAAATTCACTACAATTCTTTTTTATAGTGGTGGGGTGGGGTTGGGTGATTTTTTGAAATTGTTATTATAAATGTTTATTTCCTTTATATCTTCTAGTTAAAGAGACCCAATAACTACATGATAAACTGTATAACCAGTTTCTTCTGAAACGATACTTCTTTGCTTCTACCAGATTCAAGATTTCCAGCAGCTTTAGTCTTTGTTCATAGCTTTAAATATATTGGATTTATGATAACTGGTAACCTTTCTTATTGCTTAGCCCATATACATGTAAAAGATTTTTTTTTAGAAATTATGTGGTCTTTAAAAGACTTTTAATAGTCATTGTTTTTTCTTTAAGCAAATGCATTGATGAAATATGTATATGTTTAACATCATTGTTAAAAGCCGCCCCCAACCCCACGGTAGTATCACTACAGTCTGAACTCGGAAATGTAATAAAGATAAGATAAGATAAGTGAATAAAAGAAAATAAATAAAATAATATTGAATAAAGACAAGTTTGTCATGTCTTTTTATGGGTGCATAATTCTTCCTGTTTTGACTAACATGACATACTTTAATGACATTACCGGTAATGTAGTGAATCACTATTTGCATTGAGCTTCATTTTCCTGTTGTCCAGGACCTTACAGCTATTAAATTCAAAGTCCAAGGTTGTAACTACTTATAAAACTAAAAGGAGCACTATGCACATACTGCACCTGTGTAACATCATAAAATAATAATATTTTAATTGGATTGATAATAAATTGAAATACGAAAATTTCTTATGAATGTAGTTACAGCTGATATAGGAAATTAGAGTTTTAATAAATCTATATAGGTATATTTTTTAGTGTGTAAATGATTGATCAATTGTGTTGTATAAAATGACAAAATCCAGGTAAAACCATAAAAGTACTTTTTCATGATCTTTCAAAGTGAAAATAAAAGTGGTTAAATACCCAAATCTGCTTTAAAGTGATCATTGCTTTTTTTTAAACATTGTATGTGAAGAGATAAAACTCTGCCTTTTTATGAACATAACCAAATTTCTAGTTTTAGAAATGCTTAGAAATGCATACATGTATTCTCTTCTTTATTTCATGGATCTCATACTTCCTCTTACAATTTATATTGATGTGTTGTCATTCAACAAATATGAGGTAGATCGTACCTTTAGATATTTACTCTTGGTTGACTTTAAATCTCTCTATCTCATTCTTATTGCAGTTATGATGAGAGATGTGACAGGGTGTTCTGCATGAATTGCTCATCCTGAGGATGTGGGTATATAAACCTCGATGCTGTGAAATCAGATCGACTCCGGTTTCTACCAGGAACTGAGCATGTCACAAAAGAGGAAGTGCTGCCGCAACAACACCCCTGTTTAATGACTGAATAACAGGAGCCCTTTGCTATTTGCTCTATAAACAATCAAATTAGTTGCATGTTTGTGTGTCTCAACATTTTTTTTGTGCCAAAGAGATTCTCGTGCTAACTTTTAAAGAGCCAGAGTTTGAGCTGCATGCATATATATTCCAAGTGGGTGTCTGGGTTTTGTGTGACTTGCTCTTGTCTCAGTGTGTTTTAAATTATTGTGAAATACCCTTCGGGTGTATCTTTATGCATTTTTTGTTCTTCATTTGATAGCAAGCATTTCCTCTTATTTGAAAAGCAGGGTATTATTTGGCAAAGAAAAGGAATAATGCATTTTTTTCATTTTAAGTGCCAGTACTGTGTATGTTGACAAGAAGTAAGAATAAAGTCTAAATGCAATGATTGTATACTGTAGATGCATTGTGGTCTAGTAGCTAAGTCACTGAACAGGGTAAAGGGGTTGAATCCCTGTTACAGCTCTAATATTCTAAGGCAAGACATTAATGTACTTTTGCCACGCTGTACCCAGGTGAGGTAAATGGGTACCTGTTAGAAATTGATTCCTTCACATGCTAGAGCCTCATACTGACAACCATGCTAAATCTGTGGTAATAATTGTGAAGTGCCATGTGAATTGTGAGTGTTACGTCTGATGTTACCACTTGACATGAAGCCACTATTAATTGTTGTATTTGTTGATTGATTACAATTGTTTTCTATACAAATCACGTACATTAAGAAAATATATAATATTCTTGTATCTGCACGATGTAAATATACCATGGCCCCACCCCTACCCAAAGAAGTGTGTTCTTGGAAACCTGATGATGCCCGGACTCGTGTGCTTATTTTAAAATCAACTGTGTTTCTAAGTCCGTAACTCACAGGAAAGAATCCTGAAGTGAACTTGGTAGGAATTTTCAACTGATGCTAGTGTGTATGCAATGTGAATGGTACAATGGAGGCAAATGACTAACTTAGTGCAGACTTGTATCAAATCACTCAACTTTGTTGTAGTCTTACTTTTTAAATTTTCCCTTCAACAGAGATGTGAAACTTTAAAGAAATATGTTACGACCTGACTGTATGGATATTTTTTCTCTTTCACTCACTCTTTCTCTCTCTGTCTCTGTCCCTGTCACACACACATTCTCTCTCTCTCTCTCTCTCTCTCTCTTACTCTCTCTCTCTCTAATATCCACATCATGTAGAATGTATAGAATTTTAATTTACAGCAAAGTAATATAGGTTTTCCCGCCCAACTTCGTAAACTTAGCATCCGAATTAACGTTACGTTCATTCAAGTTCGTGCGAAATTGAATGACTATGTAGTTCAACATTCAAAAAGCTAATTGCGTCGTTCAATTTGATTTAGTAGCATGCGATTTCATACTCTTGTCACGGAGAAGTGCAAAACGAGCATTCAATTTAGAAAAGCGTGCAAAGAGCATTCAAATTCACGCCGGACAGACGGTGGTATGTATTCGAGCATTCAATTTCGTGATTAGGCATCCATATGTGACATTTGTGCATTGCTTTTCATTTGATGTTAATTTGTCACTTAATATACTTCTGTTTGAATAATTTAATGCTAAGTTTACTTGTAGGAATGATTATGCGTATTCGTTAGCAGATATCTGTCATGACACAGGTAACTGTCCCAGAGAAGGCGCACAATTTGTGACTTCTCTTCTTCTTGTAAGAACAAGCTATATAATTATACACAGATCCTGGACAGCGGTAGAGTTGAGCTTTAGACATGGCCATGATGGAAACATAATACAATGATGAATAAAGAAAAATATGTGAAATGAAAAGAAAGAAAGATTACCCACTCAATCCAGATTGATACCAAAAAAAAACATTTAAAAAATAACTTCATTTATAATGAAATATATGAAGACATGACTGTATAAAGAGATGTTTCATCAAAAATAAAGATCGACAGAAAGAGAAAATATTGAATGCAATATAAATATATCAGACAAATAAGAAGATTGTATAATGTGAAATCATGTCAGAAAAGATCATAGAGTAAAATAATAAACAAATGAACATGAAAAAGTGAATATCCGAATAAACATCGAGCCTCATACAATAATTATGAGGTCTAGTTTTAATTTGGATGACCCGATTGCGAAAGAGGTTGCCCATAGACGAAAATGAAACCGCAATTCGACAAAGAATCGTCCTCCCACTCAACTTTGGCGAAATCGAATGACGCTAACGCATTTCCAAATTGACTGAACCAAACGTTAATTTGAATGTGCTTGTTTCGAAAATTCGGTGACTCGAAACGAAATTGAATGCAAAAAGTTTAAAAATGAAACAGGGAAGCAACGAGTGGAGAAAATTTGCTCGAACATGAATGCACGTTAGTGAAATTGATCGCTGCTTTGACGAAATTGGCCGGGAAAACCTATAACATTTTCAATTTCTTCATAAATGATTTGACTTGCAAACAAAGGGATTCTTCTCACTAATGGCCTTCTCTTCACAATATATCTGGTATTTGCTATAAAGAAAGACGGCTTTTTCCCATCCTTCTCAATTAAAATATAAGATGAATGAGGAGATGAAGGAATGGGGTTATTTATACCTAATGGAAAGAGATCATCTGCTTTATATTATTGAATTACATGTATTATATTTTGTATGTTGACTGTATTTGCTTTTGTAATTCTGTATAGACTCTAGTGTATATGAATGAACTTTTTTTTTCCCCTCCAAGTGCTGATAATTAAAAATGTGAAGATTTCAGTTCAGAACTGAAATTTGTGAAAGTTATGAGTGCATAAAATATACTGGAAATATGTACTAGTTAATGTGTAACTTTAAGCTCTTTGTCTATATAAACAAATTAAAGGTTTGTGGCCTAACTAGGGGATGGCGGAGGAGACCAAAGTTAAATTTTTGTTTTACAATTGAAGTAATGCTTTCAATTCAATAATTGCTTTAAATTCAATATTTGCATTGATATCAAATTTCTTTGAATAATTATTCATCCCACATAACAGAGTCTCTTATGGCAAGGTAGAACTACATGTATATATTACATTTCTGATTTTTTTTTTTTCTCCATAGAAATGTGATTAGAGCCAGAAGGATGTAAAGTCATGTCTTGCCTTCTACACAGTAGAGAAGCCCTTCTGGCTGTCAGCAAACAAGAAGTTGATTAACTATGTATTTCTCTAATATAGCAGTTGTAGCGGTGTAATGTATAAAACTATGCCATTTGAATGTATTTTTCTTTTGTATGAAATAATAGCATCCATATTGGTTGAAAAACCAAAAATATTGAGATACAGGCGCATACGCAGGGGGGGGGGGGGGGGGGTTTGGGGGGGTTGAACCCCCCCTTTGGTATATTTGTGTGTGTAAACCCCCCTATAAAAAAACCTAAAACCCCCTCCCTTTAGGTTTTTTGTTTTTTTGTTTTTTAGTTTTTAATTATAAAAAAAAAAATTAAAAAAATTATGCATATGGCTGACCTAAAAAAGGTGACCCTACCCCCCCCCCCCCCCCAGTGAAGATAAATGACAAATTTTCAAATTTCGAGACCCCCCCCCCCAAAAAAAAAAAGTACTCTCTTACCCCCCCCCCCCCCCCCCCCAAAAAGTACCCTCTTACCCCCCCCCCCCCCCCCCCCCCCCCCGCTTATTTAGCAGGTGGCTTAGTCGTTACGATTTTTTTTTTGGACTCTGAAAAGAAAAAAAAAGATATCCGCTTACTCTTCCCCCCACCCCCCAACTGAGCGACTTTTCAGCTGGCTGAATCGTTGCAATTTTTTTTAACTCAAAAAAAAAAAAAAAAAGTGTCCGCTTATCCCCCCCCCCCCCCCCCCCCCCCCCCCACTGAGCGACTTTTCAGCTGGCTGAATCACAATTTTTTTTTTTGGACTAAAAAGTGTCCGCTTACCCCCCCCCCCCCCCCCCCCCACTGAGCGACTTTTCGGTCGGCGCGATTTTCAAATTTTCGGGAGCAAACTTTTGGCCCCGATTTAAACCCCCCCCCCCTTGAAAAATCCTGCGTACGCCCCTGTTGAGATATTAAAGGTTTATATCTACCTTAATTTTCAAACTTTAACTAAGTACCGGTACCCTTTTGATTTTCAACTATACTGCACCAGTTATATGAAACCTGTATGTCAATATTTGTGTATGATGAAATGATGTGATTGGAAAGAGTTTTTTCTGTGATTACTTTTTGATATTAATAAAGGATAGTTTCACAAAATAATCAAGTACTCAAATGCTTTCTTATGTGTATTCCGAAGTTTTAATGTACGTGTTTTTATGTTTTCTGTCAAATAAACCCTCAAAAAAGTCATTAAAAGGCATGGCGAGATTAACGTGTCACTGTTGGTCTTGTTGTGGGCCCTTCAGAAAGCCCAATAGATAACAAAAAATTGCATGATTGCAGGGCCCTCGGGAAGAAGAGTATTAATACTGATGAGGCTATCCTGGGTAAGCAAGATATATTATTATTATCGTTGCTTTTTCAAACAAAGGTTGCGTAAATTGACTACTTGGAATGTTTCAAGGCTTTCCCAGCATAGCAACAAATAATGTACACAGACTTAATTTCAACTATTGAAGTTCATACATTAACAACTGGTTATTGACATAACTTGTCACTAAAGCCATAGGTCTTCTGGAAAGAAATATCCATAGATTAATAAAGCAGTTTATTGGCGACCCTCCCCCTCTTTCTCTCTCTCTATCTTCCTTTTTTCTACCACCTCCTCATACTACTCTACCCCCCCCCCTTTCAAATTAGGTTACTCCCATTGTCTACATGGTCAGCAAATGTATAATTATATTATTGAATACATTTATTTAAGAATATTTGGTAGCTTTAGTAGAATAGGCCTCTGTATCTCCAGTTTCAAATTACCTTTGGATTGAGAAGGTCAAGAAAGTCTTTGACTATGAATCCCCTGTACCAGGAAACCATCCATTTATTTGATGAGGAAACAATATGGAACTGAATACAAAGGCATACAATTCCATTAGATTCCCTAGACTACTCTATATGTTTACATTGTGGTATATACTTCTGTATAATTATACATTTGTAATAGGAGAAGCTAGGGCCTCGTTATAAGCATGCATAGTGTAGCTTCACCAGAACTCATAGCTAATTTACGAAGGCGTATGAAATGTCTGATGTGAATTTGCATATAGATTTTTTTTTGCACCCCTATTTTTTTAAACATTTATTATTTTTCTTGAGGCATTGGCCAGTAATGGTCATAGAAATCACAACTGGGTGTGATCTGTGCTGATGACGAAGAACTGGCCACGTCCGTGGGATGTTTGTTGAAAACAAAAATAGTCTACTCTCCAAAGACCCACAATTTTCATTGGTTTTATTTTAATCATTAGTCAGTGTAACGTTAGACTGACTCAGTTCCTTGATAAAGACATGTTGATAATTCTAATTAAAACAGAAGTTGAAACATGGCAATGCTTTTATCTACTAGTTTTTCCTGGACCTCAACGTATAGTGCCATACACAATTGTTTGAAGATAGAGACTGATCAAATTTCGACATATCCTATGAAATCAGTTTTGACGATAGACCAATCATACGAGAGGACTGTCCTTGCGTAGTGTACTATTTATAGCGTTGAAGGGGGAATTTTGTTTACGCGTACGTGTAGCTATTTTGGGGGTGTGCTCACTTACATGTACGTACATGTGTACGTACAGCCAGGGTCCACTATATATCAAGCGACTTTGCAACACCGTTGTCATAATCAGATCTTCTTGTCTGTAAGTTTGCGTCACTATTTTCGGGTTATTGTCGCTCGTTGGATAGGTAAGATATATATCATATTTTACCTTAGGTCTACATGGATTGTATCTCGATCAACAATTAAGTAGACTAGACCTAACGTTAGATCTACTGCTAGATCTACATCAGCAGAAGAGACCACACACTCAAGCTCTCTGTTCCTGAGGCAACAATCGACTCCTACAAGTACTCATTTTACCCCCGCACCATTCGCATCTGGAATCAACTACCATTCACTGCAGTTACTGCCCCAACAGTTGCTGCTTTCCAGATGACCGCCCTCCCTGTCATCAGAGGGTTGGAACCTCCTGTAGGTTCCAGAATGCTGTAAACCATATAGCAGCATGATTATTTTTACTTGCACGTCACTATTTTATTGTACATGTATAAAGCAATTGTACACCCTTTTGTTGTCTGCACCTTCACCTGCTGTCACAACACATCCCATCCCAGTATAGCTTGGAAAAGCTGCTTCAGGGATTACCTCATCAAGTATCAAGTATCTACATCTATATACAATTTAATTGAGAATAAGACTGTTTGTAGATCTATAACTATAGACCATGCAGGGCTAAAAAGTAGCCTAGTAAAAATGTCTGAGACTAAGAAGATCATCTACCCGACATAGACTAGATCTATATGTCATATGAAATGATTTTGATAGATCTTGACACTTCTTAGCTGATTGTCATATAGGAGTAGAGTCCCAGTTGACAAATAAATCTGTCTGATTGAAAGAATTTTCTTCACCCAAATTTGTTAATTTGGAAGAAATAATTTATCATGATTTCATGTTTTATTTTTTGTTGTTGCTGGCCAGATACGGAGGTTGGATGCAGACTTGCATATGTCTGTGAAGGCCTGTCGATGCCTTATTTGATCATGCATGTACACAAATGCTTCCCGCCCCCCCCCACTCCGGGGTCGGAATGACCGCATGCGTGTTACCAAAATGTCCGGTAAAGGGTAGACAGCAATAACCATCTGATTTGGGTCATTTCTTTAATAAAACTGACATAATCGGAGGTCTAGTGGAGCCAGACGTAGTCTCAGTGGAACAACCGACGATTAGAGAGACTGAAGTTTTCGGTCTAGGTAAAGGGGTACTTTTCGTGCGACAAAGTCCGGCCCGAGAATTGTAAAAAAAAGGGGTGTATTTGACTTTTCACCCGGAGATTTCTTTAAAAGGGGGTGTTTTTCTTTTTTCTTTCATCTCTTTGGACTCCTGAGAAATTATTTCGAATTTAGGGGGGTACATTGAGCATTTTTCCGTATTTAGGGGGGTCTCCAAGGCAGGAAAAGCCCGCGATAGGGGGGTTTGGAAATGTTGGCAGTCCTCAGATAGGGGGTGCTTTCAAAAAGAGGGAGCATACGCGTACCCTAAATAACACTGAGTGGGGGGGGGGGGGCCGGGAAATGCTTCCATTATTCATTTTTATTGCTTGTTCTGTTTTTCTTCAATTTGCATGAGTGGATATAGATCTAGAGGGTTCCATGAACTTGCTACGAACTAAGTATGATCGAGTCGAACTATTTGGATCTACCATATACATGCAGACCTATTCACAATATAAACCTCTCAATTCAATTTAATGGTAACCTTTGTTTGAATCTGTACGTTTACTGATGTGATGGTGCTAATTAAGATGGAGGATATCTGCAAAGGAGGATATCTGCAAAGGAGGATGTCTGCGCATTATGCATTTTAAATTTGCCACTTCATGTAGAACATATAAGGGAGATGGGAGACAAAAGTGATCTTTATGATTAGGTAATATTGGCGCAGGTTCCCAATTCAATACAGATTTCACTCTGCTCAAGGAAAAGAAACAAAATGGTCTTTATAATATATTGACAGCTAAATAGCCTTATAGGTAAAAGTGGTCACTATACACCTGATAGTGGCCTGTACTGCTACTGAAGAAGAAGAAGCAGGTTTGACTGTATATAGCAATCCAGGTTTTTTCAAAATGATCCTAAAACTCGAATCAGAGACTTCATCTTTGCATGTTTCAAACACTACTTACAATACATAAATTTGAAAATTAATTACCGGTAGACCATTTTAATTGCCTAGATTCTTCAAACATGACTACAAACGTAACAGAGTCACTATCCCAGGGTTGTGATCCATGCATCAATTTCGGATTGTGGTGCAATACAGTTGCTAAGTATGAGCATGAGTCACACACACTTTACACACACACGATATCTACTAGATGCAATGCATTATGAGAATGGGAGTGTGTGTGTGTGTGTGTAATGATAATTCTACTGTTGACATGCTTGCATCAGTGAACGAGCAGGTACAATATGTTGGCATATATGTGCTACAGTTGGTAGATTTTCTTTGAATTATACACTTTAAAACAGAAAGTTAAACAGTGATCATCAGCAAAATATGTATGTATATGTTTATTTAACCGTTGCAAATAATACAAATATACTGAAAAATAAGATTAGAAGTGATTACATCTTTATGTACAAGTTGATAATGTTTTTTTTTTTTACACATACATATTGTTTGAAGCAGAAAATTAAAATTAAAAAACTGCACAAATCATTTAATGCATAGTAATTGAACATAAATATAGTAACAGTAGTAATGGTTTCATGCTCACCATAACTTATAGAGTGTCTTATAGAAAGGAAATGAGGCTATTTGTAAAATAATATATAAATATATATATTCACTGTTATCTCTTAGACTGTCTTTTTCATTTGTAATCCAGTCACCATGGACTTTGGTAGCAAGTATGTGTTTGTGAAACGAGAAGAGGAGGAGGAGGAAGAGGTCTTGGATGATGCAGAAGTATCTACCGGTCTTGACAACCTCAAAGTGGAGATCCAAGCAGACAGCTCAGAAGATGGAGAGGTGGGTTTGAGGCATAGGATTTTGATTTTGAAATGGTTTGAATGCTACCGGTATTTAGAGATTTTTAATCATTATTGATCTCTTCTTTGTAATGATAATGGTTCTTTGTAGTTTGTAGATAAATTGAGCATCCCATGGGATGGATGCCTTGGCATCATAATTGTAGCTATATATTATTAATATTGATATACTACTTTTAATTTATTTTATTATTATTTTATTTTTTATTTAAATCGAAGTGATCTGCATGAATGGACTGACTGCATTTGACTCAGACCAATCTAATAACTGGTTTCCTTTTGACTGAAGAAAATCAAAGTTTTTTTTGTAATCTGCTTTGATAGTCATTATGCAGTCAAATTATATACACATGATATACCTAATTTTGGATATTAATTCAGTGAGAAAAAGAAACAAAAATAATTGATACACAGTATTGAATATATTTACTTGCTTTAAATGCAGCGATCCAAATACAGTGAGTAATATTCACATAAATTTTAGTTACTACAGTGAAATGATATTTATAAATATATTCCTCAAAATTGTTGTATGGTATACAGTGACGTCAAATTGCATTGTAAATGTGTATGGGCAGTGAGGAGACTGTTGTTGCTTTGTTAAAAATAGAAATTAATATAAATGAGGTTTTCATAGATCAAGGACAAAACAGGCCTCTAACAATAGGGGTGGATATACATGTAGGTCAGTTTTTGTTCTCTTATATGTGATATAGTTGTATAGTACTCCCACTGTTTAATAAATTGGAGGCATAGAGGTCTTCTATATACATGTATTTGAGTAGTGCAAATGTATCTAGTGATCATTTTACTAGAAGTTTGAAGCTTCAAATCATACATAATCATATGCATATACGTTCTGTAGAATAATAGAACCATGTAATAAGCACAACTGGTTAATTTTATCAGGATGGTTTAGATAAGACGACATGAGTTCTATGACACCATCCATCCAAATACATATTATATATATACCGGTATCTATATGTGACTTTTTCGGTGTCTAAGTCCAAACACCTGTGGACTGAAGAAAATTCTTGACTTACATGCTGCAAGTTAAACTGTCACATACATGTAGGTAAATAATATTCAAATGTGTCATAAACTAGAGCTCATTTTTAATGCAATAAGCTGCAAGCGTACACCTTACATGTAGGTGAAGTAGTCGTTTTATCCTTGAAGTGCTGCCTGCTTAATACATAGTACCAATAATATCCTTTAAATTTCCACTATAGCACACGCAGTTCAATATCTAGGCTACTTTTTATTGTATTTAAAAATTATTACAATGTATTAGCTTAAGAGGATTGTACAATTTAGAATGTAATACTTTACTAGGAGCACCGGTAAATTTTTTAAATCAATTTTTCTTGAAAGCAGAAGTGTTTTAGGGGCTAAATTTTTTAAGTGCTTATAAAACATCCACAGGGGCATCTTGATATATCAAAATCACTTTCCACCCATTTTTCAAAATTTCCCAAAACTTTGTATTACCTTAACTTAAGGGGTTGGAAATCTTTATTCTTATCTTGATTACATTGCAACAGTTATTAAATCCCCAAAATACACTCAAGAACAGAATATTGAAGAAGAAAAAAATCAAGATCACCTTTCCCATAGTATAATAGTATAATGTATCAAGATCACATCATTTTGTAATTATTACTTTGCTTCACAGCCATGCATGATTGATTTGTTGGATACTGCTGGTCAGGAGGAGTACTCAGCTCTTCGGGATCAGGTATGATGATAAATTCTTCCTCTTTTTTGTCTAAACTTTTGTTATGCTTCATCTCTGTCTTTTTACTCTGCTTCTTCAGATTCTTTTGGTTATTTGATTCATCTATTGTTTTCTTCTTTCTAATTTCTTTTCTACTTCTACTCTAATTTCTGTCAGATTCTCTTTTTTCTTTCTGTTTTATTTTCTTCTTTTTTTCATCCTTAAAACTAATGTCAGAATTTATTTTGTTTCCCTTTTCTAATTTTACCTTAACTAATGTAATATTCTTTCATTGTTATTTGTCCTTCCTTTTGTATTCTTATTTTATTTTTAAAAAAATCCTTTCATTCAGTTCATTTTGTCATGTTATTCTTATTCTTATTCGCTTACTTATTTATTCAAATTTCTTACTTTTTTTCTTTTTCTTTAAAAAAACAATTTTCTCTGTAAATGTTTTTCTCTGCTATGTTCCACTATTTCTCTTTTTCTTGCTTTGGGATGTATCTTTCTTCCAGTATGTAGGCTGTATATTATGCTATCTTTCTGTTGATCTCGATATTCTATACAGGAATTAAAGGGTATCAAAGAATGCATAAATTTTCTGCAAATTTCTTGCAGTGATATTTTTTTAATTTGTAGTACATGTACTTTACTTGGATTTTAAAAGCTACATCCTGTTGAACTGTATGCGTCACACTGTGGGTACAAGATTATAATCACAGGGATAAAATCATTGTGCATATATTTGGCTATATATATGTAAACAAGCATATCCCCTTCAGGCACTATGTAAATACAAATAGAGTGTCCTGATTCTAGTGAAGTACGTCCCATGAAAAGGGGAATCCTGCCTGAAATCAAGAAGAAGGAAACAAATTTCAGTTAATGATTGCGCAAGATATCATGATAGAAAAGTTAAAGGATATCCAAATCTTATAGCTTAGGTGTCACACAGGTGAATTTTTTTGCATCTGTCATAAAACTCTTTCTAATGTACCGGTATATCCAAACCTTCAAAATGAAATTGGTCAGTGCATAGCTAGCACATAGACAGAAGTTTACCAGAATGCTTTGTATAATTTGTTGAGATAAATCTTTTTAAGAGTACTTAAAGTCCCCTTGTACTGTACTATGGTAGTGCATGGGTGTACATGTATGATTGTATCAATTAGCATACAAAACCTATCTAAAACTTTGTAAATTCTCTCATTAAAATGTAAGGAGTTGCATTTCATAGAATTATACAATGTATGTCTTCTTTTTAGACATAAATGTAAAAATATTGAATAGCATCTGACTATTGTTAATGTGTTTTTTCTTTAACTCTTTTGTTTTAGTACATGAGGACCTGTCAGGGGTTGGCTATTGTGTATTCCATCACGGATTTGGCGTCGTTTGAGGAGGCTATCAAGATTTATCAATTTGGACTCAGCATCAAAGGAGAAGACCATATCCCAGCAGTAAGGACTAAGGAATGATTATTTCTTTAACTAAGATTGCATTCTTTAGTGTACGACTTGATCCAAATTCCTAACTTCAACCCTAGCCAAACCTAACCCTAACCTAACTTTAAACATAACCTAATACCATATGCAACCCTATGGCCCATATTCTACTAAAATTTAAACCTGATGCTCGAATTCAAAATCAGGTTTAAAGGAATTTAGACTGAGGTATATATTTTCCTTTGTAAAGCATGATTTTAGATCAGGGGGCAGGTTTAACTGAATTAGTAGAAAATGGACCTTTTCTAAATGTTTATCATATCACTATGGTTGCATTATTAATGACATATTTAGTAATAGAAGTGGAAGAAAATGTTTTAAAGTTATTTTGAATTATTTGCAAGCTTGTTGTAATCCAAAGAGCTTAGCGTATTTGTTCATGATGCTATTTATTTCGTATTTTTTCCCCCTTAATTTATTTTTTTCACAAAGTTTGCTATTATGTCCAAAAAAATTGACCTATCCTTATTAATGCATGTTACTGTATCTGACTGGCATGTGTCACAGGAAAAATCATTGTAATTATGATGTTCCGTTTCATTATTTTAAGCAACAAAGAATGGTTTTCTTCCTAGGTACTGATTGGGAATAAAAATGATCTTGAGAGCGAGAGGAAAGTGAGTGCTGAGAAGGGCAAAGAAGCAGCCAGAAAGTACAACATGGTGTTCTACGAGACTTCAGCTAAAACGGGACATAACGTCCAGGAAAGCTTAAAGGCCCTTGTCAGAGAGACACCCCGATATGGCAGCAGATACAAGGTAGCTAGACAACTATGCTTCTCCTTCATGTTCAATTTTAAATATATCAATATTTGGCACATGTAATGATGGTGAACAGATATATACTTTGCTGTCAGGAGTTGGAGTTCAAGGGTAGCATTAAAACTATATATTTTATCTCAGTGAAGTGTATGTTAATCAGCAAAAACAAGTGTTCATATACAGCATAATATATTTCAGTTTTCACAAATGAGCATACCTTTCACCAACTTAAAAGCAGTAGCTTTCAGAACATGGCCACTGATTATGTTGCCATATTGAGTGTGCATGGAATTTTATGTGACATATGTATTTTTCTTCTTTTTTTCTACTTAATTCTACTTGAAGATGAATGATGATAGTTAAATATTCAAATTATTTATCATTCTACATTCTTTTTATGCCTCCGTTACGAAGTAGCCGGAAGCATTATGTTTTCGGGTTGTCCGTCCGTCCGTACGTACGTCTGTACGTCTGTACGTACGTACGTCTGTACGTACGTACGTCCCGTTCTTGTGATCGCGTTATCTGAAGAAACGATTGATCGATTCCTGCCAAACTTTGGTCATGTATGTATCTTGCAGAGCTGATGAACTGATTAGATTTTGGGGTCACGAGGTCAAAGGTCACAGGGCTCATTAGGTATGCCAAAACAGCTCGTGATCGGGTTATCTGAAGAACTGATTGATGAATTCCTGCCAAACTTTGGTCATGTATGTATCTTGCAGAGCCAATGAACTGATTAGATTTTGGGGTCACGAGGTTAAAGGTCAAAGGTCACAGGGCTCATTATGTATGCAAAAACAGCTCGTGATCGCGTTATTTCAAGAACCGATTGATGGATTGCAGCCAAACTTACGTCATGTTTGTTACTTGCAGAGCCAATGAACTGATTAGATTTTGGGGTCACAAGGTCAAAGGTAAAAGGCCACAGCGCACATTATGTATGCAAAAACAGCTTGTGATCGCGTTATCTCAAGAACCGATTGATGGATTCCTGCCAAAATTAGGTCATGTTACTTGCAGAGCCAATGAACTGAGTAGATTCTTGGTTCATAAGGTCAAAGGTCATGGGCTCATTATGTATGCAAAAATAGCTTGTGAACGCATTCTCATTAGAACTGACAGATGGATTACTATTTAACTCAGGACATCTTGCAGAGCCAATGAACTGAGTAGATTTTAGGGTCATGAGGTCAAAGATCAAAGGGTCATATATGTATATGAGAAATTGCTTGTAATCACGATATTCTGAGAACCTGTCAATGGATTACAATTGAACTTGAATTCGAAAAATTTCTTCTGTTTTGGTTTGTAAAATTGCTCTATGACGGAGGCATCATTTTCAACTGCGCGCAGTCGAATTCCATCTAGTTATGATTGATTATATTTTTGACTGTATCATTCTCAAAGGTGATTGCTCATGGTGCCTTAATCAATATGGTTGATAATATTTTGATGTATATATTTCCTTTTTCTCTCTGTAGTTTGTTGTGGTTGGAGGAGGTGGGGTAGGAAAGTCCTCCATCACTGTTCGCTTCGTGCAAGACATCTTTGTGGAGACATATGATCCAACCATTGAGGATTCCTACGTAAAGCAGATCGTTGTGAGCGGCATCCCAGCAGATAAGCTGAATCCCCCTCCTAAACCGCAGGCTTCCTCTGTGCCCAATGCTCCTCCTCCCCCTCCTCAAGCTCAACGTAAGTATAAAAGGTGGTATTCTCGCAAGCGGACTAACTTTAGTCCATGGTTTAATCCACCGACTAAGTGTGGAATGCCATGTTTCCATATGAATATGTTTTTGAATAATTTAATCTGTCACTAAATTAAAATACAATGTAATAACATAATTAATAAACAACAATATAACTATGATATAATTATGTTACCATGGTAATTTAGGGACACATCAAATTATTCAGAAATATATTCATATGGACACTTGGCATTCCATACTTAGTTGGTGGATTAAACCATGGACTAAAGTTATTTCGCTTTCGAGAATACCACTCAAAGTGATTGCTTCGATCCAAGGAATTCACCTGCTAACCAAGCCTAGCTCCTAGCTGGCCTGCATGCTGTTCCATCCGACTACATCCTAATTCTAGTCTTAAATTACTACATCATAACATATGTCCTTAAGCATGGTATTTTATCTACATTGCTTTTGCATTTGCACTTTCCTCCAGAATATTTAGCATTGTGATTTATTGGATCTTGTATTTAGCACTGTGCCTTTTTGATGACCATGGACCTTATGTCATATCTTAACGTGTGTTCTCTTCAATATATTTGTATTACCCTGGCTGGCTTCAAATCCTTTCAATCCGTCGCACAACGCCTATCAAAAAAACTCCCTGCATTTCTAAGAAATGGTACTTCACTTAACTCTGTCAAAAAACATCTGAAAACATACCTCTACAATTCTACTTAATTTGTTGATTGACTAATAGACATGATCTTGTATTCTCTGGAAAAAGCGCTATATATATCCAATTATTAGTAGTATTACCCAGTGTGATAGAAAGCATTGTACATGTAATAGTGATTCCAACAACTGTACATGTATATTCATTCAGTTAGAATATATTCTCCCTCATTGTTTCTTTTGTCTTGTGTGTTGCTCCCAAAAGAGTGGAAGTTCTGATATAACAGTCAATGCCTGTGATTTTCTTTCTTTCAATTTTAATATACAATTGGATTGATATACAATATGATTTCGATATATGCTTTTTGCAACACTTATCTATGTATGTATTTTGTCTACTTTTCTACAGGTGTATCAAAGTCCTTTGGATTATTCAAAAGATCTAAAAAACAAAAAAAATCAGGTAGAGAAAGAAATTTGATAGATTTTCAAAAGAAATTATTTCTGTATAAACAAAACTTGTGTATGTTAAGTATTGTACTTCCACACAGATAACAACGTATACTTAATTCCATATGCATTACATTTTCTATTACATTATTTTCACTAATTTTTCATATTTACTTTGTTTATTTGATGATAAGATTTAAATGCTCTATTGCCTATCTTTCATTTTTTTTAGTTTCTTTAGTTTCCTAATATATGAGGAGTGGCGGTATTTGTCATTCAGCAATTATATTCAAGACATAGAGATTCAAGATTCAAACCTGTTTGCTTTCCAATCAGTACATACTTGAGATCTAATTAAGGAGCAATTAAAATTAAGTATCATCAGTTAATATTAAGGCAGGCCTCGTTTTTAGTTTTGGCCTGTTAAGGGGACCAAAAATCAAAAAACCATTTTTAAAATTTGATTGGTAAACAGCATTGCTGTTTACCGGTAAGTGGTTTTTGAATCTGATAATTCAAAGAGGGGCATCGAGCCAATAATCAAGGCATGTAGGTAACATAATATGTGTCCTATGGGTAATTTGAGGCCTGTCAACTTGAACATAGACAAGAGACTATTAAAAGTAACTCTATATTCTCACAACTATATTTCACAGAGTTCACAGCTCCGATGATGAACGCTTGTTGCTCTATGGGCCCACCGTTGGGTAACTCTTCTTTTCTACAGACTAAGCCTTCACACAGTAAAAGTAAGGGAGCATCAAAGGTAGCGGCACCAAAGTCCTATCGCAGAGCGGATGCAAACGTGATTCTGCTCTCTCTGGGGTCCCTGGCGAACGACCCAGTCATCATGACAGGTGACCCGGTACGCTGCTCCAAATGCAACATTCTCTTGTCCCACGTGTCCAGGCTAGATCCTGTGGAGAATGAGGATAAGCGAAATTGGATCTGGTGAGTATGCATGAGCCTCATGGAGATAATGTCTTTAGTGAGGTGTCACCTTTTGGTTATGAGCTCTTTAAGCTTCAATCAGATATGAAGCAGTAAACTACAACCGTCTTTTTATGATAATGTAAAATGTAATTCACTTGACATTTTTTTCTGTTTACAAGGGTTCAAAGTTGTTGTTAACCCCCTTTAATTCAACCTCCACTTAGATCTATGTCCATTTTTTATGCCTCCGTTACGAAGTAGCCGGAGGCATTATGTTTTCGGGTTGTCCGTCCGTCCGTCCGTCCGTACGTCCGTACGTCCCGTTCTCGTGAACGCGTTATCTGAAGAACCGATTGATGGATTCCTGCCAAACTTTGGTCATGTATGTTACTTGCAGAGACGATGAACTGATTAGATTTTGGGGTCACGAGGTCAAAGGTCAAAGGTCACATGGCTCATTATGTATGCAAAAACAGCTCGTGATCGCGTTATCTGAAGAACCGATTGATGGATTCCTGCACAACTTTGGTCTTGTATGTATCTTGCAGAGCCGATGAACTGATTAGATTTTGGGGTCACAAGGTCAAAGGTCACAGGTCACAGGGCTCATTAGGTATGCAAAAAGAGCTCGTGATCGCATTATCTCAAGAACCGATCGATGGATTCCTGCCAAACTTTGGTCATGTATGTATCTTGCAGAGCCGATGAACTGAATAGATTTTGGGGTCACGAGGTCAAAGGTCAAAGGTCACAGGGCTCATTATGTATGCAAAAATAGCTTGTGATCGCATTCTCATTAGAACAGATTGATGATTCCTGCCAAATTTCGATCATGTATGTATCTTGCAGAGCCAATGAACTGAGTAGATTCATGGGTCATGAGGTCATGAGGTCAAAGGTCATGGGCTCATTATGTATCCAAAAATAACTTGTGAACGCATTCTCATTAGAACTGACAGATGGATTACTATTTAACTCAGGACATCTTGCAGAGCCAATGAACTGAGTAGATTTTAGGGTCATCAGGTCAAAGATCAAAGGGTCATATATGTATATGAGAAATTGCTTGTAATCACGATATTCTGAGAACCTCTTAATGGATTACAATTAAACTTGAATTTAAGCGCTTTGTATCTACTTGTAGAAAAGGCGCTATACAAATGTTCATTATTATTATTATTATTATTAAAAATTTCTTCTGTTTTGGTTTGTAAAATTGCTCTATGACGGAGGCATCATTTTCGACTGCGCGCAGTCGAAGTTCCATCTAGTTTATTCATTGTGTGTTGTCAACAAATTTTTTAATGTGTATATGCAACTCTTTTTATCAATACTTTTTTTTATCAAGGTTTTTGTTTGAAAATATTGATCAATATATTTATCTTTGTTATATTTCATGTTTCACTGTTTGAGTGGAAACAAATTTGAATTGATTTTGAATTGAATTTGAATTTCTGTATCTTATAACACAGAGTTCTGTAAATATACGTAGGGCCTTTGTTGCATGCAGTTGCCATTCTTTAATTACAGTTCATTCAAGAAGAAAAAAGCTCAGCGGTTTATTGCTTCATACCTGAACAGGCCTTCATAGACGGTTTCAGTATGCTTTATAGAGGATATTAAAGAAAGAATTTTTGTGATATATATTAACTATATGCAGTCACCCAATCTAAAAGTTAGGGAGACATGGTAGGAAAGTGGTTATATCTTATTCTCTTATAAGATATTGGAATGTTTGCAGAAAAAAATTGTACTGAATTACTTCTGAAAATATCTTCAGTACATATAGCAGACATGTATACTTAAACATAAATGATACCTCCTATTTCTGTTGTTTATCATATAGGAGGATTTAAGTACCTGTTTTTGATTCTATGACTGTCTAATACTAATTGACAAAATGAAAATAAATAACAATTTTATTATGCGACTGAGCAATATCTCATGGGATCATCACAATTCTATATGCATTTACATTCCACTGATGTGTGTGTTGATTCTATATGATGCTTTTCAACAACAATTTTTGTTTTGGTGTTAAACAATCATCATACTTTTTGTTGTATGGTACAAAGGGTTTGTTTTGAAATATATCTACTTCTTGCTTTCAATTATTGTTGCATCTGTTTTATATTTCTGTTCTCAGTGAGTTTTGTGGCCAGCAGAATGAAGGCTTGGAAATGGTGGATGAAGAGGTAATTAAGAAACTCAAGTTTTGTCATGATCGTTATACAGGCCTTACTTCTCTTTTCTCCGCCATCAATTTATATTTATTTCTGTTTTTTTAAGTGTTTATGGGATGTAATGACATAATCACAACATTATCATGAATTTTTCATGTGCTTCGTTTAGCCAGTTACACATTCACTTGCTTGTCACATATACCAATAAGCTCAGGTAATGGGTTTATGACAAGATTGATAAATATAACAGGCTTTATAAAGTGTACCAATCACCTAAAAAAAAAATGAGTTTGAATGTATAAAATCAAGCTCTAAAAAGTCTTTCTGGCATTCTTTAGGTTAAAAGTTAAGGAGTATACGAAGAAGTAAGGGATATGGGCACCCTATTCTTTGTGAGAACAAACGTGTGTATCAACTAGTCTACTCAACAAGTCGTTTTACTGTTTACTGAGAGTATATTAATACTGTAATATCTCCTTGTAGAAGTAATATTTAAAGCTCGAAAGCAAATTTAAAGCAAGACATGCGATTATTAAACTTTAAAGTACCCAACTTATTTTCAGTGATCAGATCACTTTTTTCTCTAGGTTGGAAGATCCCAGTCTCACAAAAATGTGCAAATCCCTTTGGATAGGGCTCTAGTAACATACCCAATCTCTAAAATTGAAAATAAACATTGGTCAAGGCATAAATCTGTCTGCTTAGTGTTCATGCATAATTCAGCCATATGTTGATTCAGTCAATAAATCAGTCAACTACTACTTTCTCCCCATAATATCTTCAATCATCAACAAGCTGAAATCAAATTTGCAGTGCCAAATCTTATAAGCATATCGATGTCCATATTACAGTCTGTTTGTTTACTGGTGCATATCAGTTAGTGTTGGAATTTTGAAAGAATTAAGGTCATTACTCAATGATTGGCATGTAAAGAATTTAACATATGCTAATATAATAAAATCTGCTTCATTGTTTTGTGTTTGTTATATGTGTAGGTCCCCAAGGAGAACAGTGTTGATTACTTGTTGGCAGCCGCACCAGAGAAAGCTGCTGAAGGAGAAAAGAAAGATGAGACAATCAAGCCCTCATCCACTCCAGGTCTGGTGCTATACTGCGTTGACATGAGTGGATCCATGGCAGAGAGAACCCAGCTTCCTGAGCTTCAAGGTAATCCATTATTCTTCAAAAAAATTCTTCTTGTCATATGTTTTAATGTTTGTTGAGCACTTCGACTTCTCTTTATCTTCATCTTGAATATTATGAGGGATATTGGCAGGAAGAAATTCGAAATTTTTCAAAAATATTAAATAAAGTGTTTAAGGCTAGCTGAATATGAACCGGATGACATATATGCACATAAAGTAATGCTTATATACATGATCAGGATTACTAATTTGATTGCCATGCCTTTCTTTGCTTAAATACTCATTTTATAGTCCATTTTCTTTTGAGATATTTAATGGGTTTCAGTTTTTCTAGAGTGTCAGTTTCATATTCTGCTGTAATTCATGTAACCTCGTCAGCAGAACTCAAAGATAGCCTATACATGTACAGCACAACAAGAGCTTGTGGATCAGTGTCCTAAAGAGTGGACAGAACAATTGTGTCAGCTTGGATGATTGATTCTATGTTTGATTTCTCTTTTTCCGTAGCTGCTTGGATGGCTCAGCGTGGTCAAAGAAACTCTTCTGTTACCCGTCTGGAGTGTATGAAGCAAGCTATCACCAGGTAGGATATTATTACAGGCAGTTTATACGGGTATAAGAAAACCAATATACTGGGCTCAACATCAACATGCGCCTGGGACACATGGGTGCCCAAAATTTCAGTTCGGACCACATTGTATAGGGCTCATACTTACACACTCAAACAATTTCAGTGTCAACCCTCTCCCAGAAACATTAGTGTCGAGCCCTGCAATGTCTTGTGTTAGATAATGTATTCTTGGTGAATGAGCATAAGAAGAGGCACAAGAATTTGGTAGCTTTCCATTGCATCAGTTATTTAACATGTTTATCATTGCTTACAGACAACTTGATTTCTATGAGCTGGATGAAGAAATAGAGAAGAGGATTGGACTAGTAACCTTTGAGAGTCAGGTGGTGGCCCGCGGAGATGGCAGCCAGACCACGAGGAGTGTATCTGAACCTATGGCTGACATGAACGCTCTTATCCAACAAGGAAAAGACTTGGCATCCCATTTCAATATCCGCCCTGTCAGTACGGCAGTGGGGTAAGTCTCTCTACCTCAATAATAATAGGCAATTTATATAGCGCCGTTTATCTAGACAATTCTATTCCAAGGCGCACAAGAAATATAGAAAGAATGAGCAGTCAATGACCGCTTATCTTTCTTATGTTCTGGCAGCTTGAAGAGTGAGGCAGTAGCAAAAAAGAAGTCTTGATTATATATGAATTTAAGCGAGGCACATGTAGAAAGTTAATGCGAGACAGGAGATCGTAAATGTGGGAGTGATTGGAGGACTTATGATCTATTTGGGTCATTTGCATTTCTATGTAAGACAAAGCTCTGATCATAACCATTCTTGTAGCATCTGAAACATTTAAATCCTATTGGGTTTGACAATAGAAGAAAAGATATAAATCATCAGGATCACTTAGTGCAGAAGCCTATACTTTTCCCTGATTATATACCCCAATGACAGCACTGTCTATCCTGGCCATCTTGTACAGAACCAATCCATGTGCTAGCTTGCTTTCAATGAAATGAACCCTAGCTGCTATGTCTAATTCATACAGAGACCTGAAGACCCAGGTATCAGATCTGAGGACTGCTGGTTCCACAGCCCTTGGTCCAGCTCTGTGTGTCTGTGTAGGTCTACTGGCAAAGGAACCTGGATCGGAGATTGTCCTGTGCACCGATGGTCAGCCTAATGTTGGAGTAGGATCCTTTGGATACAGCAGCAGGGGAGACAATCCAGAAGCTATATCTTTCTATAGACAGGTAAGAGAGGCCTTTCTTAGATTAATTTGCAGGATTACCAAATTGTCCGCTTTCGTTAATTTTCATGAGTTGGTTCATATTCATTGCTTTCCTCAGCATTTAAAGAGTGTGATATAGTGAAAAATAGCTTTTTAAATTGCATTTAGAGAGAAAAGGGTACTTGCTTTAATAAGATAGAAATACATTTTCAAGAATGTTATATGCTCAGTGAATTGAATTGACTTGAAAGCTCTTTTGTGAACTCTTGTGAATTTAATGGCCTAAAATAAAAATGACAGCTTCATTTATATTGCACAGCTACATCTTTCAATCCCAGGGATGCTACAATTAACTATGGCGCATACCACATGCTATTTATACCCCACCTTTAACCTCACTGCCCTAAGGTGTTGAAAGCATTATTTCACTTTTTAAAAATCCTACCAAGTACCCATTTTTTATTTATTACTTATTATTTATTACAATCACTATGGAAATTCCTTCTGCAGATTGGCAACATCGCGAAGGAGCAGCAGACGACCATTTCAATCATTGGGATCCAGACCAACCAGAGTCTTCAGATGGAGCACATCAGCAACACTGTCTCCATCACCGGGGGCAATCTCAACCTCCTAGACCCCCATGAACTCACCAGACAGATCCGTCAGCTAGGACAGGATCCGGTGGTCGCCAACGATGTCGAGCTCACCCTCGTCCTCCATCCCACTCTCCAGTTCGACGAGTCGATGACTGAAGGGGTAAGCTTGAAAACATCTGTGATTATCTTTAAATCAAAACTGAAAACTCATCTTTTCAATTAACTGTAAATCTAAGCATATCAGGAGCTCTTGTAGCGCAGTTTATATACTTAATAGTTTCTGCGCTCTATAAATGTTTTATTACTATATTATTGTTATTATTGATTCTCGTGAGGGGAGGCGGACACACTTTGGGTATTTATTAGTTTGAAGGCAGACACCCTTATCAGTCGTTGTAGGTTACAGTGTCTGCAATGAAAGACTATGTGTGTATTTGACACAACCAAAGGCTGACAGAGCTAGGCTGTGCTCAAGGATTTAGGAATTGTGGTAAAGTGTCAAAATAGAGTATGTGCATACAGAATAGGCATTGATAGATGTTTAATATGTAGCTTACAGAAATTCACTGATGTATATTTTTCATAGCAGTTGATCTATAGCTTAAGTACCTAAAAGTAAGTACTTTTCTTTTTCTTTAATGTTAGATGCATTTTAATTGTGATATTTATCTCTGGGTATTTATCAGGTGATCCAGGATGGAAACCGTTTGACACTCAACATGGGCAATGTCCATCAGTCAACAGACCTGACTTTCCGCTTCAAGCTCAAACAAGGGCAGGATACCACAAAACAGAACAAGCTTCCTTTCCAGGTAGATACATACTAAAGCACTTTTCTTTTTAATGAATACTAAAACATTGGTTTATGTGCATTAATTGGAAATTAAGCCATTTTCCTTGTCCACTGTTCGTATCAGGGAGGAAATACTGCAACTTAGTACTCTAATTTTGCTGTGCTGCATGTACCCCCTCTAGCTGCCCCACCTCTCAAATGAATAAGCAATAACATGGTATATATTCACTTTGATTACTTCCTTGCATTGTAGCTATTCAGCATGTAATGCTCATTTTGGCAAACAGCCTTGAACTTTAAGCTACAAGTTACTGCATATGTGCCTCTTGGCAGGTACCATTCAAATCTGCCAGGTATCCATAATAGGACTGTGTTTCCCTTAGCTATATATATATATATATATATATATATATATATATATATATATATAAAACGGTACATATATATATATATCTGTTCCTCTCATTTGTTTTTGTATCAATGAACTTGAACTTGATATAGACTACTTTGACAGCATGTAGAGAAATACTCTTAATTTCTTAAACCTCACTATATGTTTTAGATATTAGTGAATCTTAGCCCTGTATATAAGTTGAATTTTATTGACTATCACTTTTAAGACAACATATGAATAAAAATAACTTTGCACTTAATTGGAAAGCTTGCATCAGTATGGATCAATCACAATTAAATCTTTAATCGGTGTTGTCCTTCTTTTATGCATTAGTTTAACAAAATCCTATTAATTTATCGCCCTTATAGGTTGAAATCCGTTACACTAAGACCGATGGGCGCCGCTTCCTAAGGACCATCACTCAAGAGCGTGACACCACGTCCGACAGGTCAACTATGGAAACTGTAAGAAGTTACTCTCTTCATGTATTTTCCATCAAAATTTCAGAACTTTGATAACATATTTTAAATATTTTGTCTTTGATTTTTGTGAAAGCAATATGAGGGGGTACCTGATTGTGTGTGTGAAACTCATGAAGCAGATTATTGAAGACATTCTTGTTTTGGTCTGCCTCATTCACAATGAAGATTTGTTCTATAGTAAACATATGTTATTAGAATTGCAATTAAAACAAATGAACTGTTGATATACAAAACTTACATTTTCTTCTCTGGCATTTGTAGGAGATATAACATTCATTCAGTTATATAATGTATACAGTATATAATGAAAGAATGTTACAAGTTTCTCAGCATAGTAGACATTAGGTTGAAGTGAAATCGCAATCTAGCATTGTATTGAAAAGAAAACGGGAGACACCTGAACAATGAAAGTTTTAGGAAAATCCGATATCTAAAAAAAAAGTTATGTCTTTTAAAGTTGTAATAAGCCTATATTAATTATTTGCTTGATCTCAACTTTCAAACTTTAAAACCATCTTGCCCTTAAATGAATTTTTCATGAAGTTTTCACAGATCTGTTTCTCTCATTTTTCTCCTATAATAGTATAGTTCAGACTTCTCCAAGGATTTCAATTAATCAACTTTGCTTCCTCATGTTGGAAAGAATTATTATGATCTTTCACTCTTCTAAACTTTAATCAAAATGTATATGTTATTAACCCAAGTGAATTTTTAAAAAAAATATGAGACATAAAACTGCCAATTCGTACGTGAAAATGTTATCGTAAATTTCATTCCACATTGCCAATTAAGAGTCTTTAATCTTTATTTTTCTGTTGTAGTAGTTTTTATTTAAAACAGCAAAGAATTATTACTAGGTTTGGGCTAACCTTGAGTATTTGTATGTATATGCAGGAGATGAACCCAACAGTGACTGGTTTGGCTACTGTGCAGGAGGCAGCAAAGATGGGAGAGAAAGGAGACAAGTCAAAGGCCAGAGGTCACATGTAAGTTTAGTCCAATCTATGAGCTTCTTAGAGAGAGTGAGAGAGAGAGAGAGGGGAGTAATTGTGAAGACATGTACTGCAAGTATACGTCAAGTATTAAAGCAAGTATGTATTCCCCCTTGTAGACAAATACCCCTTTCAAACTGGCCTGATTTTCATCGGATGCATCCGGACACATCCGATGAAACGACCACTATTAATGATACAGAGGAGAAAAAAGGCGATAGAATAGCCGATGAAAAGAAGAGAAATAGGCGATTGAATTCTCCTGCTCAAGAGCAGGAGAAATTCTCTTTCTATCGGTGTGACACCACTGAAACAGCCACTGGGAATGCGTTTGGGAGAAATCACTGATTAAAAGACCGATGAAAATGGTCAAAGGTCGCAGTGTACGCACGCTTTTACCGTAACCAGCTGTGTTTGTTGACTTTTTGTTAAACATGCTGCATGCTAGCCAGGTAGGGCGGGGGCTTGCCACAGCGAGTGAATTTCACCCACATAGTATGAAAAGGACAGCAGGGAATTAAAGCGGCGGTCTCACCTTTGTTTACATAAGGAAAATAGAAGCACTATCGAAAGGGGTATCAGTCATACCCTCTTTTGTGAAATTTTTACTCACCCTGCCCGCCACATCAGATCTTGGTTGTGTAAAATCTTGTGAACTTAATGATTTATTGATCTTTTTCTTATTATGTTTGTATCTTTTTATTGATAAGTAAGTAGCTGATTTCAAATATATTGCAAAAGTGTTCTTTACTTATTGCCAATGAATCAATCATGTCTTACAATTTGGCATTGAGTACAATAATGAAAAACAAAAAGAAATAAAAGTATTCAGAGAAAAGAAAACCCATACAAAACAGCGACATTGTTCACCTTTTTAGTTTAAATTCATCAGGCATTACTTACAATATTTTCTTCCAGGGTTTAATTAATATAAAGTGATTTCAAGCAATCCTGATACGTAGTTCAGAAGGCTCAGTATTAATGCCTTTCTTTGAGTTTATTTCAATCACTTGTTGATTAATCATTGTTGGTACGTCCATGCAATTTTCTCAATAGGTGGGCCATGGCAAAGATGATGCAACGCTCCAATGCATCGCCTGGTAGTACCTCCCTGCAAGAGCAGCGCTCTCGTTCAGAGGGTACTCACCAATTTCTCAACCAAGCTGCAGAGCTGGATAGGGTGTATGATGAAGACTCGGATGTAAGTATTAAACATTTGCATCGTTGTTTAATACTTAAGACTGGGAATTGAGCTTTGTTTGTAAAGGCTCATTTCAATATGATGCGGTAAACTTTTTTTCTTCTCCATATGACATGTAAACGAATGTGAGCTGTGCACAACAAAAGTCCCTTGCATCTTCACTTTGCTCTGTGTTTTTTGAAGATACAGACATTTGAAGCACACTATACACTTAACGTCAAATCATAAAACGTACAGCACAAAAGCGCTCTGGTGTATCGCTTCTTATCTGAACGAGGCTTGAAACAGTATTGAAAAGCTTTTGCAATTGCATTTGTTGCCTTTAGAAAGCCTTTGGTAATTTGACTTGGCAAAGGTGTTGACAAAAGTTTCTTGTCTTACAGTATTGTATGAGACGCAGTCAACTCCTAAAATCAGACGTATTCAATAAAAACATATTGACATGTAAAAAAAAATATCTGTGCTGAAGTGTAATGACTTATTTGCAGAGAGTTAGATTTTATTGTTGTGAAATGGGGGAGGGGTCATATTATAGAATATTTTACCCGGTACTGCATGGAGTCATCTTGTAGAATATCTTACCTGGTACTACATTAAAGTCAGCTTTGTAAAATTTCTTAATTCTTAGCAATTGAGATCGTAAGCGAACAAATGTTGATTTTATTCTCACATGATGATGATATATAGTCTAATAATTTATATTTTTTGTTAAAATCATGATATTCTAAAAACTCTTCTTTGCATTCTCTTCTCCAGGACGATGCTGTTGCTGCCACAAGCAACATGTACAGAAATGCCAAAGCAGATAAATTTCGATCTGCTGAGGCCAAAACGTCTGGTGACAACATGAGAAGGAAGAAAGGAAAAGGATCGGCTTTTTCAAAACAATATTACGACTACAAATAGATACTTGTCAGACGGGTCAGGAAACTAAAACTCTAGCCAGATTTACAGGGGGTATGAGAATCCTCTCATGACAAGTAAATCAACTTGACCAATCATCCCCAAAATTATTGTTATACTATTAGAAAGCAGAGTATCATCCTACCCCCAAATTTGTGAGCCATTCACAGGGTTCACTGTTGAAACTTGTGAAGAAGAAATATTCTTTTATATCAAAGCTTGTGTGGATTTGAGCTCAGAGTAACTCCACGTCTGCTGAATGTTATGGAGTGGACTAGTCATGACTCTTTCTCCAGGTGCTTTCACATTTTGTTATAGTGCAATTTTAGTGTTTCAACCTGCAATATATCTTTAAAAAAGTAACAGTTGTTATTTGGGTAAAGGTTACCAGCAGGGGAAATTTTAAAAAATATGATTTGGTCTCCTTTTAAACTTTGTCTTTACTCTAAATACTAATTACCGGTAGAGCATTGATATATATATCTTCTTTTCATTAAATAAACTAAATAGTAATGCTGCCACCTAGGGCAGGACATGTAAAGTATCTCTTGTCAGGCTGCCTTTGTTAAAATGTAAATTAGAGTGTTTACATAACTATACTGTTATGAATATGCATTTTTTTATTTGAATAATCTGTGTTTGGGTTAAATATGTGTTGTTGGAGATCGTGAATGGACCAAATAGACTCAAACTGATTTTGAAGTCATAAATTGTCTGGTTTTGTGTTGAGGTTATCAAGATTTTATTTTTGTAAGGTAGGAGAGAGGATAATTCTTCATGACTTTTTTCACCTAACAATACAACACACACACACACACACCCTCACACGCATACATACATTACTACTACTTTCATCCTCGTGCTTCATTCCATGCATTGCTGCATATTGTATGTATTGTGATTATTTGCCTTCATGGACAGGATATATGTCCCTTCCAAATCTTGCATATGCTGATATATTTTCTTATTAAAATGTCACTGTTGCATACATGCCAACTGTTCAGATTAAAGAGGAACATTCCTCTTTTTGGGAGGAGATAATTATCATTTTAATGCAGGTGTTCCTCTTCCTGTACAAATTTGTCTGTAGTATTGAATACGAGAGTTAGGATTGTTCCTCTTTTTTTTTAAATAGCATAATTTGTACAGATTTCTGATTTTCAAATGTTAGCATGTATGCTGTTGTAATTATTTTCAAAGCCTTCAAATGTACATGTACATGTATGGACATTCAAACACTTATTTGTTTTGTCGTAGATGTGATCAATATGTTATTTCCTGCATCTCACATGCAAAAAAAAATATAATTAAAAACACACATCAGGATTTTGTGAGTGATGTGCAACATGGATGATGCTCCACAAATAATTAAGTTGTGATTACTGCAGTTTTTTTTTTTTAATCCAAAATAGTGCAAAATTACTGTAAAAAGTTTTGTTTTTAAAAAATATTTTGCAGTTTGAAAATCTCTTGAAGCTTTCAAGAATAATCAATAAGATGAACAATGTATATTCAAACATATAAACTAATTTTTCATTTTTAGTATACTGTCCAGATATGATCAGCTTGGTTTATGAAAAAGCAAGCAGTTTTTCAGTTTATGATATTGTTCATTTTATTTGAATTAAATTGTATTTCTTATGTATTTATAAACCCACATACAGATGTGTAGAGACAAATAAAGAGGGTTGGTATTTTATTACATGTGAATGTATGTAGTTATATAAATATATATACATATAGTATATGTATGACACTGAGATATTCACTATTAATAGTAAGTATATTTTTTGATTATTGGAATTATTGTAATGATGTTTCAAGTAGATGTTGCTTCAATATTTTGTCATGAAAAATTTCATTTTAAAGAGATTTTCACTTTAATCACATAGATTATATATATATTTTGGATAAACTTCTCTATGATGATATTTCTGTCATTTGTTGGTTCCCTCAATTGTGGTTCAGTTTCATTAAAAGGGAACCTTTAATTCGGTCTTTCATTGTTGTGTCATTCTAAGACTTAATTGGACGCTTTGTCACTAGAATTGGGTTTGTGGATTTAGCTGTTCAATTAATGTGAATTACACAGAAAGATATAAACCTGCTGAACTGCCAATTTATTTCCTACTACACTTTAATAATATGATTTTTTTTAAATGTTATAACCATTGTTTTATTCCTGTTGCATTTTTCATTGTCAAGTGAATTTTAGTCTCATAGTGGAGTATATCTGGATTGCCAATATGATATGATACTGCCTATATGCTTAACTACACATGATATATGGGCAGACATGTTATATAAATTAATATGTTCTATTCATTAGTTGTTTGTCTCTTGTGAAATAATTATGTGTATATGAATTTCAGGTAGAACATCACCATTGACTGCTATCATAGAGCTGCTGTTAATGTTAAAATATCAGCGACAGCGACAGATGGATAAAGAGAGTCTGTGTCAAAGAAAGGGGGTGTGTCTGTGAGAGAGAGAGAGAGAGAGAGAGAGAGAGAGTGGGGTGGGGGGGGGGGGGGGTTAGAACATGCCAACAAAAAGGAAGAGACAAGAATGAAGGGACCAGAGTATGCATTATTGCATAAATATAGGATTGAGAGGCAAGTCAACACATGTGTAATGCATGTAGTTTAGAAAATATGTGCATATACATGTATATATATATATATATAGAGAGAGAGAAAGAATGTTCTATATGTACATATCTATATACCGGCATATTCGATTGTTCTGTTTGTATGTTATTCCCTTGAAAGTGGAAAATGAATTTGAAATACCTATCAATTAAAAACTCAAGTAGAAGTTTAATTAAATTATATCAACTCATCCCAAAGAAATTCAATCTTTGTTTTGCTAACTATTTTATGTGTGTTTTTTCTTATCCCCTGTACAAGACCATTATGTCAATCCTCTCCCGTTTTTATATTTGATAAGTTACATTATAGTTGTTCTCAAACTGCATTTCATTTTAAGTAATTATATGTAGCCTAGCCAATTGCCTGCATCTCGCTCTCTTTCACTCTATTTACTTGGCTTCCCAACCCCCACCGATCAAATCGACTTTATCATGACTTTTGTTATCCATTCCTACTTCTGGAAACAGTGGGAGTTCCGTGAATGTTCGTTAGAAATCTAATATCTGTATTCCTATATAAGCTATGACATCTCATTTGAGCATTATCTTTACTACTATAATATCATCCTCCTTCCTCCGAAACAATGTCTCAGATGCATTGACCAAGCCTGTTCCTTTCCCTTGTAGTAAGTCCAATAATCACATCGGTATTTAAAAAAAAAAAAAAATTTTTGTAACTTTCGTGTAAGGACGGTTTACGGTGTGGTATGAAGCCATTGTAAAGAAAGCTTCCTTTTAGCCAAGCATTATCCCTAGCGGTCGATGCCTGCAAAAATGCTTTGTTAATATTACCAGGGACATCATTTCCTGATATTACATAACAATGCGTAATAATGAAGACATCTAGACGCAACGTTCCGTTTGTGTGTGTGTGCATGCACGGACGGCGCACACGGCACACATGTTTATGAAGAGCCCTATTTCGATTTTTTTTTTTCCTCATTAATTATTTTAATTTGCTTATTAAATGAAATGAAATTGATTTTTGTTGTTTTTTTAATTTTTTGTTAATTCAATTAATTAATTTATTTATATATTTATTTATTCATTTTATCCCCCTTTTTTTTTGGGGGGGGGGGCTTCCAACCAGGGTAGGGCTGTAAACCTACCCATCATTTATCCTGGATACGCCAGTATATTCTTTTTTTATGTGTATATCAGATATTATTGGATGAATTAACGTAGACTCTGCAAATTTGGCGGTTATTAAATCTTGCACAAAATGCTCGAAATCTCAGATTTGATCATGGATATTTCTCACGTTAGTCCTATATCATTATTGTTTTATTTGTTACCAAACGAAAGTATGTTTATTTTGCTTTGTAACAATGACTCGTTAGGTGTGTTAAACGATTATCGAAAATGCTTTGGGGTGATCCGATCTCTGTCCTTGATGTATTGTACAGCAGCGAAGGAAAAATGGAGATGGGAGTGACAAATAGAAGACATTCGGAAAAGAGACATAAAGAGTATGATTGTATATGTGTCTGTTTGACTTTAAAAATGCAAATTTTTTCCAAGGTGGTATATTATTCCCTTCAGGCCTGGTCAATCTGCCCCTCAATTTTGACCTTATAGTGGTGCCGCGAGAGAATTCTATTTTTATTAACAAATGTATTTTGAAATAACGTCAACTTGAATCAAAACAAAATATCAGAAAAAGCAAGATGGCCAATTACATATCTCTTTAGGTATTTTGATAAGGAGATGGCATTTAGAGATATTGAATGATACTTTTCGTCGCTCGTTTGCACAATTCAGGAACGGGGTAGTTTTAGGCAGCGAGGTCCATGAATATCCCCATATTTATGATGATAGGACGATATTCGGGCACCTCGCTGCCCGAATATCGTCATGATTCTGGCAGCATGGTGCCAGAATATGACTATATTTATTGTATTTTTTACATCAAAAGTAAATTTGTATCACCGCTATTGGTCTTTTTCCCTTGTTTGCTTTACTTCTCGCTAAATAGACAAATCAGGATGATGCATGGCAACAAAAAGATAAAATATATAATTTTACATTTCATCTAGTGTACAGTGATGACTGAATAATATTTTTGCCATAATAAAAGTGCAATTTTTTGTGTATTTTGCTCGCTTCGCTCGCTCGCTCGAAATATGTGGGATCCGGATAGTATATTTTCTGGCAAGAAGCCATCTCGGCCTTCAAGCTAAGATACGCCTGTATGTTAATGTTTACGAGAGAAACAAATGCTCCGTGATGAATTTTGGATTTGGTGACGCAAAACTTGTTAAAGGGATAGTTGAGTTCTGTTGCAGAGGGCTCTACACGAAATAATTTGTTATGAGATAATGAAAAACTGAGTGTCAATTTAGAAAGAACATACAAATTAAAAAGTGTGGTACGGTATGTCACTGAGACAGCTCCCGTAGGACTTTTGTGCCAAAGTTGATTTTTGTGCTGTTTTGGCTTCAACAGGGTCCCAATTGACCAAAAATGATGGGTGCAAATTTTCAGACCCCTCCACATTTCCTGGGGGGTCCTAGACCGGGAGCCAGTGGGGGTCAACCTAGCTTGGCAGGAAACCAATTTTAATATGCACAGATGTAAAGATCGCATAGCTCCACATAACAAATTGACCGTCTGGCATGTTCTAAGTGGTGAAGGTGGCCAGGGGGACGCCCCCACCACAAAAGTGTCCCTTTTGACGACAAAATAGTATTGTGTAAATCATATTTTAAGGAAACCTTGAACCACAATGAGTTAGGTGTCATATGAAAGAGAGTTAAATTATCTACATTTCGATACCAATTTCAAAGAATTTGGGATTAATGAACATCGCAAATTTAAGTAAAAACATGATTTTTGTGATTTTTTTCGAAAAATTTAATTTTATAAAAAAAACATTATTTGTAACGTGTAAGAGTGATGGTGGTGTAGATTTTTCTTCTGCCCCAAAAAAACGTTTTTGCTCATTACGCCACTGCCCCTGAAAGGTGAGCCCCTGGAATGTTTGCCCCCTCCCCCAATCCCAAACTGTTGCACTTTCTGCACTACTAAATGTCTAATCACGTTTGTCCAGTTAATATACTG